AAGATGGCTGAGAAGAGGGGGAGGAAAGACCTGCTAGGAATCAGGACACTAGACGGCGCGGGACACGGCGCGGGACATGGCGCGGGAAACGGCACGGCGTCCGGCACTGTCAGCCCGAGAAGCCGCAGCTTGGTCGACACGAATAGGAGGAAGAATTCCCAGCCGGGCTCAGAACAACACTCGCCTACCAGTGGCGCAACGCCGCGGGCCCCAGCGCTACCAAATCCCACGCACATTTCCCTGTCAAATTCAGACTCCCGACGATCCTCTCTAGGGCCCTCAAGACGCGGGTCAGAGCAGGCCGCGATCCGCAACACCGAGAACGCCGTACAACAAGAGCGTCGAGGTAGCAACGACCCAATCGCGTCAGCAAACCTAACCACCATCCTCATCCACCAACAAGCGAAGCAGCAGAAAAACGCCCAGCTCCCCGCCACGCAAGAGAGGCGACACTCTGTCTCGCCAGCGCGCAAGCCGGAGCTCGGCCTCGACACGCCCTCTGACGACAGGACGTCGGACCAGCCCTCAAAGGCAGATAGCCTCCACCTCGCGTCCGCCGTCAACGGCTCCCTCGAAACCCCGCCACTGTCATCCCAATCTGACATCCCGCGCCAGGGCGTCGTGAACACTGACGAGGAGCAGGATGCCAGCTGCTGCGCCACCAACCCCGCTGGCGACCGCAGGAAGTCAGAGAAGCGGAGCACGTGGCGACGGAAGGAGAAAGAAGCGGCTGTCGCGGAGAAGAGCCCAGTGACCAGTCTGACGCCTGTCGCGTCGAGGAGCTCGAGCACGCCAAATGTGAATACGCATACGCGGACGGTACTGGAAAGGACGACGAGCGAGGGGAAGGAGGGGGATGGAAGGGGAAGCAAGTTTGGGTTTAGGTTCTGGAGACGAAAATTTAGGGGCGAGGAGAGGGAGGGGAGTCCTGTGCAAGAGGCTCAGCAGAGGGAGAGAGCGGAGGAGGGGACGGTTTCATAATCAAGTAGGTGGAGAGGCTGATTGCGAAGAGGTGCTCGAAAGAAGTGGGAAGGGGTTTGTGTTGCCACCGTATGATGGCGGAGAGTCGTGTCATGAAGGCCAGGGCAGGGGCGGGTGAAGATGAAGAGGAGTGACCGTCGCAGTTTGCATGAAATCACTGGGCGGGTATGGCGGCTCATACGAGGGCCGCACCGACTTACGAAGAGACGTTTACCGGGCGCATGACGGATTTCTAGCGCATCAACATCATCACCATCGGACGAGGATTTTCGGACTTCTTAAAGATTACGCTTTCATCTCCTTTGTCTCGTTCTAAAGCCGGTTGACCGGGATCGCCTTGTTACGATCTACGCATGTCTCTCTACTCTCGCATGTCTTTCTGGTCGTTCTACTCTGCAGCTTCTTCCACGTGGGCGGAGATTCTTTTTTCCAGCGACGGTTTTGAATTTCGACATGTCGCTATGGTGGAGGCGTGTTGGGCCTTTTGTCTTCACGCGAGGGCAGTGGTTTGTACCGAGTAAGTCTGAGGTGTACTACTTGTGGCTGCGCGATTTTGCTGTCGAGTCTTGAGGTTACAGGAGAGTTTCCTGTCTTGTTAGCAAGACGAGAGAGGGGTAAAAACGTAGCCTAAAATAGCGGAGAGAAGGCCATTCTGGCTGGCTTCCTCGTGCATGACCAAGCATTCTGGTTATTTTATTCAGTCTCATGTGCATCCGATGCGGTGACACTTTTCGATCTCAGGATGCCTTGGCTCAGGAGCGGATTTGATCGGCTAGTCAGGGTCATGTCAGCTCTTGGCCCAGGTCGGCTCAATTGTATGCACTGATTCGCTAGGAGACACCAACTGGACCCTGACGAACTCTCATAGGGTTATGCTGAGCATCAGCTGAGAGGACTTCGCGATCGTGCGCGACATCAATGCCCCAGACTATAAGAAATATTGAAGGTATGTGGTGCTGCAGTCGTATGTCAGGTATCCTCAAAGCCGAAGAACAGAACACCCATAACACACCAACACGATGCCGTCCGGAAGCTGTCTCTGCCAACAGCTCAAGTACGAGTTCACAGGCGAGCCCACCATGAAGGCATGAGCTTCCTATTCGCTTGCTTTCTCCAGTTACCAACCTGACCTGTCAGAAACAGGCACTCTGCCACTGCTTAACCTGCCAAAAAGTAACCGGTAGCGCCTTCTCCTCTAATCTCCTCGTTCCCGTAGACAAGTTCCACGTCACACAGGGTACGCCCAAAGAGGTGGACACAACGCACGAGAACGGCATGCGGATTACGCTTCATATCTGCCCCGAATGCGGCACGATGATTTACAAGGAGGGCGACTCGGATGACTTGAAGGGAATGGCTATCGTGCAAGCGGGCACACTCGACGAGGGATTACAGGGAGCAGGCCCGGATGCCGAGTTGTGGATTAAGCATCGGCCGGAGTGGTTGGGGGAGCTGAAGGGAGTTGGGCAGGCTATGGAGTTCCAGTGAGTGGCGATGGTTACAGGGTATGTGATGATTGCAACGGCTCTGCACGTTTTCAGGGGTCAGATCGTAAAAGATGACGCGGAATTCAAGTTGCAGTCGGAATATTTCAAATCATCGAACGGCATGATCTCGTATATAATTTCATCCAGCGCCCCTGAAAGCTTCTTCTTGTCTTCAGAGCATGTATCCAAGTCATCGACCGGGACCGAAACCGTGTACTGCCCTCTCTAACTCTATCCATCACCAATACTCTACGCTGCCACCTTAGCAAGAGGCGCATAATCGTAGTCCGCCTTGATGATATCCGCCGCCTTCTCCGCCACAGCATAGACCGAACTAACGATATTCCCGCTCACGTGGTTAGGGAACACGCTTGCATCCACGATCCTTAGCCCATCAACACCCTTGACTTTGAGCTTCGAGTCAACCACGTCGCCCATCGCGCAGGAGCCACAGGGGTGGTACTCTCCTATGACCCAATCTCTCACTGCCTCCTGGGCATCCTCGGCCTTCTGCAAGTCGAGTTCGGGCCGGGGGGTGGCGCGTCGACCGAGTTTGCCTTCTAGCGCTTTGGAATTGGCGACTTTGTCGAGGAATCTCATGCCAGCTGCTAGCACCGCCACATCTGCGGGATGCTGGAGATACGCTGGATCGATCGCAGGCGGCTGGGTGGGGTCTGTTCAGTATCAGCGATACACATCGCGGTTGTCGGTGTGGGCAAAGGAGCATATACCAGAACTAGTGATGTGTACCGAACCTCTGGACACGGGATACTGGAGACAAATGGCTAGTGTGATACCCATTGGCTTCGAAAGGTCCGCCGGCGGGAACAGCTTCGATTGATCCGCTACGCCTTCATCGAAACCAGCTGTTGCGGCTACCAGAACGAATTGCAGGTTGGCTGACTGCGGGTTTCGTATGTGGGCTATGACCTGCTCACGCTGCTTTCGCTGAAAGTCGGTCTGATCCGGTATCTCTTCAATGCTGCGGATGATATCCTCAACTTCACCCTCGGATAGAAAGAGTTTGCAACTGAAGAAGCCCTGGCTGCTCGAGATGCAGGTCAACGGCCCTCCGGCCTTTTCCATAAGCGTCTTTTGTGCATCGGCCATCACGTCAGGATTGTAAATAGCGTCGAGAGACATATTCCCAGGGGTAAGCTCATAACCAGCGACGGACAAGACGTGATCTTGGAAATTGTTTCCGACCTCTGGAAGGGCGATCTTGCATTGTATACCTGCAGCTTCCAACACATCGGGGTCTCCAATGCCCGAGAGTTCGAGTATTTGAGGTGAGAGCAAAGCTCCGCCAGAAACTATGACCTCTCGGTTGGCCTTGACGGTATGTTCTTCTCCACCATGCCTGAAACTGACACCCGTCGCGGTAGACCCTTCCAGGACGATACTAGTCGCCAGCGCTTCGCAAAGGACCTTGAGATTTGGCCGGGCCTTGTTTGGTTCAAAGTACCCTCTCGCCGCATAACTCCTCTTGCCGCGATTTGGACCGGTCCTACAAACACTTCCCAGCGTGTTGAAGAACCCGATGTGGTCGCCGCTCCAAGGATCCACGGGCTTGTTCGTCATGCCAGTGGCCTCGTCACATGCTTTGATGATATCGTCCTCGATGGGCAGCCTCCAGTCGTTGAAGCTGGTACGTACTGGCCCTGATGTACCGTGGTTCTCCCCCACAGTGGGCATCGTTGAACGATTGGTGATTGATTCATCAATGGGCTCGAGCGTTTGGTGCTTCTGCATATATTGTTTCATGCCTTTAGATGACCAGCTCGGATCGTCCACCAGGGTGGCCCAGTCGTCGTAGTCAGCATTCGAGCCGCGGACGTACCTGATTGAGTTTGAGGCGTCGGCCTAGTAAACACCTGAAGCAAGAGGTAGAACCTCACTCACATCATGTAGTTGATACCACTGGAGCCCCCGAGCAGCTTTCCTCGCGGCATATGATGTACCTTACCTTTGTTCGCATCCTGGAAACCCCGTGAGTACACAGAGCATCTGAGAGGTAGTACACGGAAAGATACTGACCTGGGGAGTCGTGGACATCATCCAGTCGTACTCCGGATTCCCAAGCGTCTGCAGGAACATGGCAGGGGTGTCGACGTAAGGGTCATTAAGCCGATTCTTGCCAGCTTCAATCACTCCCACGGTTGTGTCCGGGTTCTCTGTAAGGCGAGCGGCGAGGGTCAAGCCTGCTGTGCCACCTCCAATGATCAAGAAGTCGTAAGTTCTGGCAAGGAACTCCTCAACTGTGCTGGCAATTGCGGAAGGATGTCCATCAGTGCCATTGGCTCCATAGTCGCCGTTTGTCTCACCGTTCATGGCTAGGAATTGTTTTTCTGAGCTCTAAGGGACGCGTAGGGCAACGTGGGGCAACGTGGTGTTTTCGACAGGATATCTGAAATCTAAGGACATTTTTCTAGCGGAAAGGCCTTTGCTAAAGTATTCGAGCTCGCCAGTTCCCCGCAGGGCTGATGTCTAGTTGGGGTTAACCGTGTACCACACCGTTCCCCTAGGCCAAGGTGCCAGCTGCATGAGGTGTTGTGCATGCTACAAGTTATTGGTCTGTCAGCTTACTTGGTGGCTGGATGGCTGAATGGCTGGGTCATCAGATGCGGTGCAGCGAAGCATGCTAACTCCTTCGCGTCTTTCGCTCGAAGTCCTCGATGCACCAATAACTCTAGCCAAGACTTAACCCTGAGCTGCCCCACGGCAGAGTTGATGCGGCGCTCTCAATGGGCCTATTGCGGCAAAGCGAGGCCTGTTCCTAGCGCTTATGGCTTGGTCCATGGGCCAGAATGTGATTCTCCGCGCCTGTGTCTCTTAGCTTGATCGATACAGCGCCAGCCTGGCAAAAGTTTGACCAAGTACCGTCAGTAGGACTCTCTAGGCGGCGGAAACAGAACACAATTTCAGCTGCTGGCGTCCGAATTCGGGCTCGATCTCTCCGCCTCCTCGACGACAACCGTCGACACCTCCGGTAACACAACCATGCTCTTGCGATTTCTGTCACATCGGAGCCTGGTTAAAGCCCGGGCCGATGTGACAGAAATCGCAAGAGCATGACTACAGTATGTGGTCACGATGTAGGTTAGTCGCTATACAAGAAACTCGACAGCGTGTGTATAGCCATAGGCTGGTCACTTCAGACGCCTAAGAACTGTCCGATGACCATCCTTGCAAAGATTATTTGCCCCTAGCTCAGATCCAGAAGTACACTGTTCCAGCGGATGGGCTCAAGGCCGGCAGCATCGGCTCAGCCCATGAGGATCTTGGATTGTACCAGTCGAAGTCTCTGTCTGACCAAATCTCATCGCTCCTTGGATGGCTCACTTCGTATTCCTTCACCGTCTATACAATCATCGATGTTCAGCGGAGTCGTCCTTTCCGGCCCGGTCACAGCTGTCAATGCAGATGCATAGGGTGCTTACGTAGGTTGTCATGTAAACTCGTACTCTTCCTTTTCCATATAACGCATCACCTCCGCCTTCCGGCTGGCACCGAATCCACGATCACAAGCTCCAAATTCTACCATGAACGATGTCGTTTCGCGCTGCACTGCATACCGCTCTGCTCGCGTTAGTGCTGGCATCGCTGCTTCAAGCACAGGTTTTCAACGTCCCCGTGTCGGAATGGGGACCTGAGGATGAGATCGGCGCTGCCAACCGGCTCACGCCGCAGAAAGTGCTGGATGCCTCTAAGCTCATCACCACCGGCAAAACCTACCGACTCGGTATCCCGATTGATAGCTCGACACCGGCGTTCCCACCGCGGTCAATGACCATTACAATCGTGATGCCTAATCAAGAGGGGGGCGAGACCCTCAGCGAAAGCCTGGGGAGCTACGTCGACGACCTCTATAACGGCTGGCTCGGCATTGGCACGCAGCTCGACAGCCTTGCTCATTTCGGCTTCAACCGCACGTTCTACAACCGTCGCGAGGCAAGGGACTTCGTCGAGGTCACTGGCGTTACGAAAATGGGTATTGAGAAGATTCCACCTATTGTCACGCGTGGCGTGTTGCTCGACATGGCCAAGCAAAAAGGCAAGACGCAGTTGGTTGAGGGTGAAATTATCAGCAGTGATGATATCGAGGCCGCACAGCAGGCCCAGGGCGTCAAGATCGAGGAAGGAGATGTGGTGGTATTGCACACCGGCTGGCTACCGATGCTCTACACAAACGGGACGCGCTTCGCCACGGGATGGCCCGGCATTGATGTCGGCGCGGCCGAGTACCTGGCGGGCCTTAAAGTCGTCGCTGTCGGTGCCGACACCATGGGCGTGGAGGTCGCGCCGCCGCCCAATATCACACGTCTTTTTGAAAGCCACCAGGTGCTGCTGACCGCCAACGGCATTTACATCCTGGAGACCCTCGATACCCGTGAGCTGATCAAGGACGGCGTCAAGGAGTTTCTGTTCGTCCTCGGCCAGCCTTTGATTACTGGCACCGTCCAAGCCATCATCAATCCCGTGGCCATTTGTTAGCGGCGGCATCGCCCGAATTCCCGTCCCAGCAAGGAGAGAGGTTAGCAGTGAAGGGAAGTCCCGTCGATCCTGACAGCGGTACAGGACATCGGGTTGCCAACTCTCGGCATCCACAAAGTCTAGTGCCCCTCACCTCTTCTGTCCATCAGCACTTGGCATACGTCTAATTCTATATCCTTTTGGTGTAACTAACGCGTTTCAAACCTACAACGTCTCTTTCACCTAGTCCTAGAAGAACCGTAAAATTTTGAGTTATTTTCCCAATGATTATCTAATGTTACGAGTGTCTTACTAGGAGCTGTATCACCTGGGCTATCCGCGGCGTATGTCGTAGAAAGCCACCACCTTCTCGAATTGTTGAGCCTGTCGCTGACCACCGGCTGCATCAAATTCGGAGCCGAAAGCCATTAGCAAAAGCTTCTGCTTACTCTCACACTTCTGCCGCTTGTTCGGCGCGGTTCAGCGGTGGATGCAACCAATGATGCTTTCGGAGACGTCCCTCAGATCGATATGCAGGTCCAGGTAATGGCTGCGGCTGAATGGCCCCTGTCGTACTTCCTTTGGTTGCCTTATACATAACATAATCTGCCTCGTTCGTGCGGCCCACTATGGCAGCACACTCTAGGGGCAGTTCAAGCCTACAGCATTGTCCCTGAATACCTGCGTTGATTGGGCATATCGAGGTTTGCCGAGTTCATCGAATACGTTGTGATCTATCGTCTGATGAATTTCGTATTCATGGGTTTGCATTGAAGGACAGGATGATGCATTTGGCCGCAATGCGGATACTAGAGTTCAGCTGCGCGCCTCACTCTATTAGAAGGTGTAGCCAAACCCGCGCTGCTCAAGCTGTATGCCGTGTCTGTAATCAATACACTCCAGGCCCCCCAGCAAACTCGAGGCTACCTGAGTTCACAGCATTCGGTGCCTACAAGAAGCACTGCTTCCGTACAAACCTTCCTATCTTCATACGCATCCGGGCTCTGATCAATACTTGTCAAACACATCCGGCCCTGCAATTTGGTCGCCAGTATTTGCGTGAGATTCGGACAGGTGGCGGTGAGTCCTTTGCCAACTCCGCCAGCGGCGAGATCTTTGCCTGGTCACGGATTCTGGATCAGGTTGAGGCGCTTTGTGTGGTCAACGGTCATGGCAATAGGGCCTCGAGCGCCGATGTTATCATCGATGGGGGGCTCAACGCGAGTGCAGAAGTCACGTTACAAGTCGTTTGTAATTCTGCCGAAGCTGCTGGAGCCCCGGGCCCGCCCCGTAGGGTGGGCGGCTTGTTGAATGTCCAACATCGAGGGGGGCGTGCACACGTCGAGATCAGGGACCTGCCGCCGTCTGAGGTGCTGGTCTTGATCAACCACCCTTAGCTGGCTGCCAAAGGCGAGTGTCAGTGTTCATGCTTTGGAGTATGGATAGGAGGTCGTAGGGAGCGACAAAAGGGCCCAATTTCGGTCGTGTGCTTGGGAATGGGAATGGTGTGCGAAAAAAGTGACTATTTCAGCTGTTGAAGTGCCCTCTGTGAACGAATTGGTAGTTCGTGAGCTCAAGTATATGCAATGAAGTGGCTCTTGATTGAAACCAACGACGTCTTGATACTGGACGTGGCTCGTTTCGATATAGCTGAATAGATCGATGAATCAGCGGGCGCACAATACAGCAAGTGGGATATACCTTCACTCTCGCTCGTCTTCGTGTAATAAGAGAGACTGAATACCTCAATGAAAAACAACCTTGACAACATGGGGGTAGCGCCTGAGTATGGCGCGAAGAACTCGCGCGGGCCGGAAAGTAGTAAGGGCAGGGTAGCTCCTTGATAGACATCGTTACTGTTCACAAGGAACGTCCTCGTTGGAAACCAAGCATAACTTTAACCTTACCTGGTTTGTTGGAGATTCTGGGGAAAAGGGGTGAACGGTGGTTTGGCAGGTGTCAACCGTTGGCCGAAGCACAACAGCGGCGCCACAGCCGCAGCAAATCTCGCCATGCGACACGTCCGTTTTGCGACTCAACCACCACAATGACCGTTTTGTGCCCCTTTCCGCTCCCGCTGCGCGTGTTTCTGGGGGTTTCTGGACGGGTCGCTGCGGGTCACACTGTTCGCTTGTAGGTCTTGCGCAAGTGTAGACAGCGCGATGGCGCCCAAGTCTTCCATCGCTTCGATCCTGCCATTTCTGTATACGGGTCGTTTGTTTCACGCTTCCGTCATAGGAATAGTTTCACCGAGGCGTCGCTTCTTTCGTCTTGATCCTCATGATCAGCAGGTGCGCTTCGCTGTCGCCGAGGACGCCTCCCTCAGCAGTAGTTATGTTGCTGTCGTACGACGCGGTTGGCCGTGTCTAGCCTGGCGTCAACCGCGTCCTAATCTTGACCTGCAGGTACTCTTCTGTCCTTCCGCTTCCTCCGGTAGGTCGTCATAATGAGACCGTTTCTCCGAGGGTCTTGTAGATGTCGCACGTCTTTCTTGCATCATTGACTTCAAGCGTCGCCCTGTACATATCTTCTTATTCAGAGAACCTATTACTGCTGCGGGCCTGAACCACTAGTATCGATCCTGTTCCATCTGAACCGCCAAACAGGCGTGTAGCACGATCTTTCTGAAGAGAGACACTTCTGCTCCTGTACCGCATCTACTGTGCTTGTTTACTCTCATCTTGGCTCGCCGCCTCTGTCTCCACAGTCTTCCGCTCCAGCTGGTCCCCACGCGCTCTGAAAAGAGTTGAACACTCTTGGTTGGAGAGACGCTCTCACGTCGTCGCCCGCCCTCCAAACTGCTACCGACATGCCGAGGATTTTATGTTGATAGTTCAAGACTTCCAGCCACAACGTCACAGGGCATCGCGAGCCGCGAGCATCACTAAAAAACGATCGGGATGCCCTTCGACCCATCAAGCAGCCATGGAACCGCAATCGAGACCGTGGAGCGAGCCATGTCCATCCTTTCGATACTCGGCACCAACTTCATTCTTGGCACATTCGTAGCCTTCCCGGCTTTCCGAAAACCCATCAACAGACTCATCCTCTACGCGGCTATCGGCAATGCGCTTACAAACGTTGCGACCCTTATATCGGTTTCGGGGATACGGTATGGAGAAGGCAGCGCGCTGTGTGAATTCCAAGGTTTCTTGATCCAGTGGTGAGTACAGCTTCGTGAGGGGGTCTATCTCGCCGAACGCCATGACGTGTTCGTGTTGGTACTGGTATTACGCTTCGAGGGTTGTGCTAATCGTCTCCATCTTGGCAGGTTCATGCCCGCAGACTCTTTATGGACACTGTGTATGGCTTTCAACGTCTATCTTACATTCTTCAAGGGCCGCAATGCAACAGATCTCCGCAGGCTGGAGAAGTGGTACTTTTTGTTCTGCTATGGCTTCCCGCTTCCTCCGCCAATAATATACCTCGTTCTGGACTACACCAAGAACAGACATGGTCCCCGAATTTATGGTCCGGCAACGGTGAGTGTTTATCGCAATGCTCAACAAGTACACTCTCTAGAGGTGCTAATAACCATGATAGCTATGGTGCTGGGTCTCCACTAAATGGGACTGGATGCGCCTGACATTTTTCTACGGCCCTGTCTGGTAGGTCTTCCAGGAGCACAAGTGTGCACCTGAATTTGGTGTCGGGCTAGTTTTGAACACTGAGCTGACCATGAGGCAGGGTCGTCATAATATTAACCCTGTCGATATACGTTGCAACAGGCAGAGTTATCTTCAAGAGACGCGCGCAGCTTCGTGCCTTTACCAAAGAGCACCCCCACGCTCCCGCACCAACTATCGAGAACCCATTCGCATTAACGGATCTTTCAACCGTTACCAAGACCACTAAGATCGAAGTGACAACCGAAGTCATCGAACTAGCTCCCGAAGCCTGCAGCAGCCCATTGCCATTCCGACCTGAGTCGCGGAGCTCGTATTCAAGCGCAAGACCACTCAGCTCTGCTAGCACATCGGCTGCACCAGCGCCAAACCACAATTACTCAAGATCATGGGGCCAGCTTGACCCAGAGAGGTGGGCTTGCTCGGCGATCATTACTGCCGAGACACCTCGGTCCCATAAGCACCGCACAACCATGGAGCCCGAAAGTCCCGCCACGAGCGGAGAAATCGTGGGTGATGAAGAGGCAGCACCAGCGCGGAAGTCCTTCTCGCACACCATCCGACGAAGGGTAGCGAACCAGGGAAACGAGGCTGCGTGGGCGTATGCGAAGGTCGCGATGCTGATGTTCATTGCGCTTGTTGTCGTCTGGGTATGACCACCCTCCGGACCTTCTGCCCTTCATCATTTTCTTGACATCGACGCCCTTGTCTCTATCAGCAGACATCTGACTGACATCAAATAGGTTCCCTCCACAATCAACCGCGTATACTCGTTGGTTCATGAGCATAAACCGCGCTTCGCACTCAATATCATTGCTGCTGCAGTGTTACCGCTTCAGGGCTTCTGGAACGCCATGATCTACATCGCGACATCCTGGCCGCAGTGCAAAGCCGCCTGGCGTCAAGTCTTTTCATCAAAAGACGCTCGAAAAGACAGTCGCGCTTCGTCATACACACTGCGAGGAGAACATCGGCTTCGTTCTCCTTCGTCCGCCGACTTGCCTTAACGCTGTTGCGGCGGCAGGGACCTGTGCTTCAGGAGAATGAGCACGAGATTCGTACGTCGGTCCAGATGTGGTTATGAATGCGAAAAGAACTCAAAGGATTGCCATGCGACAGCGTACAGCAACACTGGTACAGAAGTAATTTTTTCATGATACCCGGCCGCGGCTTGCCTATCAGGCAGGGGATGCAATGGTCAGAGTGGTGTTAGCTCTACGAACGGGAGTCTGGGTATGGTTTCTTATTGAAGTCACGTGTGTGTCGTCCCTTGTTGTCAGCGTGTCGAATTTCGGACGTGCTGTGGCGGATAAGGAGTGTGCATAATTCTTAATGACACCGAGGGCAGTCAGCAGATGATGTTCTGAATCAAGTAATGCAGAGAACAGATTCGATCTCTTGAATCTTCATTCTTCTTTTCCAGTCCCTTGACTGACCGCAGTCTTTTCCATCGCCATTTTCGGCTCATCTTGAAGTGGCACACGTATCTAGCACTTGGTTACAGTGGTTTCTCTATCGTTCGTAAAGCCTGTTCCGATGCAACATGATGAAGGACTCAACAGCATGAACGACGCCATAACGATGCTACGGCTCCCCGGCTGCCTTTGCGACGGAGAACATGAAAGAAAGTCTAATGCAGTCACCATCGAACCAACGCCGAACCACAATCTGCGTTCCAGTCAGCTCTATGCGAGAAAAGAAGTCCTCCAAGCTCTGGACACCAGCGCGCGAAAGTGTGTGCATTAGGAGATGGCGTTGCAACAACTCCCACAGATTGCGGTGGCTAAAACCATAACTCCGTAAGCAGCATATTGACCCAGGCCCATTCCTGCAAGAACGGGTCCAGGATCTTGTCGACCCAGACACTCCAGTCGTCTCTCCATCCACCGCACGCAAACAGCGCCCGCGAATACTCCCAGTAGCTGAGATACCAGCCGGCAGATTCCCAGTCAATGATCACAGGTTCGTACTCGCATTCTTCTTGCTCACTCTCACCGGAGCGGGGCACTTCCCGCACCATCACATTCTTCCGCTGGAAATCGCCATGTGTAAATACGGGAGGGTGACCGCGCAGGACACTTGGGAACGCCCGTCGATAGAAATTCGCTTTCTTTTGGGGAAGGTTGTTGAAGATGTACTTCTCGATCATGGCGTCGTTGAGCTCTGCTTCTGTTGAGAATGGACCGGAGATCGTATCGACTGTGTCACGAGTCCAGAAGACGTTGTCTAGCAGCGGACGCTTGCCGACGCTGCAGTAGCCGCCTGGCGATGGAAGCTTTCGCAGCTCCGAGAAATTTGCGCGGAGTCTAGTGGCGATGAAGTCTTTCTGCGTTTGGCTCAGGGAAGGCCATGCGATGTCGAGGTTTTTGCCGGCTATTCGCTCCATGACAATGTAGGCCTTTTTGTTTGAGGGATCTTTGCAGAGAGCGTAAATGCGTGGTACAGGCACAGCTGTCACTTGTCCAAGGAAGAGCATAATCTCCCCTTCCATCAACTCGACTGCTCGACCGTATTTGACGATGTAGTATTGACCGACCCCCACAACCTTGCGGCCAGTTTGTTCGACCAGAACATCTTGAGAACTCTCAATTTCGTCTAAAGTCGGCAGACCGGCTGGAAGTGTCGCAGCATCCACGTAGTATGGCAAAGATATTGAAGCCATGGTACTACTGCCTCTTACACACTCAAAACCCTTTCGCCTGCTGGCGGTGATACAAGGCAACTTAATGATAACTGCCCAAGCGGGACAGACCAACGGCAAACGGGCGTCAAAGTAGGCGCTGCTGTGCCGCATGAAAGGCTAGAAGCGTTGTTACAGCGTCTCGCGCGGCAAGGGCGAAGATGCCTACTTTTTGTGATAGACCGCTTTCTACGTATGTGTTGTCCGCGACCAAACGAGGTACCCGGGTGACAGAAACCGTCAGACTCTAGAATCGCCAAACCGATAACCCACTGTCATATTTTCCACTGCCGGTGCCATCAGTCTTCCAGGTATAGATTCTGACTGCAACATGCTCACAAGAGTTCTAACGTCTCTCTACGCTTACGTCCGATAAGTTGCTGCTATTCTGTGTTCATTGAGCATCAGACCACTGGTAGACCTAGTGTTACGTTTGGGCTCTGGCAGTTCTTATCACCGCGTGCGACTATCAATTATGATAAGTTTCTATGTTCCTAAAGCTTGATGATTTCCGCCATTCTGGTGCAAGGGTATTGGCGCCACGACGCTTGAGGGTGAGCAGCTTGAGTGAGGACCAAGATACTCAACATACAACGCCGCGGTGCTGGCTGATGGAGGGCGATGCCAGTTTGGAAGGCGATTACCTTCTATAGCACAACACACAAGTACTGTAGGTAGACTATCCCGCCATGTGGATGAACCCAAACACGTCACCTTCATCAGAAACGAGGATAGCGCAGATAAGAGTCGGTCCAGGTAGCCAAGAAGCGGTAGCTCATGTGGTGAGTACTGAATAGTCACCATCCAGGTCTCAACATTATGCATTGCACAGAACACGGATCATTGACTTCTCTCCATCTGTCTGAGCATACACAAGCTCATCTAGACCCATCTTCCACGCTCCCAGAGATAGCATCATCCAAACCACGCAGCCTACCAGAAATGAAATTAACTTTGTCGCGCCTCAGCCTTTACCCCAACCAGTGCAAATGAAAAACTAAGAGGAAGCACAAGCCCGCGAAACGCAAACCACAGGCGCAGAGAACGCCACCACTGACAAAAAGAGAGCACTTGACAGTCATCGGAAACGGAAAGGTGGCCACGAGAGTACCACAGCTATGCAGCAAGGAACCCTCAGCGCTCAGATCGAAATGGATCGGATTCTTCAGCTGCTCTGCTCCTCCAGCGGATCAATACCATCGATGTATTCAATAATATTATACTCAGGCGAGTCATCGGCCTCATGAACAGAACCATTCCGGACTGTAAGCTGCCGGTGTTCAGTCTCGGATTCCGGCGACAGAATGAGCTGGAAACGACGAGCGTGAGGGTCCGGCGAACATTCCATTGGCGAATCCGCACAACGTTGTGGTTGGTGCATCTCCCATCGAGGAAGGTTGAGGATGTGCTGAGCCCAAGGGAACTTTGCTGGCTGACTAGGGAAGAACGGCAGCGCGGCTGGAGTGAAAGCATGTGGAGAAGTTGAGACGTGCGCCGGATAGCTCAGGAAATCTATTTCTGTGTTCTCATCGACGATGGGAGTGTCGATCCGCAGAGGCGGAGGCATGCTCGGAGATTCGGGAAATTCAAGAAAAGTAGGCGTTGCCGAAGTAGTCGACGAAGATTGGAGTGGCACTAGAGGAGCTCGGGTCTTCCGTTAGCAGTTAGCGAGAGCCGAGTAGGTAATATGGTGTTCGTGAGGGCGGCATGTATAGATACAGGAACAGGCAGAATAAGATGCTCTCCGCCCAGGAGACGGTTAGTATGCACCTTGCGCCATCGATGTCCCGTAGGAAGCTCCCGCCGGCCCAGGCCCCTGTTGCATGACCTGCTGGTTCAGGCCCTGCTGTCCCATCTGTTGCGCGACAACCTGTTGCTGGATGCCGCCGTATCGCTGGTGAATCTCCGCAAACCACGGATGTCGGAGCGCCTGCTCGGCAGATATGCGCATCTCCGGGCGGAGCTGCAACATGCCGGACAGCAAGCTCAGGCCCACTTGATCGATCATCGGCAGCAGGATCTGCAGGTCCTGCGTCGCATACACCTGCCATCCTTGCCGGTACTCAGGGAAGCTGCTGATTCCAGGCCAGCTCCGCTCGCTCGGAGTACCCATCAGTCGGAAGATCTTCTGTAGTTGGTCCTCATTGGTAGTGCCCGGGAAAAGCGGACGCCCCGTGTACATCTCCGCCATGATGCACCCTGCGCTCCAGATGTCGATGGAGGTGTTGTAGGTGCGCGATCCGAGCAGTACGTCTGGCGCGCGGTACCAGAGCGTGACGACTTCGTTGGAGAAGGTGTTAACAGGAATGCCGAAGGCGCGGGCAAGGCCGAAATCAGCGAGCTTGAGCTGGCCTTTGGTGTTGATCAGGAGGTTCTGGGGTTTCAGATCCCGGTGCAGGACTCTGTTGTCGTGGCAGAAAGCAATGCCGCGCAGCAGCTGATACATGAAACTCTTAATGGTGTCCGGTGGCAGGCCGCCGGCGCCTCTGCTGCGTCCACCATGCGAGTCATAGCCAGGTGGCAGTGGCTGGCTGTCCATGTACTTCTTCAGATCTTTGTCCATGTATTCGAATACGAGCATCAGCTTATTCTCGGTGTGGATGACATCGTGGAGGGAGACGATGTTCTCGTGCTTCAGCTCTTTCATCAGACTGATCTCGCGGATGGCGGTACTAGGTGTGCCTTCTTCGCTGTCGAGGTGGATCTCCTTGAGCGCAACGAATTCGCCGGTCTGCCGGTTGCGGCCCTTGAATACCTGTTATCCAGATTAGCACACTCGCTGAACAGACAAACGGAGTGGATCCCAGAGCGCACAGTAGCATAGGTGCCCTCTCCCAGCTTCTCCAGCTGCTGGAATGAACTCGGATGTCTCTTGTCCATGGTGGCGACCCTTTCTCGACTCCCACCCAAGTTCTTGATGCTGATGCTGGAGTCTGTCCTGTTCTCTAGTGATAGGGTCCCGACGTGCGTAGGTTTGAGGATTGTTGGAGGCGGTCGCCGAGTGTGTTTGGGGTCCCAGAGTATGGCACTCGCGGTAGTCAGGCGCGACGCTATGGCTAGAGGTGAGGGAGGTGCAGTCGACGGGCGTGATGCGCTGCTAGGAGGAGCGGATACAGAGGTGGAAGCCGTTTTGGCGGTCGAGTGCTCCGTATTAAGGAGACTCGCAGGACACAGGGACAGAGGCGTCTACGGGCGGTTCGAGTTATTTCGGGCAGCGGGCGGGTACTTGAATGTATCTACTACGTACTTTAAATCCCAGTGTAGGCGGCTTTGTGTGGAGCGGCTCACGGGGAAGTGAAGTGCGGGCGGCTGTGTCCACCAATCAAAAGCCCGTCTTGAAACCCTTGAATTCAGATCTCAAGCGCCGGGTGACAGTACAACAGTCACCATTCACAGCAACAGGTAATCATTGAAAGCAAATAGTTGAAGTGTACCGCTAAAGAGCCGCATTGATGGCCGCCGGATATCTACAGGCTTGCCTTTACTTGGGATTCTTTGGGCCTGCGGGTTCCTATCCACTCATTCGGAAAGCTGAGATTGCCTTCACATCAGATGACTTCTCGCAGAGGCTAAACCCGCGGTGCTATCTTGGTCGACAGAAACATAAACCGCCTAATGCGAGAAGGCTGGCAGCAGTCGAAACCAAAGCTCAAGGCATGTGCGCTTCCTGTCCGCGCTGAGAGACTCCGTTGGTGCATAGTAGAGATGGAGGACATTCCAGCAAACGCAATGAAGCATCGCGCCGGTAACACGCGAGAGAGCATCTCGCTAGCTGGTAAAGATCCTGAATTACAGAGGCAGGAAGTTGCTGCCTTGCTGTCATTTCATGTCCTCATATTCCGTTCAGAGTCTTCCCTTCTGCTCACAGTCATCTCGGTGATATTACGATACCGCTTCCTTGGTTAGGCTTCAGAGTAGATTGACCAACAGTCGGATAGTACGAGAAGTCGGTCAGATGCAGAGTGGACCATGGTTATCACTGCAAAGCTGCAGTTCGTGATATCAGGACTGAGAGCTGCCGCAAGCGGAAGCGGACTGTGACCATTCCGGCCATTCTTAGTGACGCAGGCTACAGCATTAGAGCGGTGATTTTCAGTTGTGAAGCATCTTGTAGTGTTGCATGAGTCAAAACGGCCAGTTCAGAGGAAAGTCATTGCTACCGTGGAAGGCAGGTAAATTGTGCAGAAGAGATCGGAGGAGCTTGATGACAGCATTAGCAAACGTTGACAGGATCATCGACATGCGTAGGGATGTTCGTTCAGCCAGAGCTTTTGCTGGTGTCGTTGTGCAGTGCGACTACAACTGGCAGTCGCAGCTTCCACACAGCTGCCGCGACCATAACAACGCCATGACAAGTCAACGCCGGAAAGAGCTTTTGCGCCATCGGGCCAAACTTCCTCCTGTGCTTCGCTTTCCGCCATGTATCCTTTCCCCAGGTATTACCACACTCCTTAGGCACCCATGTCGAACATACCTTTTCGGAAGATCTTACCCAAGCCCATGAGGTCTAGCGACCCGCAAAGACTGCAGCGCCTCAATCATGTCCGAGGCGACACGCCACCACCTGGAGACACCTCAGACTCCGACGAGCCAGGACTCTCTGGAGCCCCAACACTGCACCGGAGCAGACCCCGAAACGCTCGAAGAGGGGATGACGATGGTCGAGGGGACACGCCAGCGCTTGCAAAGAAATGTCGTCGCTATGAGCCTGCAGCACCAAAAAACTCTGCGTCGACCGTCGAAGGGCCGTATGGGCCCTCGAAGCTGCGCCAAGACATAGGACCACGGCTGTTTGCAAGCGACTACCGTCCTGTACCTGTTAGGAGGATTAACCCCCGCCAAAATTTCTACCGAAAATCCGAGGAGGATCCCGATTTACGGATAGCTGTTCTAGACTACGAACACGAGAAACATGCATATGCAGAGATTGAGAGGGAGTTAACAGAGGAAGAGGAGCAAATGAACTGGCTTATCACTGAAGGAATAGCGATTCCTGTCGATGATGGCGATGAAGACGAACCGCCAGAGGGAGCGATAAGTCCCTCCCTGTTGGAAGCCAGCGGCCTGCCTCCGCTCCAACGCCTTCCATCCCACGAAGATTCATCGCCGTCGTACGAGGAGGGATCACATGCGCCAAACGACGAGCCAGCGGAGTCTATTGTGCCCCGTTTGATAGTGTGAGTACATAGAAGAAATCTTGTGCTGGAGTTTCAGGCAGAGCTCCTGGCGCCTTAGCTCCCAAGAGAGATGAACAACGCTCCGCGGATGGCAGTGAAAACGGACCTGGTTGCGTTGCGCTGACTCCACATCTAGCACCCCACCCACACCACGGCCCGCGTACGCAACTATGCTCAGCCTGCCAGCTCTTGAGGAGCAACCACCGGCGGAAGAGGTGGCCGCAGGGTCTGGCGAGAGCTCAGGCAGCATGAGTCCTACCAGTCTTCTCGTTCCGCCGCGTAGATCCGTACGGTCAGCGCGGTCTAAACCGGTTGAGGCGTCCCAACCAAATGTTGGGTACCATTTGCCCGGACAGTTTCTTCCACTGCATATTAGTAAGTCTAGTACGGGTGCTAGACGGAGTCACTACGTCCGACGACGAGGCGGTGGCCTTGTTTTTGTTTCTACGCCTCGATTATTCGCCCGGTCGTGGTCGTTTTCTGCTGCTGCTTATGACTGCACACACTTTCAATGGCAAGCACTGACAGTGGGAACAGTACCAGAGAGGTATGAGCCCATAGATGCGCACGAAAAGCTCTATAGATCTCGCCGAAGATGCTGGCGTGAGGAACGGGGCCATCCCGGGTTCAAACCCATTCCGGACCCTGTACCATATGAAGGCGCGCCTAAAACGTATACCACCTTCTGGCCCTCCAACTACGAGCTGGATGTTCTCTATCAGCATGAAGACCAAGTGCCAAACTATAGAGGAGCCTCGGACGGTCGTGTGCAGTTGCGACTTTTTGAGACCAAGTTGTTCAACATCCAAGTCCGGCTGAATGACGCCAAGTATGACCATGACAAGGCGGTCAGGAGAGTGGTGAAGGCGTACAAATTCGCGAGGCTGAACGGATACCCCACTAGAATCTGGGACGTTCTGGATTGGCAAGCCACGAACTCCAGTGGAGAAATCGTCCGGAGGAACGCGCGGGAGCTCCGGCATGAGTGGTCTGCAACAGCTGCATGGCTGCGGAAACCGATCGAGGACGCCGAACTTGTTTTAGATAGATTGATCGGAATAGCGGACACGTTTGCGGATTTCGACGACGACGACTACGCCAACCTTGCGGATAGAGCTCGTTTCCAGTACATGGTGTGGATGGACCGGCTTACGCTGCAAGCGCTAGCAGCAACCGATGGCCGCTACACCGGGAATCGGCCCGATGTCAAATGCCGTATCTGGGATTGCTACAACCCAGCCATGTGCAGAGACGTGCACAGCCAGGTCCTGACCCTCAAACTTTTCACGGGCTATGCTCTATCAATGCACCACCACAACAATTTGGGAGAAATACAGGATGACCCTCGACTGGGACCTAGCGGGCTGGACATTTACAGACACACTCTGAATTACACGCCGGGTGACTGCATCGATAGCTTGCGCTTGATCGCGAGTCGGACAGCGGGAACTTCACAAGCCGCCCAGATCTTTCCGCAAGTCGGCGGGAGTGCCTGGCAGCCATCTCTGGCCATCGAGAATAGCACGCCGTTGGAAGCGAACCCAAGTGGCTCACGAGCAGATCGTCCGACTGGGAAAGAACGTCATCAGGAGGCTAGATCAACCTCGCGATCAGATGAATCTGAGGAGGCTGCGGAGCTTATGTTACTCACTGCTGACCAGAACATCGATTCTAAATCTGATCAGAACCGCAAGGACAGTTTCGAAGATACGGATGAGGAAGACGAGTATTTACCTGAGTCACGCGGATCGTTCAAGAATGCTAGGATTATTTGCGAGTGAGGGTCAGACCATCGCTGCGTATCTCTAGACAGTCTATCGTTCATTCTAGACTGTAGAGTTGATCCGAGTGGATAGAATTGACTCGTAAGCCGTACAAGTCCAAGGTACGGAATATAAAGGGTTTGCGGTGTGAAAAGCTGTTCATGGGCTGTTGAATGACTGCGTTGATGGTTTTGAAAGCTTCTGAAATGATTGGAGAGTACTAGATTAAGGAAACACAAGCCGCGTCCAGGAGGGCCTTCAAACGACCGACCAGGCTCCATCCTGAGAGAAGCTTCTGCATCTCTCCGGGACATCCTCTAGTGGAAGACGTATATCTTTGAGCTCAATTATGTTTGATAAACCGAAGCAAGCAAAGGAAGAGGCAAGTTCGAAATTAACATGAGTCAGGTCTGGCAAAGGAGAAGAACAAGTACCTACTCTACCGTGCCACGAAGAACCATTCTATGAAGCTTGGCCCTTGTCGGGTTGACGCTGCGCTGGCTCACGTGTTGTTCTCTCAACAGGCCGTCGTGCCTCTATCAAACACAGTCTTTCCTCTGGCAAAGTCGTCAATAGCCTGTGATGACAAGAGTTCTTAACAGATGAGGTTGAAAGCGGTCGGAGATGGTTGATGCCGACACTCAGATGTCCAAGCTTCTGGCGGGGTGGAAGTGGGAACTGCGGTGAGCTTTCCACCACCAAGCTCCGAGGATGACATAGACCTACCATACAGCCTCAAACTTCGTCCTGCCTACCAAGCGGTTGTGGCTCTTCTCAGGGACATCACTGTACTCTCTTACCTTTCGAGCCGCTATGCAATCTGTGTCCTCCTCACAACCTCGTGGAAAGCATCTTTGGAGCCCGCCAGACTGACCATCGAACCGTGGATCTTACAAACTACATTAAGTAGCTTTATATCCTGGTCTAAGAAAAACCGCATTCATCCCGGCAGCATCAGTTCATACGAACCTGCTTGAGCATCTTCAGTTTCTCGAAGGAAGCTTTTCAGTATGAAATACAGCCTGTACGACCGCTTGTACAAGCGGGAGCTTGGAAGCCAGACAGTCTACTCCAAAGTGCCCGGCATTTACGGAGACAGGCAATGGATCAAAGATCTGGACATTATCAACGAACTCGATGGGCACTCAGGCTGTGTCAACGCACTGAGGTCAGCCTTTATCTCACCCTAGCCCTTCTCACTTAGGTCATTATGCTGAATTCGATGCTACAGCTGGTCCAAGTCAGGCCGTCTCCTTGCCTCTGGTTCTGATGACCAGCACGTTAACATTCACTCTTACCTGCCTGATTCGTCGACCTCCCAATTTACTCTGACGACGGCCATCGCCACTGGGCACAGGCAGAACATCTTCTCCGTGAAGTTTATGCCACATTCGAACGACCGTATCATTGTCTCGGCCGCTGGGGATGGCGAAGTGAGGATCTTTGACATTGAGTACTCCGGGCGATCGAGTGTGCCATCGTCCATGTCCAACTTGGGCTCAGGAAGGAGACGGAACATCATCTACAACGGCGTACGCTACCTCAGCGAAGGGGACACGAACGCGAAGGTGTACCGGTCACACAGCGACAGAGTCAAGAGGATAGTCACAGAATCTTCGCCATACTTCTTCTTGACATGCTCGGAAGATGGCGAGGTACGACAATGGGACATCCGCCAGCCATCATCAGCTTACCCAGCACCACGAGACATCCGTGGGAGCTATGAGTCGAACGAGGACAACGTTCCGCCTCCGTTGATATCTTACAAGCGGTACCACCTTGACCTGAACACTATCTCCTGCTCTCCCAGCCAGCCTCACTACATTGCCCTCGGCGGCGCACACATGCACTGCTTCCTACACGACCGCCGGATGCTCGGCCGGGACCGACTAAGAGAGTCAGGAAGACCGATCTCCATGTCTGGCAGCTTCTCTGAACACGACAACGAACTCATGGGCCAAGCCACGCAATGCGTCCGCAAGTTTGCACCGGACGGACAACGGCGCATGCGGCGGACCGACAACGGACACATCACAGCCTGCAAGATCAGCGATGCTAATCCCAACGAGATGGTCGTCAGCTGGTCCGGCGAGTGGATCTACAGCTTCGATCTCATCCGCAGTCCCGACGCGAGCGAGCAGCAGTCCGAGTCAGCTGCTCGGAGTTCCAGTGACCGCAAAGCCAAAGTCAAGGAGTCAAAAGTTCGCAAGAGAAAACGCGCCAAAACCGCCGAATCAGCCACCTCGCAAGAAGCTGCCGACCGCTCTAGTTCCCGAGCTCGAACTTCAAGCTCTGCCGCCGCTGAAGGCACCACCCCTATGGCGCTGATGGTCCAGTACGAGAATGGACAGAGCGAAGAGATCCCTATCGAGCCGGCGCGGCCCAGAAGTCCCATCTCCGAAGCTCGCGAAGCCGTTCTCCCCGAAGCGCAGCGCCAGAGCTTCCGCATCGCCAAAGCATCGGTCAAGCTACGGAAACACATGTTCACACTCGGCGCGAAGAAAGATTTAACAGATGCCGACCCGACAGGCCACGCAACATCCTTTACCAGCGTGCTAGGCTTCGCCGCAAGTATTCTGCCTGAGATGGACGAGATATCCCGCACCTGGCGCTACCCCGTGAATCCTTCTCCCCTCGATACAACCTTCCAGCGCACCCTCCGCGCCAACCGCTGCTCAAGCCGGCGCTTCGTTCAGGCAGCAGGCGCACTCGCCAGACTCCTGCGCGGCAAGCTCCGAACGGCCGGCGGCACGAGTCCAGCCCTTGCACTGTTCAGCCAGATTACGCCTGCTCCGAGCGAGCTACCTGAGATCCCGCGACACGAGCACTTTGGATACGACTTCCTCAAGGCAATACTCCTGTGGCTAGACAGCGGCGTCGGCGCTCTGCTAGAGGGGTTCACGCGGCCGCCCACCGTGCCGCCCGGGCATCCACGGTTTCCGGTGCCTGATGACGCGGGCATCGAGGCGGTTGATGAGGTGCTGATACCGTATCTCCTGCGGCTGGCGGACGAGAAGTCGATCATGAACGTGGACGCAAGCAGGTTTGAGGTCGATGAGAATCGACGGCTGTTTGCGAGCGAGAAGGCGGCTGTTGTGGCGTTTGCGCAGGCGGTCAAGATTCCCTTCGCGGATTTGTCGAGCGCGGTTGTTAGGGCGGAGGACGCAGGTGGGGACGTGCATGCGAGTGCGCAGGATCGGAAGGCGGCGCTGCGGTATTGGGCGTTTAAGGTTGGGAGGGGAGTGCTGATGAATGCGGGACAAGGGGTGGATTTCGCGTTTGTGGATCGTGCGTTTGGGGGGCTGGGTACGACTGATGGGGGGATCGAAGAGGAAGAGGGAGCGTTGAGAATGAGATTCGAGGACGTGGGTGGGGAAGAAGAGGAGGCGGTGAGGAGTGCGAGGGTTGTGCGGCGGAGTGAAGAGAGCGGCTCATCGGTCGCCGATGCCGCAACCCCTACAGCCGGCACAGAAGCGGCGAGACAACCGACAGTCGAGGAAGCAGAGGACGACGATGCGGAGATGGAGGACGTGGTTCTCCCGCTCAGCGAAGTCTCCGAGATCATCTCCGCCAATACCGACGACGTTGACGACGAAGGCCAAGATAACGACGTAGATGTCGACGGCCACGAAGCGGAGGAATCAGAAGAAGAGGAGCAAGAGTCAGACACGGAAGAAGACGATGCCCGCTATGTCTGGCGCAGCGCGTTTGAACGACGCCGCCTCCGCGAAGGCGTCGAGCTCGACGTGCCCTGCTCGCCGCACACGAGAGTATACAAAGGGCACTGCAACGTCAAAACTGTCAAGGACGTGAATTTCTACGGCCTGAACGATGAATACGTTGTCAGTGGCAGCGATAGCGGACACCTGTTCATCTGGGACAAGAAGACGAGCCAGCTGCTTAACATCCTCGAAGGGGACGGCGAGGTGGTCAATGTTGTTCAAGGTTTGTCTCTCCTTCCTCTTTCCATCCTCTATTCTCTTTTCGCAAACCGGACGATTCCCTTTTCCTCGTTCGCACAACCTCGCTAATCACTCCTTGCTGGCAGGCCACCCCTACGAACCCCTTCTCGCAGTCTCAGGCATTGACCACACGATCAAGATCTTCAGCCCCGACGCCCGCGCCCGGCGCGATGCCATCCGGGGTATTGGCGTCAGCGCCGCGGACGCCTCCACCTTCTCCTCCCTCGGCTTTGGGCGCTCACGAATGCGTCGGCGGGCTGCTCCCACCTCAGCCGGCGCCAGCGCCGCCACTACAGCCGAATCCCACGGCCAAGATGCCGGTGCGGATGAAGCTGAAAGCTCTGACGACGAGCGCGCACAGGCGCCCAACGGGCTCCCGAGCCGAAGAAGGATGCATCAAGAATATCAGATCACGAGTCAGAACGATGTTGATCGGAGGGGCGGGAACAGGGATGCGTTTATCACGAGGAGTATGCTTGCGCAGTTGGCGGCGAGGATCCAGGCGAGGCAGATGGCAGGGGAAGGGGGAGGAGAGGGGGAGGAGGGGACGTTGGTGATTGAGGGGGAGGATTGTACGGTGATGTAGGTGGCTGTGGTCAGGAGAAGCAGTGTGGAAGGATAGGAGGGCTAGAATGGTGGATTCCAGGTTGTGAGCATCTCGGGGGAATTAGTATGACAAGATGATGGAGGTAACGGATCTCAGGCGATGGCACCGGCACCGGAACGAAGGATGGGCGCTGCGATGTTGCTTAAGATAACCCCCAGTTTAGTCATTCGGCAGTTGTATCGACGAAAATGCCTAAACCGCGCATTTCCCTTGCTGTTTGCATCACATTGCCATCTTGGTCGAAACATTGTCTCAGGAGGGGCTGTAGTATACCTATGTCCACCCGCTTCTGAGAACACAAAGGGCGAGCGTCTTTTTGGATGCAATTCTCCAAAACCAAGATATCGTACTGCGCACAAAAGAACCGTTGCATCCCGGATTCTGCTACCAAAGCTTTGAGAGTATTCGCTGCGTATCACAGGGTTTCGATTTCAATTCGAATGCCCTGAATACCCAAGTTCCAAAAGACATGTCCTCAAGACATCCATATTTTCTAAACCCCCTGACGCCGCAAGCGCCCATACAATGCACGCTTCACACTTTCCCTGCAACTTCAGCCCCCTAACCCGGCACAATCACACCACTACGACGCCTTCTTCGCCTTCAGCGCCCTCCGCCGATTACTCCTAATCATGACAACGCTCAGAAAGCTCCCCACGACCGCCGAGCCAAGTAGGATGAGAATGACAGGCAGGCGGATGGCCCAGACGCGCGGGGGGAAGAGTTGTTGGAGGGGGTGGTCTTCGTCTACGAAGGGCTGTGGGGGGTGTTAGGGCTGCTATGTTGAAGAGGGGGTTTGAGGAGAGGAAAGGGGACGGGCAGGGGTACCATCAGGAGCGTCCATATGGTGTAGTAGAGGAAGACGGCGGTTGCTAGGATTAGCATTGAGAGGCCGATTAGGCGGTCGAGCTGGGGGTTTTGTTAGCTGTGTTTCTAGGCTTGATGGAGGTGGGACTTGCCATTGTGAGCTTGTGGAGGTGAATGAGCGTCGAGAAGGGAAGGCCAAGAGAGGGTGAGGTGTATGTCTCTACTGTGGTATTCAGAGCAATGGTGTTGCAGCGGTGATGAAGCCAGCTTCAAGTCTTGGCGGCAGTGCAGCCCGGGGAAACTCGCCACCCGCAGAGCCGCGCCGCTCGCCTTAGCAACTTTCTTCACGCTTCGCGCTGCCTTGCCCAAGATCACTGTTCACGCAGCTGCAACAGGGCGACAACACTGCTTGCCACGACCATTCTCCTCATGTCAAAGTGAGAGACGGCATTTAACGCGTCAGCACATCCAGTATGGCCGAGGTCCTTTCTGCAGTGAGGCTGCCAACCCCCGAACCCCACGACGCTAAGCCCAGTATCTTTGACCGCAACGACCGTGAAGGCTACGATGCGCGGGAATCTCGAGACGGCAGAGCAGCAGATGTTCGGGATGACCAATATGGCCGCGACAGTCCGGAAGATCGTACACCTCGCGAGCCCCGTGGATACAGAGCAAAGCGCAAGCGCTCTCCATCCTCACGGTCCCCGTCTCCCAGGCCTCCACCCGGTCCCCTACCGCGCGATGTCGACCGCGAACGCGCCGTCGAACGACTACGCCAGCTCGAGATGCGCTCTCGCCAGCAGGAAGAGGAGCCCTCGAAACCGCTTACGGCGGAGGAGAAGCAAGCCGCGGCGAAGGCAGAATACGAGAAGCTGTTGAGCCTTCGTAGCGGAGGCACATACATTCCGCCAGCACGGCTAAGAGCACTACAAGCGCAGATCACAGACAAGAGCAGCAAGGAATACCAGCGCATGGCGTGGGAGGCTCTGAAGAAATCCATCAACGGCCTCGTCAACAAGGTGAACATCAGCAACATCAAGTCCATCGTGCCCGAGCTCTTCCAAGAGAACCTTATTCGCGGAAGGGGTCTCTTCTGTCGCAGCATCATGCGCGCCCAGCAGGCCAGTCTGCCGTTCACGCCCATCTTCGCCGCCATGGTCGCCATCGTCAACACGAAGCTGCCGTCTGTGGGCGAGTTGCTGGTCAACAGGCTCATCGTCCAGTTTCGACGAGCATTCAAGAGGAACGACAAGGCTGTGTGTATCGCAAGCACCACCTTTCTAGCACAGCTTTGCAACGTGCAGGTCTGCCACGAGGTTCTCGCCGCTCAGATCTTACTCTTGCTCCTCAACAAGCCTACAGACGACTCCGTCGAGGTGAGCGTAAATCTCATGCGCGAAGTGGGACAGCACTTGGAGGAGTTCAACGCACCGATTGCGATGGCGGTGTACGATCGCTTCAGGTCGATATTGCATGAGGCGGACATTGAGAAGAGGACACAGTACCAGATCGAGGTGTTGTTCGCGATCAGGAAAGACAAGTACAAGGACAATCCGGCTGTAAAGGAGGAACTGGATCTGGTGGAGGAGGAGGACCAGATCACGCATAGGCCAAATTTGGACGATGATGGGATCGAAGTCATGGACGGGCTCAATGTGTTCAAGTATGATCCGGAGTGGGAGGCACATGAGGAGGCGTACAAGAAGCTCAAGGCCGAGATTTTGGGGGAAGCGGAAGGGAGTGACGAGGAGTATGAATCCGATGGTGACGAGAGCTCAGAGGATGAGGAAGCCAAGCAGGAAAAGCAGATGGAGATTCAGGACCAGAGCAACACCGATCTTGTCAACCTTCGGAGAACTATCTATCTCACGATCAAGTCCAGCGGCGGATTCGAAGAGGCTGTTCACAAACTTATGCGCGTCAACATACCGGCTGGTAAGGAGGACGAACTTCCCTCTATGATACTGGAGTGCGCAAGTCAGGAGCGAACATACGACCGTTTCTACGGCCTCATGGCTGAGAGGTTTTGCAAACTGAATCGTCTCTGGAATGACCTATTCGAGGCGGCCTTCGTAAAGTACTACGACACTATCCACCGCTACGAGACAAACAGACTACGGATTCTAGCTTGCGTCTTCGCCCACCTCCTCGCTTCAGATGCTATCGGCTGGCATGTCCTCAGCGTCGTGACCCTAACTGAGGACTCCACAACCTCCAGCAGCCGCATCTTCATCAAGATCCTCTTCGAAGAACTCGTCCAAGCAATGGGCATGAAGAAGCTGACCGAACGCATGCGAGACCCAACACTCCAACCTTCCTTCGTCGGCATCTTCCCCAAAGATACTTCCCGCAACACCCGCTTCGCAATCAACTACTTCACCGCCATCGGTATGGGCGCCCTCACGGAAGACATGCGCGAACATCTCAAGAACATGCCCAAGCCCGCCCCGCCTGCTTTGCCGCCGCCCCCACAGTCGGAATCGGCATCCGACAGCGGCTCAGAGAGCGTGTCCAGCTACTCGAGCTACAGCTCGCGCTCCCGGTCGCGCTCGCCTTCGCCACGAAGAAGCCGCGGCCGTGGCAGGAGCCCTTCTCATGAGTCGTCCCGCTCCCGGTCTCGCTCATACTCGTCATCGCGCAGCCCGTCGCGAACGCGCGACCGTCGCCGCGGCGATGTCCGTGATAGCGGCCAAGGTAGACGCCGTACCCGAAGCGCCTCTTCTTCCGAGCGCTCCCGCTCACGCTCGGTCTCGAGGTCTCGCACTCCACCACCAAGAAGGAGCGCCCGTGCCCGCTCGCGCAGCTACACGCCCTCAGTGTCCCGCTCGCCGCCATCACGTAGGAACGGCCGCACAAGTGCTCGCGCGCGGAGCTATACGCCTTCAATCTCGCGCTCGCCGCCTTCAAGACGCGGCGCGCAGAGGAGCCCAGTACGCGCGCGCTCGAGGACGCGCTCACTTTCTCCACCTAGACGCGGTGCCAGGCGGAGTGTCTCACCGTCGCGGTCCCGGTCCCGGTCGCGAAGTCCCTATCGTCCGCGGGAAGGTCATCGGACGCGCAACTCTTCGTCTTCGCGGTCGAGATCGAGGTCGCCTCCGGCACGAAGAATGAGTCCCGCGCCCAGGAGGCGGCCCAGTCCGCCTCGGCGACAGAGGGAAGAGCCGGCGCCGCATGTGCATCCGGATCGCGCGGCGCAGGTTCAGGCAGGCGTGCATCCGAGCCGGGCGCATCTTGTTGAGGGGGCTGGGAGGGCTGGAGGAATGGGGAGGGGCAGGGGCAAGGGTGGGATGGGTGCCAGGGGCGGGAGAGGTGAGCAGCAGATGAGAAGAAGGAACAGTAGTAGTGTTGAGGGGAGTCCGGTTAGAGGGGCGAGGGGAAAGGAGAGGGCGAGGGCTAGTGATTTCTTGTAGAAGTGGATTTGAGGTGGGGTTAGAGGTTGGAGGTTCGGGAAGTGGGATTGGGACTTGGTGAAGTTCGAGTCGCTAGTGAACCAAGTGTGACATTCCTCTTCTGCTAGCGATGTGGCTTTCAGATGGGATGATGCATCGTTGTTCATAGTGTAGTACATTTGTATAGCCGTCAATCAATGGATGGCTACACCATGAGCTCACCACGAGTTCACCATGATTCGTCATAACATACACGGTAACCGCTCACTGATTTCCGAAACCGCCTCATCGAACACCGCTGTCGGTGTTTCCAACCGCGAATGTAGGTTTGACAGTTTACAACACGGCTGCCAAATGTCCATACTAGTACTTCCCATAGCAGCCCTAAACCCGTATCGAAGCCCGTCTACTAAAGACAAACTCACCACCCCAATCATTCTTTGACACCCGAATAGTCCCAGAGCAGATCCTTCAAACTCCATGGCTCAGACACTGCTACTACAGAACCGGTCATACCGGGCCAACTCACCACACGTTTCTCAGCGCGCCTGCCCGACATTGAACCTCGTGCACCGGGACCGCGCCCACAACGCCGGCTGGAAGCCTTACAACCCGGGGATTCAGTACTGGACAGTGTTGCATGTGCTGTTGTGCGTCGTGGACGGTAGGCCGAGCTATTGGAAGGCTAGGTAGAGCCATAGACCGGGAGTGCTGTGTGGGCGGCTTGTGCTGTACGACATACGGCCGCCGCGAGGATGGGGAAGCGGGGAAGGAGGTCAAGAGCCAGCTGTGCGTTGCGGGGATTTGGTGCTTCAGGGGTGAGGGTAGAGTCCAGTGGGAAGGTCATCGATACTTGGGGATGGGCGACTGGGAGGTGGCCTTGAGAGAAGCGGTTTGAGCTGGTTTGGCATCGGCTCGTAAGATTGGAGCGCGCTGCGTGGCATAGAGCGGCATAGGCTAACAGTAGAAAGGGCTACAGCAAGGAGGACTTTGACACAAGAAAGGAAAGTGGAGAATTGCTGCAAAGCTATCTTCATGGATTGGCTGTTGTCGGACACGCTGAAGAACAAAGGGACAGAGGCAAGGAGACAGAGACCCTGGAATATTCGTCAGGTCATTTCCTCTCAGCTGTAACGACGGAGATGCCTCTAGATGGAAGTGATCTAGAAAGACTCGCGAGTACCACTCCAAAGCGTAACGTGGGAGTATGCGAAATCTATGGATAGACAGCCTTGGACCTTTGACTGCGTTGATAGCTGTTCTTGCATGGAACGCCTTTGCTATTTTCAGCTTTATGCGGCCGCCTCAACGACAACGGCTTCGACAATGCTTGCAGAAACTATAATTGATTTATTTCTCGAGCGGTCGTTTCTTTAGGTGCGGGTCGAGCATCGGCGAGGACGACTCAAAAGGGCATCAAGACCGTCAACGGTGCCTGCACAACGTTGTGTGACGGTGATAATGGTTGCGAGCTTCGAGGTATACAAGCAGTAATAGGCAGACTGGATACGAATCAATCTGGTGGCTTTCCAATCCGCGTGCTGAGGTTCAGTGAGGTACGACTAGAGACAGCCGCGCTAGGGGAATACGATGTTCGTATTACGGCCTCAGGCCCGCAATGCAAGGGGCTATTTTCGATGAGCCCAATCAACTTCCACCATGCCAAGTCTGTTGATGGGTTGGGGGAGTAGAAAACTAATCGATTGACATCTACCCGGCCGATGATCCTTATTGCTAGTAGTTCATAGATGAGCGTTGCCTCCAGCCGAAGGTCAAACTTTATGCCTCTGTGACTCTATTTGGGTCGCCAGCACGTGGAAGGTCGGCCTGAGCTGCGACTCAACGGGTGATGGAATTCGCGCAGGCTTTATTTAGCAGAGTGGTTTACAGAGCGGCGATGCTGTCTTCTACAGCCAGTAGTAAAACCTTCCCTTCGAGTATAAGTACTGCATCCTTTCCTCCTGTTCACTCTCCATCATCCGCCCAAGATATCAATTCGAAACGTATAACTTCCACCTCGACAAGCTCTCAGCCATCAATTGTTTACGATGTTCCCCTCACTCTCCTCCCCCTCCACTGCGGCGCAGTGGGTCGTCGGTCTCCTCATGTTCTCAGCCACCGCCTCCGCCATCCCAGTGACCTCGGAGACCTCCAACGTCGAGCTCGAAACGCGCGCCCCAGTGGGTCATTCCTGCGCCGGCAACAACAACGGCGTATACGGCTGCGCGACCGTGACCTTTAAAGACCGCTACAACCTCAACATTGACCTCAGCGTCAAGGACACCAAGGGCGACTCTCACCCCGTTTACGCCTGGGTCCGCGTCTACGACGATCGCGGCAACACCGACTTGACCAGACTCCCGAATCACTCGGGGGTTGGCAAAACAGTCTCGACGAAGCAGACCTGGCAGAATACGCGCGGCAGGATCACTGGGTTCCGTGCTAAGGCGTGTGTTAGCGATGCTGGCCCTGATACTTGTTTCGATGGACCCTTTGTCAGCAATCCTTTGCCGTGATTGACAAGGCCCGGTTGAATGGGCTCTGTGGTGCGGCTGTATCGGTGTATACCTACGGGGTTGAGAGAAGTGCGATGATCAGGTGTCCCTTCCTTCCCTTCAGGATTCCTTTGGGTCGACTTGGCTTGAGAGTTTCGCATGGTGAAGCAAATCAGTCGTTACTGTCTGAATTCTTAGTTGTACCGGACGCAGATAAAAGCGGATTCCCAGTCCCTCTTTAATCGCTGTCTCTATGCGTGACGACTGCCTGATGCGAGCCTAGAACTTGCCGTTATGGGAGTATCATACCACCTACTGAATCTTCCATACAGGAAGTTTATGTATTGACATCCCCTAACACCGAGCGGACAAAAACCCGTAGGTCCATGGCGGGCAATAACCGCAAAAGGCCACAGTATTCCATCCGCTCGCAAGGACACTGGCTGAGAATACAAGGATCGACGGTAACGTAAACGGCAGCTGTGCATGTTCAATCGTTAGGCGCTGCATGTTTGGAGGAGGCTGTGTGAAGAGACTGCGTCGAGGCGACCGCAGCTGCATTTCCTGCAACCAACGCGACAACCGTGCCGTGAATAGAACGATGAGAATCATGGCAGCAGCAAGAGCATCGAGGACTGTGACAATTCAAAGAGCCGAGGGACCGTAAACGATATCTGCATGATGGTGCAGGCTGAAGAAAGTGACGACGAAGGCGGCGGGAGGTGCCAGCGCATTGACAAAGGCAATGAATGAAGCGGCGCAGCGACTGTGAACGAAGTCCGCATGACCGCGAAGGTTATGAAGGAGGGCCATGACTGCGACAACGACAACTCACAAGAACGTCGGTGAAAATCATTCTGAATGGTATGTGAGCCCAAAGGATCTGCGGCGTAACGGCGTAGGTCGCCTAGACACGGTAAAGCCTCTTTAGAGACGATTTTGCCTCCGCAGTCGTTCCACGATTGCTTATTTGTTTCTAGATACGGCAATACCGCTACACCGCGTGGAACGCCGCAAACTCAAGAAGCTCAACCACCGACCGATGGCGGTAAGAAGTCTGCGAAAATTTTGAGGCCCTTTCATTCCACGAACTACCTGACTGCCGGATTGGGCAATATGCTGCTGCTTGCGTAGAATGCCATATTCCAGCGACCCACGAGCAGCGTCCAGGCGCCGAAACGATGGCGAGATAGTAAAAACTGCGAGGACTGAGAAGATCTCCAGCATTACGATGCCGGTCGAGCAGAATGAAGAGGATCATGTTCGTTATTATAGGAGTGGTGAGAACGATAATGACTACAACAACCAAAATATTGCTAGGAGGATGACGCAGGATCGAAGCGACCCTGGGGGAGGCTATTTGTCTCTGGGTGCTTTGCCTCTCTGACTGCGTCCGTGAACTGTGATACCGTAAGTCCAAGTGGTAGATGTTCTCTACTCTGGTAAAACGCAAAGGCTTGAACCAATACGTTCCGGCTTGAAGTGTATTGGGCTGCCATTGTAGCACCAAATCAACGCGACAGTGACTAGAGATTATTCGAAAGACTCCTCCACTGAACAGACCTTGTCTTGCAGCATTGATATCATACCCATACTCTACTAGCGCTATTCTTAACTGTTACATTTCTCATCATCCTCTCCAAAATCCCTCCAAGTTTCTCCCCTGTGACGCATCGTGAGTTGTGATGCCATCGGACAGGAGCTGCGACCGACAGCCAAGCTTCTTCATTAATTGTTCTTACCTAGCCACTGCCATAACTCTCACAACTGAAGGTTCAAGGTTCGTGATTCGAAGATTGACCTCTAGCGTCGCCCAGAACAGCTTAGCGCTCGTGCGGATAAAGGGGCCGCCCGAACAGCGTTCTCCACGCCTCAGGCCTCCAGCCTTCCATCAGGTCCTTCCAAACAACATCCTTCGTCACACCACGATTCGTTCGCGTGTCGCAACAATGACCGCTACCAGGCTCGCGATCACCGCCAACAGCCAGATGCGCAAATTTGTCGAGCTGGTATCGAAGCGAAGTCACAAAATCTGAAACGCAGGAGCACCTTCAATCCTGCCAGGCACGTCGATCCATGGGCTGATCAAGGTGCGGTGCCTGAAAGTCTCGTCACCCTCGCTTGACCAGGGTCGACGAAGTCCTGCCGCTTGCCTCTGAACGTGACCGTAAGCTGAACTGGGCGGAGTCTGCTTTCTTTCGTCTACTGTCAAGGCGAAAGTGGCTTGGATAGACCAGTCATTCTTTCGTTTTATTCCCGTCTGCATTCCACTTTGTGCCTTCGATGAGGTGCACCCGCTTGCCTCGTGAGAGCCTATGAGCCCCTGTGCCTCGAGGCACGAGCAGAGCACGGCATGTGATGAATGAGCCGAGGAGGGATCTGGGCTTTCGCGGGGTAGGCCGTTGATGGGCCGCGTGAGCAAGCACCTCGTGTGCTCGTGTGTTTAGCGCCGCGCAGGACGCGGCAACGCTCCTGAAATTTCGTGCTTTCCAGGGTCTGAACGGAGCACTTCCATTTCTGGAACTACAACACCCAACCGACGCCCTCTTGGACCCAAGAGCGCGGAGGCGGATGGCCTTGTTCGTGTGCTCAATATTGGCGGGACCGACAGCACACCGTCACTGACTGTACAACCAGCAATGGTGCAGAGCAGCGACACGGAAATATTGAACTGTCCTAGTTTGTCTACAGCCGTGGTGCAGCAAATCGGCCAGCCGTTAAAATAAGCGCGCACGGCAGCTAGCGAGGCCGCATCATCCTTGAAGTCTACCTTTCGATTTGTCCATTTTCGGACCTACTTTCCATTCTCTCTCTAGTTCAGCGCCACTTTGCGGAGGAGATCAGGCCTGGGTCTGCCGTCAGCGTCTGACAGGCCCGCCCCCGCTTAAGATCGTCTCATGCGTCTGTTGGGTGCGCTTTTCACTTCAGTCGGTCTCCTCTCTCCACATATCTCATCGTTAGGCTATCCGAACGTCCCTCAACATCTTGAAGCTATCAGATCTGCGACAGAAGGTACTCTCAGGCTTCGTGACGGAGCTGCTCGACAGTACTGAGCAATGCCGGCACTTCACCCATACATGGAGCGACGCGATATCGTCAGCAAGCCCACTGACCCAGATGGGTTGATTCTCGAAGCCTGGGCGCAGGGCTACATGGTCGGCTCGCTCATCATCATGGCCTGCATCACCATCTCAAACATGCGCCGCGGTGTCCTTCTCCACAAGCTCATTCTCATCGAGGTGCGCCTCTAACAGTCCATCCGGGTGGCAAAGGAACTTGCTGACACTTACGCAGCTCATCCTGGGGACCTTCCACGGGACCTTCATCTTCGCTCATCCGCCCGTATACAGCTGGTATCTGTCGGTCACCGCGATATTCCTGAACATCAGCTGGAGCATGCACAACTTCATCGCATGGATGAAGAACAAGCCGTTCCTGAGCCGGAAGGTCAGCTACTTCTACATTGGCACGGTCATCCTTGCGCAACCGTACTGGGTCGTGGAAATCTACGCCAACTTCACTTACTTCAACAACATCAACACCGTCTTCCTCAAGACGCGGCCTGTGGAGGCGCTCTTCCGGTAGGCTTCAACTCCCTGTTTTCCTCCTCTGATGCGATAGGCATCAGATATACAGAAACAAGCTGACCTGCCTTCTTCCGCAGCGACCCGTGGTGGATATTCACGGTTCTCAACCTCTTCTACGTAATCCACACCCAGTACGACCTCGCCTTCATCGAAATAATCCGCATCAGCCCTCGCTTCGGCGTTCTCCTGGGCAGCATGCTCCTGTCCGTCGCCTTCATCATCATTGATATCCTCGCCGTCACCCACGTATTCACCCTGGAAAATCCCGATGGCATCAACCCCTTCTGGAAGCTGGCGTACATCTTCAAATGCCTGACTGACACCATCGTTCTGGACGACTTCAAAACCGCGCTGGATAAGCTGAGCCAGGTGAAGAGAGAGATGATCAGGAGTGATGATTTTGCGGGGTTCAAGAGAGAGGATGATCCGCTAGGAAGCCCGAATATCGAAGGGCCAAATTCAGGAGCGGACGCGAATGACCCGAGTGTGGGTGGGTCGGTGCACAAGAGCAGTGCGAGCCATCTGGATGATATGCATCTTAATGTTTACGACTTCCTGAACGAGTCGCCCAGGGATCGCAATAGATCAATGGGTTAACTCGTCATCGTGCATTAATGTTTTGAACGAGCTTGATGGAATCACCAAGAGCGCCACGCCCCTTGGGGAGGTTGAGGGTCTTTTCCTTCGGCCCGGGCCAACGCGACACGCTCTCTGCGCGAACCCATCTGTGGTCATCCTGGAGTCGACATACAAATGCATCCAGGGAGCCGACAAAGCACAAGGGATTACTCCATGCCAATTCACGTGACTCCATCGCGGCGACCTCTCCTCAAATTCTATACCGGATGGCTTGTTGTTGTTCAAGACGCCCCGCTCGGTACGACAAGACCACATAGCATCCAAGACAATGCGCTGAGTGTTGCGGAAGCGGAGGCTGAAGCGCCCTTGCAGTCCCTGGACGCGCCCTCTTGCTGCGGATACCTGTCAAAAGATAGCGGTGGACTCAGCCGACAGTCATCGCGCGGCTCGCTGTTAGAAGGAGCAAGGACGTACTCACGATCCTGCGTTACTATGATGTAAGGGCTTGTAGCCATCGTGGGGACGAACACAGCGGTTCTCGGACGCTTGGCATCCGTAGTGAGAAGGCCGCAAGGGAAAGAACGGCGGTACTTTGGTGTTGATCTTATGGTCATAAGGTTCGTGTAATATGACTAGGGGCGGGCTAGCCTTGGATGTGCAATGATGAGTGGAATTGATCACGAAGAGATGAAAGCGAATGTTCCGGTTCCAAGTAGGCAAGATGCTATACTTGCGTATCTAGAATAGTAATTAGTTGATAGCTAGAGAAGCTACGATGTTGCATGCCAATCCACGAAAGCACGGATTGTCAGTAATACGAGCGTATCGCTCTGCAGCGGATGACCGCACTGGCTAGTATCTTACATGGCCTTTTGGGCGCGTGTGATGAAAGTATTGAAGCCCCCCGAACCGCGGCCATCACGTACAATAGCCCATATTTTGCCCTCATCAAGTCGCTCTCCTGATACCCAATGCCAAGCGAACCGAGAGCTAACCCCTTTAGGTATCCCACGATCCACGACGTCAGCACTCAACCCATCCACCGCTCTCAAACCCCACACCACCACCGAAGAACGGGTGCGCGCTCAACCGTACACATCGCACACATCTCCCACCGGTCACTTCCCGCACCCCTTTCAAAATGCCACCCCTCCGTCCCCGCACCCTCCGCACCATCACGACGACCGCGAAATCACGCCCTGGTCACCGCCGCCCACGCGTCCCAGACGAGTCCACCCTAGCAGGCGCGACGCATAAGCCCTCCCTCTCAATGGGCGGCGCCTCGTTCGGACACTTGATCTCAGAGCTCAGTAGGACGACGCCGACGATGCAGAGGGTTGCGGCAGGGTTGCTGGGCGTGCCTGTTGTGCTTGGGGCGGGGGTTGTTGGGGTGACGTGGGTGTGGGGCCTAGCGGATTAGGAGACCAGGAGCTAGGAGATGGAGGGTAAGAGATGAGTTAAAGGTCGGAGAGCGAGGTGCTATAGGGCTGAGGGACCGAAGGGCTAGGGGCAAGTTGGCACGCGCAAGGGAAGGTTGAGCACAAAAGACCGCGGAACCAGAAGCATGAGCAGCGCTTTGCTGGGGACCCTACCGAGGACGCAGCCCTTCTGATGATGCTCTTCGTGCGGTTTGAGCAACGCCATCTCAATACGATAGGCCGAATGACTACAAGCTATAGCGAAGCCTTGGGCTCTACAGCTGGGCTCCAAGACTCCCCTCTTTCACTCGAGTCGCTTGAGGGGCTTTCGTATTACAACCAGCGGATATACGCTCGTTTCGGCGCACGACCTGTCCCACATAGTAAGGAAGGGGCGTCTTGATTGTTCGTGGGATTCTTCCGGTCAGCTGCGCCAGTGGGCCTTCACGCATGCTTGGCCGATACAGTCGATTACTCGGTTCTTCGCTGGGAAGCCCATCATCTCCTAGGGAGATGCCTGGCTGGTGTATATTGCTGGGGTTGAAGAGACTTCTCCTGGGGAGGAATAACATGCTGGGGATTTTTTTGAACTGCATGGGCTGGAAGACCGGGCGGACATGTCTCCTCTTCCCCGGAATCCTTTTCGAGACGATTGTAGGTGCAAGCAGTCCAGAAGGGCAGAAGGCTGCTTTGTAGTCTGCAGCTTGGGTGGGCACCGGGGTATTGAAATTCTGGTCAGCGCCTTGGCGGTTCAGAAGTGGAAGCTGAACTGAGGACGAGGAGAAACATGAGAGATTGGATATTGTGGGCAGCGCGAGGCCCCGGCTGAGAAGTACGGCATTAATGCTTATCTACAACATAGGCCACTAGCTACGTTGGGCAGATTGACGGATTTGATGTTATAGTCAGCAGTTGCAAGGACATAAGCAGTATTGCCGGATTGAATCCAACTTTGTACAGCGCCGTGAATGATATGCGCAGTCACTATGGTTGTGCTGTGCGATACGAGCGAACGCAACTCATATCTCGCAATGTTAGTTCTCTGAATGATGTGCCTTGCACCACAACTTTTGCATCAGCCGCACAGGCCGCCGGCTGTGGCGTTCAAGCGGCTCTGTTGATGGAGCGCAAAGGAGTACAGGTAAAGGGTTGTAAACTATCGCAGAGAGGGTCCCTTGATGAGAGCCGAGTCGGCACTGGAGCAGTGACACGATTGCCGTTGAGGGTGAAGTATTGATGGTGCTCTGTGTACAATGAAATAGCAAGGTAGATGAACTTCAGAGCAGCGGAATACAGCCTTGGGAAAAGACAGCAAAGGAAATCAAGATCCGATTAAAGTAGCCTAGTCTGGATCCTGGAATTATTGTTCACCTAATCCAGCCGTGGTCGATTACATGTGGACATTGGACGGGTTCGATAAACTCTTCGTATCACCTATCTCTGCAAAGCACCAGACCACCGCTGCAGTACGTTCCAAACATTGGCTGAACTGGACGACTGCTGAGAAGGCCCAAAGCTTTGGCAGCTGGACATTCTGGGGGCTATTAGAATTATCCTGCGTTCCGTAGGGTGCTGTAGAGATTGTAGGGCCCCGCGTATGCTCAGCTCTTCCGGGTGGCGCAGTGCAAATGGCTGATGCTGCTGTTCATCCTTTGTCAGGATTGCTGACAGCACCCGTGTCGGAGGCTTAGAAGTACTCCGTATCCTCGTGAATTGGTGCGAGTCAGCACGAAGCCTTGCGGCAGCGTGAGACACATCTCGATGAATCGATAACTTTAGCTGGCTCGCGCCGATGGACAGGCCTGCTAACGTTAGCACCTCGCCACACTCGTCAGCATCGCTCCCGAAGTCGATGTTCGGACTTCAGTGTCGGCTCTCCGCACAAGGAGCGTTCTGGTGATGCTTGGCAGGAGTAGCTGTAAAGGGCATGGCGTCCACATAGAAGATGAGTTCAACCAACCACAACGAAGGTGTTCTAACGACAATCGAACTGCTGTGCCTGCAAAGCATCGCCTCGCAGGCAGCTGGGAACCGATCTGTCAAGAGTTCCGGACGACAAGTAGCGCAAGCTGTCGGTATCTCGGTGCCAATCCTCGACCGATACATTACACGAGCCTCACGGCGCGCTCAAAGCATCTCACTCAGGCGTCCAGTCTTACCGTGGGCTCACCACGGTGAGAACGCAAGATGGACCATGGCGTTAGCATCCGAAGGTCTCCAAGGTTCCAAGCACCTTTAAGGCGTTGTATGTGCTCCGCCAACCGCAGACGGGATTGAGTGTTTCCATCCTAGCCATGGTGGAAAGGCCCATCGTGCGAACAAGCTTTTCGGCTTCACGGTGATCGTTGTCAGGGCACCGTTTCTGGCCATTAGCTCATGGCCATGGCCAGCGGCCCCCAGGCTTTGTCCGGGGGCTTAGCAAGGCTACCCGTCTGATCTTCGTGTCGTCTTGCTCCTTTCAGACGCCGCGTCCATGGTCGTTCCTGTGGCAGGCCGGACTTCGGGCAGTGGGGACAGACCATTATCTCAAAGGCTTTCAGCTACGCACTGATCGCGCAGAGTCGGCGCAGGTGAGATCTGAAAGAGAAAGGGTATTCTAAGGCGCGAGAAGCCGAGACTGTTAGACGAGGAATCCACTTGGTTATATATCCTCGCCTTGGCCGTGACTTCCAGCAGCCCAATCCCCACGGTTCCGGTGACGCTATTTTAATACACTTCCCGGTTGTCCCACCCCGGCGGGTGCTGTCCGTATATGTAGTGTAGCGTCTCCGAACTGTGTCGCTGTCAGATTCTGTAAAACCAGGTTGGCGGTCTGTTTGAGCCCGGCAGATTTACCAACACGCCTTCATCATGGCTCTCATAACGTTCCTCGTCTTCGCGGCCATTGTGGTTGCTGTTGGCCTATACAAGCACCTCACTTCAAAACCGAAAATACCAAAGGGTCTGAAGCCGTTGCCAGGTCCGAAAGGTAAGCCATACTTCGCTAATCCTCAGCCTGCCACTGCGCAAAGACTTCCATAGTATTAAGACGATATCGAGAAGTAACTAGCTAACTTCGCCCACAATAGGCTACCCAATCATTGGTTCTGTCCCTGATGTACCTGAGAAGAATGGCTTCATCAAGTTTGCCGAGTGGGGGAAGGAGTACGGTCCTATCTACAATTGCAACCTCGCCGGCTCGAATCACGTCTGGATATCCTCCGACAAGATAGCAAAGGATCTCCTTGCGAAGAGGGCCGCGATTTACTCGGCCCGACCTCACATTCCGGCGCTCCTCGACGACAACCGAACGAGCGCTCAGTACCTCCCACTGCTTAGCAACAATGGTAAGTCACCATCTTCAAGAATCGGCGAGACGAGCTTTACTAACGCCTCTGCGCAGATGGCTGGTCACGTCAGAGGAAGTTTGCAAATGCCATCATGCGAGAAGCGGAGAAGGCCAACTGGCACCACTACCCGGAGCTCGAGGCGAAGCGTCTGCTCGTTGAGCTGCTAGATGACCCATCCCAGTATAACCACCATCTCGAGTCGTTCATTGCCAGAATCACCTGCCGGCTGGCATGGGGCCACAGCGAACCCAGCAACGAGCTCAAGCAACGTGCGCGCGAACTGCTCATTGGTGTCTCACCCACCGGCGCTCTCGGCAACAAGCTACCCTTCCTCATGGCAATGCCGGATTGGATGTCACCCGTGAAGGCTTGGGAGAGGCGACGAGCCGCAACCGAACGGCGATTCTTCCAGATGATGGAAGAGCAGGTCGAGACTGAAATCAAGGAAAAGCGGGCGCCACCGTCGTGGATGCGCATGGCTATCGAGGGCGGCAAGGAGCAATGGAACTTCCAGTACAAGGATGAGGGCGCTTACTGTGTCGGCATGCACGGAATCGCCGGTGCACTCACAATCGCTGCGCCCATGCAGACCTTCTGCCTGGCCATGTGCTACTACCCGCAGTATCAGCATCTTGTCCAGGAGGAAATCGACCGCGTTTGCGGTGATCGGATGCCGCAACCTTCCGACCGGCCGAACATGCCTGTGCTGCGTGCGTTCATTAGAGAAGCTCTCCGCTGGAGGCCTCCGGTCCCGACTGGTAAGATGATAACGAGGGCGTGAGCAAGCACAATCTGACGTGTCTCCCAGGCATCCCGCACTACCTGATCCAAGACGACGAATACGAAGGCTACCACATCCCCGCCGGCACAACCATGCACCCGCTAGAATGGTAACGCCCTCTTTTTCAATCTAATGAATCGCACCGTCGGCTCCATTACTAACTCGCTGAAAACTTGTAGGGCAATCTCACGTGACCCCGAGCTCTACCCCGACCCGGAAGAGTTCAACCCGCTCAGATGGCTCAAGCCCGAATACCCGACCTACAAGGAGCCGCTGACCGAGTTCCCGACCATGTTCACGGGCAGCACGCAGGCAGGCTACGGACGCCGGCTGTGCATGGGCTCCCAGGTCGCGGACGAGGACATGTTCATCGGCATCGGCTCGCTGGCCTGGCTGTTCCATATCTCGAAGGAGGACGCGAAGCGGAACATCATGATGAACGAGAAGGCGAGTATTTCGGAGGAGGAGCTGAACACTGGGTTGGACGAGGACAGCGACGCGAGTTCGGAGAAGAGCCAGGAGGTCAAGTTCGATCCGACGGAGGTGAAGGCGAAGAAGGAGTCGAAGAAGGAGGTTAAGAAGGATGAGATGGATCCGACGCTTGATTACTCGATTCTGTTGATCGCGAAACCGCTGCCGTTCAAGTTCGATCTCAAGGTTAGGAAGCCGGAGAGAGTGGAGATTGTGCGTAGGCAGTTTGAGGACGGGATGGAGAAGGGGTTGTATGAGTCGCCGAAGAATTACTGGGGGGATAACAAGGGCAAGCTTGGGTGGGGGAAGGTGTAGATCATAATGCGGAGATGCGGAGTGGAGCGAGCAAGTGCGTAGGTAGGAAGCCGGAGTATCAGTAACTTCGGCGGACTGGGAGGGTGGTTTTGGATAGAGGTGGGAGTCTCTGGGGTAGATGCGCGTTGTCTCGATTGCATGTTTTTCGTTCTACCTTCTGAGCATATGGTTTCGAAGGGTTTTAGGCGAATTACCCTGGTGTTTTGCGGGCTTTCTTGTTACGTAGCTGGAATGCAACCTACTACATTGTTCGACGTTTGAACGTGTTTGTTGAAGCTTGCTTCATCCCACAGCCTCTTAACATCTCCTCCTTCGGGTCATATAGGTATCCCGTTAAACGCAAACAGTCCCGGTTCGTCTTTTATGTCACTAATGGAACCTTTTCTCAAGCTCGGGTAGTCACTTCGGACGGCCGAAGGCGAACGGCTGAGGGCAAACGGCCTCCCTCAGGCTTCAAGGCTCCGCCTTGGCGGATATGTTCTTATCGTGTGCAAAGTGCCGGAATAAGAAAGCGGAAGCGATCTAGAAATCTATTGGAGCGAGCTATGCGGGGGTTAAGAAAAGCCTCGTTTCCTCCATTAATTCAAGCGCCTTCTCTTCGTCTTCTTTATAAACCTCACCGCTTGCTACAAGTTCAAATTGTCGTGAGACGCTCACTCAGATACCTCCGGCAACTTCCAGATGTCCAGCGAAGACGCGAAAGATGTCCAAGATACGATACAAACGGCCCAGTTCCAAGCCTTAGAACCTGAAAAGCTTCATGAGCAGCTGAAGACATGTGGCCTTACACTCTTTGGAACCGGAAACGACTGCGTTTGGTACACCATCGCACATCTACTTGGCTCGAGTGTCGACAAGGTTAAAATCGCCACCGGCTTATCGCCTACGCCAGGAACAAGTGGAATCCATGCCAATGCCGTCAAAGGCCTACTGACGTCTTTGGGCAAAACATTCTAGTAAGTCAACAATGCAATAAGCCCGCTCGAAAGTCTCTTAGCACTAACATACACACCTAGCACTGCCGAGAGCGACCTCCGCTGGACTCTATTTGATAGAAGAACAGGAGATGGGTTTCAAGACGTTGATAGCTTCCATAGTTTGGATAACAAAGCTATCGGCGTTTACTACACGCGGCAAGATGGATCCGGTCACTACGTCGTGTACGAACCCGTCTTCAGTCTGGTAAATACAGACATAAGAAAAACCTATAAGGCGGGGGGGTTCCTGCCCAGTAGGGCTAAGCGCCGCGCACCGAAGCTTCCACCTTCAAACTTTCAGTTTATAGACTATAGCGTCTCTCCTCCAATCGACATTCGATCAGATGTAACGGCATCTACTATTAAGGTCGTGTTCTACATCGCTAGAGGGCGGAACAGACCGAGGGATCCTTTACCCTGAGATTTCGATAGAAAGAGGTACTAATCCCTTCCCTGTTAACTTATTTGTTACTATTAGGCTAAGAAAGATGTACGTATAAGAGAGCAGGACTGGCGCGAGCGAAGACGTAAAGACTACGAAGACATGCAAAAAAAGTGGCGTGAAGAGAGAAGTCTAGAAGAGCGGCGTAAAAGGAATCTCAAGAGGAGCGGCATACCCTGTAACATTGATGATCCCGATGATCTTGATGATGATGAGGATGAGGACGATGATGTGACCCAGTTCACTGTGTTACCAACACTACAGCACTACGGAGGACAGGGTGACAACGAACAAGTGATTGGACCAGAAGGAGCGGAACAGATTGAGGAATCAGGATTGGGGCTGAATTATGAGGAGAGCGATGACATGGACACTAGCGGCGGCTAAGTATCAGAGGTCAGGTTACGTGGAGATGTTTGGTTAGTTAGGCCTTTGAATGAAGGATCCATCTCCTAATTCTACATTGCCGTTCTCAGACGGTTGTAACGAGTGAATACCAGCAAAAGGTACACAGCAGGCTGTTAAGTGGAGATTCCTGCTGACTTTCCGTCACCACCAGCAGCTCCGGACAAAGACTGTTAGAATGAATGAATCAATCTGCGTGTCTCTTCTCTACCACCCTTTAGCCCAATTCGCGCAACCTCCTATGCTACAGTAAGTCTTTGGCATTGAAGCTTGTGGCTAAGGCGGTTTGAGGCTCGCCAGATAATTGTTGGGAGCAGAGACCTACCGTCTGCAGATATGCATTCGATAGCAGTCACCATCGTTCGCTTAACACCTACGCCTCTATTGAAGGTAAAATATGGTGACTTAGAACATTCCGAGTGATGCAAACAGCGGGATCAAAAGTCAGAGTTAGAATTCCGATTTGAAAAGCGCTTCCATTATTCCATTTCCAATAAGTCAATGGGTGTTATGGGGAAAATATCGTGACGTAGGCGAATATTTTTTAGTATACACTAGAGTGGATATCTTAATTAATATCTACCTGAGTGGACATCTCCCTAAGTAAACACAGCCGGCGGCATGCCCTGTCCAAAAGGGTGGAACCGCGTCAATTGACTTTACTACTACTACTACTACTACCAGATCCGGCAACATCGCCGTGGACCCAGAACACCGCTGCAGTGGAAACGCAGCAGATCCCTTCTCGTAACTTTCTAGATAACCGCTTATGACGCGCTGACCGTTGCGTTACTGAGACCAACGTCACCTCCTCGGCGGCATTTAGTTGTTGGCAAGGCGGACTGGGTAGGCCTCGGAGACCGCACTATGGTGGCTTGATAAGGCGCAATGGGCGCGGAGGATCGGAAAACGATCCGCCGAGAGTAGAAGAGGGTTGAAGTACCTTCTTGGAACTGAAACTGAGAGGCCGAAAGGCCAGCTGTCTTATGGTAATGTTCAGCATGCAAATGCAGCCGTTGTTGCCGCCGCCAACGGAGAGCATACGTGTGTCAGATTGGTATTGGACACGATCATGCGGATGGTAGTGAGCAGGGGAAAAGGATCTACCCAGGAGGATATATAGCGTAGATGTTAATGCCATCTGGAAATCTCTGCGTAATATCTGAGACCAATCCCGCAGGACCATTCAACGTGTTCCACAGCAAAGACCCCTTAACCTCCTTGGCATACTCCCTTCCACCGGTCCTCGTATCATACAGTCCACGCGGTGGATTGACAATCTGACGACAAGGACAAGAGAACAAAAAAACCTTGGGAAGCGAGCTACACGCTCTACTCCGACGAAAAAGTAGAAACCCGGAACGCCTTTTACGGACACACATTATGGGAAGGGTAGGGTACAACACAGGGCCGCCGACGGCATTTTACATGACTATGCAGCAGCCTGTGCTACCTTGTTGGGGTGCATAGGGGTCTTCGCGTTTGTCGACCTGTGTAGCACGGGAGGTGTCAGATGCTGTGGCAACGTGGAGATGGGGGTAAGAGTGGAAGGGGAAGTGTGGTAGAAGGCAAAGCAGATAGAGGAAGGTAGAGAGCTGAAAGTGGTAATATGAATGGGAGGCATACCGTTCCCCATCGGCTCGGCACCATATAATCCTTTGGCTCCTTGTCACAGAATGCAATCAAGCTGTGCAGCACACCGGGTTAGCCGACTGCCCAAATCCGATGGCACTCCCATACAACATCCAGCCCCTGCAGCACCCGCGTCCATGCGCTCCGAACCAAGACGGAGGATGAACGCCGGCGTATACGAGGGCTGGGAGGGTCGTGGTGGAAAGAGCAACCTACTCCATCGCCGCCTCGCTGACAGGTATCCGTCTCCTCTCCAAATCCTCCTTCAGCCGCGCATTCAGCTCCGTCAGCCGACGCAGCTTGAGCTCGGCCATGGACTGTTTCTTCGATTTGCCGTCGCCGCCGGTGCGGAGTTCATAGGGCGTGGACATCATCCTGGGCGCCCTGTGTTCGCGCTCCGATTGATTTGGTGAGCTGGCGAGACCGACCGATCAGTCAGTATTGCAGGTGAGATGCGATGTGATGTTGGTGATGTATGGGTGTGCGATGCGACGTGCCTGTCGATCGGGGGGAGATGAGGCAGTGGCCCGGACTTTGCCCAGTGCCGCGACTTCAAGCGGAGAGCTGGCCGAGGCAATTGACAGACGAACGAGTGTGAGGCGTGCTGCTGACGGCGATGAGAAGACGAGCTTGGTTACTGTGGTGCCGGAAGCGCTCTCACAGCCGTTCGGGGGGGGAGATGGGCGGGTGGTGAGTGAGGTTGCGGTGCGGCAAGGAGTGAACCTAGGCCAGAGCTCGGTTAGCGTCGTGTTGTTCGAGGCCAGCTGGGTGGTTGCGCATCACGTGAAAGACCGAGAAAGGGGAAATCTTACGCCGCTGACTCAGCCGTTTCATGCTCGGTTACGACACACGCCTCGCACCCCCAAACTTCATCAAATCTGCCAGACCCGGCGACGACAGTAAGCACAACTTCGACGTCTGCCATCACCATACAAGCCGCGACTCCGTATACGTGCCAGCATTCGAATCGCCGTATCGAGGTGTCGGAGTAGAGGAGGTCGCCCAGCATGCCTCCTCCGCCACACAGCAGGCCGGAAAATGTCCTGAAGGTGCGTTCCCAGGCTCTTATATTACCCTCTGCGCTGCGATGCCCGCTGAGCACGGCCTACAAATCGAAAGAAGCAGGCCGGGAGCCGTATTTAAGCTCAACATTATATAGCAAGAACCACCCTTGGCTTATGGGTGAAGGGAATCAAAGCGGAACAGCGTCATAAAAGTTGCAGCAGATCATATTGCTAACACATCTTTCAACAGCGGGCCCAGGAGCTTATCGGCGTCGGCCAGTCGCAGGCCGCGCTGTCACTGCTCCACGAACATGTCGTCTCAAAGCGCACCCGGAACAGTCCGATCGCCTCTCTCGAGCCGGTGATGATACTCTTTGTCGAGCTATGCGTCGATCTGAGGAAGGGCAAGCTAGCAAAGGACGGCCTGTACCAGTACAAGAACACAGCGCAGAACACAAACGTGGGGACGATTGAGGTAGGCGATGTTCTCATCAACAAATCTGAGATGCAACAAGGCTGACAGCGGGTGATGTAGCTGGTCTTCAAGAAGTTCATCGAGCTTGCCGAGCAAAAGGTCACCGAAGCCCAAGCTAAAGCCGATGAAGTCCACGCTGGCACAGAATCAACTTCCACTACAAATGTTGAGGATCTCGAAGCAACGGAGACTCCGGAATCCATCCTCCTATCCACTGTATCCGGTGAACAATCCCGAGACAGGACCGACAGAGCCATCGTTACGCCATGGCTGAAGTTCTTATGGGAGACGTACCGTACGGTACTCGATATCTTCAAGAACAACGCTAGGCTCGAGGTCATGTATCAGTCGACTGCCCATCAGGCATTCCAGTTCTGCTCGAAATATGCCCGCAAGACCGAGTTCAGACGCCTTTGCGAGCTTCTGCGGAATCATCTGCAGAATGCTGCCAAGTTTTCATCTCAGATGCATGCCATCAACCTCAGCGACCCAGACACCCTCCAGCGCCACCTTGACACCCGCTTCCAGCAGTTGAACGTTGCTGTTGAGCTTGAGCTATGGCAGGAGGCGTTCCGCAGTGTCGAAGACATCCATACACTGCTCAGCTTGAGCAAGCGCCCAGCAAAGAACATTATGATGGCCAACTACTTTGAAAAGCTTACTCGCATCTTCCTGGTCAGCGAGAATTACCTTTTCCATGCCGCCGCATGGAGTCGATATTATAATCTCATGCGTCAATCTGCCGCAGCCGTCGCCTCCGGGCAGAGCCCGAAGAAGGATAATCCTGCCGTCTCCGAAGCCGACATGACCAAAGCCGCCTCCTTCGTTCTGCTCTCTGCCCTCGCCATCCCAGTCATCAGTACCTCACGCTCCCGCGGCGCCCTCGTCGATGTTGATGAAGCCCGGAAGAGCAAGAACGTGCGCCTCACCAACCTCTTAGGCATGTCGCAAGCGCCCACGCGTGCCATCCTCTTCAAAGATGCTCTCAGCAAGGGCCTGCTCAAGCGCGCCAGATCCGAGATCCGAGAGCTCTACAACATCCTTGAAGTCGACTTCCACCCTCTCTCCATCTGCAAGAAGATCAGCCCGATCCTCAGCGCTATTGGCGCCGACGCGGACATGCAGAAATATGTGCAGCCGCTCCAGCAGGTCATCCTGACGCGCCTGTTCCAGCAGCTGAGCCAGGTCTACGAGTCCGTCGAGCTTAGCTTTGTCATGGATCTTGCCGCGTTCCCGGAGCCGTTCCAGGTCAACACGGGCATGATTGAGAAGTTCATCATGAACGGGTGCAAGAAGGGCGATCTGGCCATTCGCGTCGATCACGCGACGGGCGTGCTCACGTTCGACTCGGACGTATTCTCTTCAGCCAAGGCGCTGCATCCCGGCTCGGGCGCCGGCAGCGCCGAAGCGGAAGCGGGTTCCGTGCAGAAGCTACAGAGCACTCCTGCGGAGATTGTAAGGAGCCAGCTTACCCGCTTGGCGAAGACTCTCTACATCACGTGCCAGTACGTGGACCCGACCTTCAATGAGGACAGACAGAAGTTAAAGGCCGCGGCGCTGGCGAGAGCCAAGGCGGGCGCAGAGAAGGAGCACGTGGAGACGCTGAAGCGGAGAGAGATCATCGACCGCAAGAAACAGGCTGCTAGCTCGCAGCTTGCTGCGAAGCAGAAGGAAGAGGAAACCCGCAAGCGGATGCGGGCGCAGCAGGCGCAAGAAGCCGAAGCGGAGAGGCTCAGAGAAGAGCAGAAAGCGAGGGAACAGCGCAGGATCCAGGCCGAGCTGGACCGCGTTAAGCGCGAGGAAATTGAACGCCAGCTTAAGGAGCTCAAGACGGGTACAAAGGGCGTGGATGTCGAAAGCCTCGATGTGAGCGAGTTGGATGCAGGAAGGATCCGCGCGATCAAACTTGCTGCGCTGGAGAAGGAGAAGAATGAGCTTAGCGACAGGCTGAGGATCACCGGGAAGCGGATCGACCATCTGGAGAGGGCGTTCAGGAGGGAGGAGATCAAGCATCTTCCCGAGGACTATGCGGCGCAGCGTGAGCAAGACTTTGCTGCATACGAAAAATTCAAGACCGACACGCTCAGGGATGCGGAGCAGAAGCACACGGAGGATGTTGCGCTCAAACACCGACTGGGCCGGTTGGTGGAGAAGTACGAGGGGTTCAAGAAGAACGTGGAGAGAGAGCGGAAGAGCGAATTCGAGAAGAGAAGAAAGGCGGCGGATAAGGAGCTGCAGCAGAAGATGGACGCCCGTCGCCGCGAGTACAGCGAGCGGAAGGCGAGGGAGAGACGTGAGGCGGAAGAGGCGGAGCGCCGTGCCAGAGAGGAAGAGGAACGCCTTGCTCAGGAGGCGGAAGAGAAGGCGCGCGAGGAGGAGGAGAAGCGCGAGAGGATGAGGGCAGAGAAGGAGGAGAGAGAGAAGAGCAGACGGTACGTTGCATCAGCCTCACACACCTGCCCAAAAAGGACAACACACTAACATCTCATCCCCCAACAGCGAAGCAGAAGAAGCAGCAGCCCGCCAACGCCAACGCGAAGAAGAAGCCCTCGCCCGCCGCAAAGCCGCCCGCGAAGCTTCCACCCGCGTCCCCGAACGTGCGCCCGAACGTGCGCCCGAACGTGTGCCCGAACGCGCCGCCGCGGAGTCGCCAGCCCCAACTGAATCCCGCGGTCCACCGCGGCTTACCCTCCAACCCAAATCCGGCGCCCCGCCCATGTCCTGGCGCGAGCGTGAAGCCCTCAAGAAAGCAGGCCAATCCCCGGCCCCGACACAGAACCCGACGCCCCCGGTGCCACCAGCGGACGAACGCGTCGCGACGGCTGAGGTGGACCTGCCGCGCAAGACGGGCGGCACTGGGTCTGGGTATGTGCCGCCGCATCTGCGCGAGGCTGGAGCGAAGAAGCCGAGTGAGGATGGTGCGGGTGGTGGGTGGAGGAGCCGGGAGACTTCGAGAAGGGGGGAGAGCCCTGCGCAGGCGGCGGGTGGGAGGTATCAGCCGCCGGCTCGCGCGGGAGGCGCTGAGACGGAGAGGAAGGGATATGTTCCTCCCAGCTTGAGGGGAGGTGAGGAAGGCGCGAGGGATGCTAGTCCCGCTGCCGCTGGTGCTGGGGAGGAAAGGAGGGATGGGGGCGCGGATAGGAAGACGGGTGGGTATGTGCCACCGCACTTGAGGGGGCGAAGGGGGGAGTAGATGTGTGGGTTGTTGAGGATGGGGGAGGAAGGGGCTTGCTTCGGGGTCTGTGTTCATAGATTGGCTTGATGGACCGGCTCCAGTCTTCTTTTCCTTAGCTGTCTTATGGTAGGGTGAATGCGAGCCTGGCTGCTTGAAATCGGAAGTTAATCATTCCACTGCTTCACACCTGGCTTACGCTTTGCATATATGAAGCTAGGTACCCCACAATTGTGTGTGCAAGCTGTGCAATCGTGCAGCGGTCAAGAGCTTGTGATGTTGTCCCTCGAAGAAAGGCTTTACTTTGAGATATCTTCGAGAGCTGATTGAGATATCTCTGAAAGCTGGTCTTCTTGTTGTACAGCCGGTTTTCAGTCCGCATACCGACAACTCCCTTGGGTGACCATAAGATTAGACGAAGTTGAATTTTTCATCTCAGGAGAGGTCTCCGCGGGGTGGGGGTGACTTTGTCGGCCTGAGGCACCATTTGAGGGGGGGTCCAGAAATTCAGGGCCTCTCTGCAAATCGGGCATTTTAGGCTCAAGCTTGGCCAAGACACCCAAGCCGACCTCGAATCTTGACGGCAATCGAAGCCACACAGCGACACAGCGACACAGCGAAACTGCGACTCCACTGCTCAGTTGCCCACTACCCGGCTACTCAGGTACACAACCTCACGGCCTCGTCGCCGCCTCTGCCGCGCCTCCAACCTCCTTCGCATCGGCCCTCCAGCGACAGAGCTCGCACCGGAAAGTCGACAAACTTTGCCCCGCGACAAGAGCGCAATTGGGTTCGGCCGGGAGACTCTCCTTTGACGCTCAGAACGCCCGCCGCTCGGGCGCCCGCTGAGATTCGCGGCGTCTCAGCACACAGTGGAGGATGAATCAAGATGTGAACAGCTTCGTTCCCATGGCGTCCGTGGCCGACGACGATTTCGCCAACTTCTTGGATCTGAACAACCTGGAGGATATCGATCTGGATTTTCCGACATATGACGCCAACGATGGGAGCATGGAGAGTAGTCGCGAGCTGAATGACCTTGCGGATAGCCTCGACTTGCAACATCTGCCGGCTAGTGGGACGTTGACGCCGCAGGTCGAGTTTGGACTCGGTGGGCAGGCACAGCAGACAGGGCATCCGGGGAACGACATGCAAGAGCCGGGCAATGCGATCTTCGACTTTGGGTTCCAAGCGCCTGTGGGACAGTATCAAGACCACAACCAGTATGGCATGCAGTACGGTCTCAACTTCCACCCGCAGTCAGTGGTCCCGCCGACACCGAACAGCGTCGAGATGCACGCAGATACTGCGCGGTACCTGCAGCAGATGGATGCGCAGACAAGGGCGATACTGGAGCAGCGGTATCAGTTGAGAAAGGATGACGCTGTATGTTGCAACCCCTACTCTTCGTGGCCATTGGCTGATCGCTTAGGAGGGAGCGTTCACGCCGCTTGGTACACCCGCTGTAACACCTCATGATACTCATTTCCAGGTCCCGCGGGACTTTACCGTGCCCGGCGCGTACGCGTTCAGTCCGCTCACATCGCCCGCGTTGGAAGCGCAGAATCAGAACATGAGGGCATACTACTCTTCCGCGGGCGGATCGACAAGCTCACTAGGCACAGCCCCACTACTCGACCAAGACGTGGATATGCTTGGAGACTCCGCCGCGCCCCTAATAGAGCCAGCGCCGCGATCCAGGACAAACAACAGGGCTTCCGCCGTCCGGTCAGGCCCATCAACCCGCATCCGCCAGTCCCCCATCGTGAAGCCCAGCAGACGAAAAGCGACGCTCTCCTCCACCGTCCCACCAAAAGAAGTCAGCGACCTCCTCGAAGAAGTCCAGCGACGCAAAGCCGGCTCAGCACAGCAGCACGTCTCTGGCCTCTCCGTACCCAACAGCATGGAAAGCTCACCCGCCGAATCCATCTCCCCGGAACCTCTCTCCGAGCCCCTAATGGGCCCACCCCCCAAACCCAGCTCCCTTCACCCCTCCCCCTCGATCCTCGCAAACGGCACCCGCGGAGCGACATCCCTCTCAGCGCCAAAACCTCAAGCACCCTGTCCCGCAACCCCCGCATCCCTAATGCGTCTACCGGCGCAACCAGACCACCCCTCATCCGTCCCTCCCTCCCCCTCCTTCCTAATCACTCCCGCGAACACAATCTCAATGCCCATGCTCGAAGACCTCGCCCTCCCCGAAGCCGCGGACCCAGCGCCACTCCGACCCTCCCTCACCCCCATCGACACCGCCATCCCCGCTCCCGGCGGCAGCGACGACACGCCCCGCATCCCGGCGCGCAAAACTCCAAAGCTGAGCGCGAATTGTACGCCCATGATGAGCGCGACGAGCAGTAGTAGCGCCAAGCCGAGTCCGGTCATTGCGGCGATGAGTCCGAGTAGTGCTCGTAGGGTGGAACCCAAGGCTGGCAGGGGGAAGAAACGGGGGAGCGTTAGTGGAGCTGGTCCGGGTGCGGGTGTGGGTGGCGGGTTTGGAGGAGGACAGGGCCAGAGTCCCGCGCTGAGGCCGAAGATCAGTCCCGTCATCAAGCCGTTGTTGCCGGATGGTGGTGCGTTTTTCTGTTCCCTCCTCTCCCCATCTCGCCCAAAGGGGGTTCCGGCATATGGCTAATACAATAAACAGGCCACCCGACCCACCCGGCCCACCCGACCCACCAAACTCTCTCCCCGGACGCCCACGCCCTCCTCCTCGCCTCGCGCTCAAACTACCAGAACCTCATCGAAGGCACCGCCGTCCCCGGGGTCTCGTATCCTGAAACCCTCGCCACGAACCTGACGGCCAAGCGCACGAGCCACAAGCTCGCCGAGCAAGGGCGCAGGAATCGCATCAATGTCGCCTTGGCGGAGATGGCGGTTCTGTTGCCTGGGTCTGCGGTTTCAGTTTCTTCGCCCGCGGCGGGCCAGGGGAACGGGGAGAAGGAGGGGGCGGCGAGCTGTAAGAGCCCCGATGGTGGGGGCGCGGGGAGGGAGGGCAAGGAGGGCGCGAGTAAGGCGGCGACGGTCGAGAAGGCGATTGAGTATATCAGGATATTGCAGCGGGAGGCGGGAGCCAGGGAGGGGGTTATTAGGGAGAGGGAGGGGGAGATTGCCGCGCTGAGGGAGAGGCTGAGTAAGCTGGAATCAGGAAGCAATGGCACAGAGCGGGACGAGTCTGAAGAGGCGGCAGCGACGGCCGGGGCGAGCGAGGTGATGAGTGATGGGTAATAGCCTCGTAGCCAACGGTCTATGAAATCATGGCTGGAGGAAGCGGGGCGACGGGTAACGTTGCCATTCCAAGTTTTCTTCGATCCTTTTTCACTTCTTGTTTGGGAGGCGGTCTGATTTGTCTAGTTGAGCGGGCGCTTTTGGCTACGAATGTGGTTCACGTGGCTTGTGGATGGCATATAGAGCGCTCGTCGAGTCCATTGAGTGGCTGAGCGGTGCGAGTGGTTGAACATACAAAGCGTTTTTCCGTTTTTGAGATGTCGGAAAATACCAGTCGCTTCGCTTCTCCAAGCTCCTCCTTCGCACACTCCTGCTTCGCCATGTCCGGCCGTTCTCCAAGTTCTGTTACTGACCAATCCAGACATTGGCGATACGATGCCTTGATCAAAAGTCCGTCCGGACAGCTTACCGGGCAATCATGGCAACCGGCGGCTCTCGTACAGCTGAGCGCCGCTGACGGATCTCTATCTGTAGAATCCTGCTTTCTCAAGCACCTGGTGCCAATGACACACTTCTCTGAGCGACTAGCTTCCCGATTCCCTCCGTCGGTGTGGTCGTAGCAACACAGTTTCCTTGGAAAGTTCGAAGTAAGGCCGCCACTACCACAGGAGTCTCGGTGGGCACCCCGTGTGCGCCAGTAACATAACACACAGAACACACAGAATACACAGCATACCGCTTACAGAACCTCGCACGCGGTACACATTCACACGATCAGTTGCTTACGGTCTCAAGAGAAAAGGAAATTACGACGTAACAGAGAGTACAGCAATAAAACGCAGCGCAGCGCAGCACACAGCACACAGCACACAGCACACAGCACACAGCACACAGCACACAGCACACAGCACGCAGCACGCAGCACAACGCAGCACGGCACAGCACAGCAAGAAATTTTTTTGTAGAAAGCGTAACGATACAGCAGCACAGCAAAACACAGGGCAACACAATCCCAGAACGCACAACAAACAGAAAAATACATAAGCTGTAACAAACCATGCTCTGAAAGTAACACGACTGGCGTAGGGGCAGACGTTCCTTCAACTTTCAACAAATCAGCCACATGCGTCGTAAACTGAGGAATACCGAGAACCTACAACACACAACAGGACAGCAAAACACGCCATTGCACAGAAGAAACAACCCTCCCTATCCTGCTCCAGTGCCACATCCACCGAGCTGCCACTTGTCAAGAGTCACGCAATGTGCACGAGCTTAATTGTGTGGTAGAAAGTTGTTGATTTCTCTAGCTCGGATCGAGGCTCTAAATACTCAATCTGATCGGCGCCTGCCAATCTGCAGGCGCGAGTCGATTGGATCGATCGTGCGTCCGGAGGGCGAGAAGTCGACCGCAACGGACTGGGCCATGCAACCCTTGTACGACCTCGACAACTCGATCTCGATCGAGCATATGCCGGTAAAATTCACCCTCCTCGGATGTCGACAAATCCACCAGATCATCCGGGCAAAGAACCTCAATCTAATTGCGGCTGCTCACGCCGCTGAAGGCTGGGCAGCCTCCTTGACGCAGAAACTCGAGCTATAGCCGTATGAACCGCTAGGCGTCGCAGCTAAGATCCTCCATACGGACGACGATGGAGTCACCCGGGCACGCTACCTAGTTTATCAGGAGTGCCATGTCCTATGGGAGCCGAGAGCAAACGAGGACCGACCACGGTATGGAAACGATGAACGTTTCCGCCCCGAAGACGTGGGCTTTTTCGACCCCTTCCTCGACGAGAAGGAGCTCGGAAAAGGGGATCTCGTGGACAAGGGGAATGAGATCTACTTCAGAAGCGTCCACGCCTTCATCGACGCCGCTGAAAACGCAGCGTACTCAAAACCATCCACCACCATCCGCCAGAACCTTGACAAGTGGTAGCTGAAACAACCCTCCCTATCCTGCGTCCAATGCCACATCCACCGAGCTGCTCACCCGTCGCTCCGGTAGGACGAGGAAAACTGAATGACACCCACGACGAATTTGCAGTACCGGCCGCGATACCCAGTAATCTGTCCTTACCAAGGGTGAGATCAAGGACGTTTAACACGATCAGCGCGCTAGCATGCTTCCTCGAAATGGTTCCGAGACCTTGACCATTGGGTGGCCACCCTGGACCGCCGTGAGCGCTGTTGTTGTTCCAGAAGGGCTTAACGGCAAGATGTCAGCCTGGATCGTGTGATCGAGTTGGCGGGCGACAGGGCGCCGTCTGCGGGCTGCGGCTGATTCGCACTCAAGCGGCAAATAAACTCCTACAACAATCCATACGAGAACAAGGCACTCGACCTGCGTCACAAGAAGCTTTGGCACCAGCTGTTCTGCTAGTATCCTGCACGCACGAGCTGCAATAATGGCTCGTTATCCGGCGAAGCCCTACGAAGAGAAAGACACGGCTGGTATAGCGGAAGATATCACGAGCATACTGCTTCTTCCCAAAGCAGTATCGGCAGACCACGGACGACTTAGTATGGTTTCCTAAGAGCGTCGCGGTCAAGTCGAGTGCAGGACTCAAAATAATTTTAAGAAGGAGCGGTCTGACGCACCTACCATGCAACGCTTTCACTTCGGTCTTTGGCCCGGAACAAGAACGCGAAATGGGTCGACGCTTGCGCCGTGATTATCTTTCTCGAGACGGGCATCACTAAGCTGAGGAGCCTACGTATACGGAAAGTATGGCACCAGGAACTAATCCGCATCAAATCTTACTTCTTCGGCAACTGCCCGGAGCGCTCCAGGTTGGATCTCTTCCAGCATTTCCAGAGCGCTTACATTCCGCGTGAAGAGGAAGAAGATCAGATGACTATAGAGGTCTTTAACCTCCCCGACGACGTCATGAGGTACTTTCACAATATTCTCGACAGAGATCAGCTGCGCGCCGTCGAGAAATCGACCTCAGACATCCACAACGGGGTTTCTCTCGTCATTGATCCTTGGGGAACCGGCAAAAGCCGCACCACCGCGGCTATTATACTCGTGTTATGCAGCCTCCGGTTGAAGGTGAAGGTCGTCTGCCCAATAAACCCAGCTATTGAGAAGATCGTGACAGACTCTTTCAAGGTCTACTGCTGAGACCGGTCACACCCGTGACGGACGCTGCGCCAAGAATGGTCAAGCTGTATGTGCTCATTAACTTCAAATATAGTCTCTCCAGCCTCACTTCTTCAGCTGTCTCTCACCACGCTTCTCACGGTGTACCCGGTGCCATCCAGGCAGCCGGGGTAAACTCAATCACCAGCCTCACTTCTTCAGCTCTATCATCAAGCCGCTGCCTCTCAACTTCTGCGCCTTCGACATGGCTCTCTTCGGACTAGTCAGTAAGATTTTTACCGACGAAGCGTTCTTCTTTGGCGAATTTGGCAATGCCTGCAGACGATAGCGAGTGCTTAATGGAAAAGGCGCCGGCTATCGAGAACATCATCGAAATATCGCGCGGTACTAGCATGTCGGCTATCTACCACGCCATACTCGGAGGCCACCGCGTCGCCCCAACAGCACGTATATGGTGCGGTGGCCTTCCCGGCCCGCTCAAACCTCCTCCTTGTTACGAGCAGGCCCGTAGACGAGCAGTCCATCACGATGACGCTCACGACGTACCTTGGAAGAGACATGACGATATGGCAAAGCCAATAGTCGACAATTTTATAGACGTCACGAATGGCCTCGTAAATCGGTCCGCTCTACTTCATCGCCGCCTGGCATGCTTTTCTCTAAAAGATGGTCTTTCTTGAGTGTCTTCCAACCGAGCTTTTTCGCAGGGTGCTCCAGCCATCAATCTCAAGTCGCCTTGTTGGCGGACTTGTGAAGCAGAACCAAAGGGCAAAGATCGAACGCGGCCGACAGAAATGGAAGTCACATACAAACACACATACAGATACACGTAAACGACGAAAATTACCCTACAATCAATACTCACAAAACAACGGAAGAAGGCTACGTCTCTTCCACTGAAGAGAACAGTCAACCCATTCGACCTCAACCGGTGCCGGAGGAGCCAGAAGGCGCCCGAGTCTCAGAGGTGGCGCGCCCCTCTCCCGGCTTTGTTGTTGGTACGCAGTGAATCATGGGCGCCGGGTTCACATTCTGCCGAGCTATGAGGATATTCATGCTGGAGCCATCGTGGGTGATGAGAGATGCGAGACTCGGGAGATCGGCCGGGACCAATGTGGTGCTGATGAACAGGCGCACGTCCTCGTACCGCTTCATCATGGACGGTCTTGCTGTGGAACAGAAGATTAAGTCTATGCAGATGGCTCGAGGCGGTAGCTAGAAAGCTACCTATGGGTCTACCGTGCATGCGCGATGCGCGAGGGCAAGTCAAAGCCGTCCTATGTCACGAACCCGGAGGGAAAAGCAGGCAAAGGAAACGTGGTGAAGTGGACAGACAACAAGAAAGAGCACAGATACGTCAAGTACAATGACATTGGATACTGGTTGGCCTGGAAGAGGTTGCTCGGCGTGTCCAAGAAGCGGGGCCGAGACCAACTTCTTCACGACTGGTGGCACGCCGTCGCCGAAGCTCGTCAGCATGGTCGGGTGGCACCAACTCTAAGCTCAGTCATCGACACGGAGGAAGGGCCAGCTGCGATCGTCAGACGGGCCCCTAGCTTCAGCTACATGAAGCACCTTCAGCGTGGGGCGGAGAGCGCTTGAAGAAACTAAGGGGACGTAGGAATGGAATCAGCCACAAGCCGCTCCGACGAAGGATCGAGACCGCCGCTCTTGATGCGGGACTTCTGTACAGGGAAAGTGAACAACTGCCGCGAACCTGAGCTCGTGTATACAACCCCCAAAGTTTCTGATCATCATGTACAACGTGGGTGGACAAGGCATTAGCCTCCATGGAAATTGTATGTCCAGCGGACATATTACAACCCGTTCCCAGCTTGCCTTCAAGGTACAGCCAAGCTTGCGGCAAGAGAACTATTGAGAATTGCTGCAGTAGCTAATTAGGAGCACAACAGAGCATGTGTTTCCCCATTCGGTTCAGCTGGTTCATCGTCTTCAAGGACCATAGAAGAGACGCACTCTTCGAGTGCGTGGAGGCTTTGTAGTAATCCCGGGAGGGCAGCATGATACGTGAGCACGCGGTCGACGGGGATATCAAGAACATGACTCTGTCTTCTCTACATGTCAATCATATGGAGTAAGCTTCGTGGTTACTGATATGCGAGAGCTAGGCGAGATTCACGGTTGGTTAGAGGTCACGCTCTTGCTGGATAAGTACCTAGGTTGCTCGTAGCTTAGTTAGCAATATGAAAATCTGCAGTCCACTGAGCACTGTCGTAAAGTTGCAGATCGACACAGGTGAGGAGCTCTTGAAGCAGCCCAGGATAACTTAGAATGTGCAAAAAGTCTCGAAGCTTGAAGCCGTGCCGATCACGTAATAAAGCCACAGACAGGGATGAGATAACCACCCTTGGGGCACTCCGGAATTATTTTGCTCCACCATGCCAAGCTCCGTGATGGTAGATACCTTTATCAATCTCATCCGGACTGGCCATCTAACCCCGTTGATCGGTAGCGACGAGATGTCAGCTAATACAAAAACCCAGCATTGAAGCACCATTCGAGACCGAACTCAGTCGAGTCGTTGGCTACATACCTAAGCTGTTCAATTGACTCGAAACACCGATGATCTTGATCTGAGGGCGGTTGGCCGCTGGAGCGTTTATTCCACACGGCAGCCTTGGAGCATTGGCGACGGATGCCTGACATCCGGCACTTCCGCAAAGACGCCTCATCGCACTCGTGGAATGGTTACCGCAGAGGATGTCGGGCTGATGATTTACAGACGTCATTGTTGTACCAGCGAGGTACCGGCATGGTCGGAGAGGCTAATAGCCAATGATTCAGCGTTGTCCTGTATTACTCATGTTCAGTTACCTACTCTGCATCTACGAATCTCTTAGCATCAAACACTTCTGCATCTGCTGTTTCTCTTTGCGATCATGCCTTGATGGCGGCTCGAGTATTCAGGTGTTCATTGTTAGCGAGATTCAAAAGCATCCTTCCACCGCGTGTTGGTCCTCAGTCAATCATCACTCGCTCGATACACACTCGGACATCAGCAAGTTTCAGACACCGCAGCAAAATCCTTCAACCTGCTCAGTTCACAACGCCGCAACGGATGGCTCTCTCGATATTCAAGTCGCCGACTGAATACGACCGCGCGTGGTGGCGTGAAGTCATCATCTATCAGATCTACGTTCATTCCTTCAAGGACAGCAATGGGGACGGCATTGGGGACCTGAAGGGCGCCATTGAGAAGGTGCCCTATCTGAAGAGTCTCGGCATTGATTGTGCATGGTTGACTCCGGTCTACGAAAGCCCTCTCAAGGATATGGGCTACGACATCAGTGACTATGAAAGAATCAATCCTTTGTATGGAACCCTGGACGACTGGCAGATCCTACTGGAGGAACTCCACAAGCGGGACATGAGGCTCATCATGGACTTGGTTGTGAACCATACATCAGATCAGGTATGCGATGCCCGTCACACTGCGTGGACTCTACTGACAAGCCGACTTAGCACGCTTGGTTTAAAGAGTCCCGCTCAAGCAGGGACAATCCGAAACACGATTGGTATCATTGGATGGACCCCAAGTATGATGATCAGGGTAACCGCAAACCGCCAAACAATTGGGGAAGTGTGTTTGGAGGTCAGTCCATGGAGCGTGTCGATGGCCCTTCGGAGACTGATCGCGCTGGTAGGACCCGCGTGGACGTGGGATGAGGGCAGACAACAGTACTGTAAGGAATTCGGACGCACTCTTTTTAGCTCTCATTCTGATCACGGCACCAGATCTTCGCCTCTTTGCTGCTGAACAACCGGACCTGAATTGGACCAACCCCCAAGTACGCGATGCTATCTATAAGATGATGCGCTTTTGGCTGGATTTGGGAATCGATGGGTTCAGGGTACGGGCGCGACGGCGGTGTGCAGCGTTGAACCCTGCTGACTGCCACAGATGGATGTAATCAACATGATCTCGAAGGTACATGGCTTACCTGACGCCCCTATCACGGTTCCTGGCCCTGTGCAAAACGGAGGAAGCATGTTCATGAACGAGTAGGTCGAGCACCGGCACTTCTTTTTCAGCCCACTGACTCGTGAAGGCCCAAAGTTCACACGCATCTGAAAGAAATGCACAAAGAGGTCCTCGCCGGGCGCAATGTGCTGACGGTAGGAGAGATGCCTGGCGGAGTGGATCCTTACGAGGCCAGCAAATACGTCGCGCTTGAGAGGAAGGAGCTTCACATGATCTTCCAGTTCGCACACATGACTTTGGATGGGACCAACGGCGACAAATGGGTGATACGTGAGTGGACATTGCCGGAACTGAAAGACAGTATCAGGGTGTGGCAGCAGCACATGATCGGCAATCATGGTTCGTCCAACTTCCTTCCCTTTTAGGGGTATTGATTCTGGCTGATGGGTTCGTAGGATGGAACAGTATCTTCCTGGAGAACCACGATCAACCGCGTGCTATCAACCACTTTGGCAATGCCGACCCGAAATACCGCGGCAAATGTGCGAAGATGATTGCCTTGTTCCAGCTCAGTCTCAGAGGTCCGGTTCTCTCTCGAACCTAGATGATGGTAACTAACCTGACCAGGCTCCATCTACATCTACCAAGGACAAGAGATTGGCGCTGCGGCACCCACAGACTGGAACATCGAAGATTATCAGGATGTGGAAACCTTGAACTGGTATAATGCGTAAGTCAACGAGTCGTCTCCATGAGCATTGACGTAGCTAACTCAGGCGCAGTAAAGTGGAGGAGAAGAAAGCAAAGGGCGAGGAACCAGACTACGAAAAGCTCATGTCGCTGGTTCGCAGAGTGTCACGGGACAATGCTCGAGCTCCGATGCAGGTGAGCTACAGCTAGCCCTGCTTGTACCTTCTATTGCATTTCAGTTCTTTAGCTGACACATGGTAGTGGTCGCGCGGAGCGAATGCCGGCTTCTGCAACCAGGACGCGAAGCCATGGCTCCGAGTGAACAATGAGTACAAGGAGGGCTGGAATGTGGAAGACGAGATGAAGGACCCTGATTCAGTCTGGACCTTTTACAAGAAGTTGATCTTCTTCCGCAAAACGCACCCTCCGTTCGTAAGTTCTCCGAAACCTCTTGCTGACACGCCTCTCATTCGAGCTCAAGTCCTGACTCAACGCCACAGTTCTACGGAGGCTTCACTTTGATAGACGAAGAGGACCCTAAGGTTTTCGCATACGTCCGTACTCAGCACGAGTTCGGCTACCTTATCGTTCTGAACTGGACCAAGGAGGAAAATGAGTGGGAAGTTCCTGAGGACATACCAGTTCCAGGCGGCATCCTGGCCATCTCGAACTATGACATGGATCCTCTGACGCAGCTGACTCAACGCTTGAAGCTTCAGCCTTACGAGGGGAGGGTTTATGCCCTCAGGCCGGGTTTCGGTTCTGTCGGACATGTGTAGACTTGGTGGGGTGTTACTTGCTTGCTGTTGCCGCCTGCGACAACATCGAGATGGGCGGTTGGTGGGTGGCTACGGTCTAGAGGGCGGAAATGGCTAGATTAGGGTCTTTCGGCTCATGAAGCGGTCTACGGAAGACACCCGGAGATGGTTGTATGTGAGCTTGCTGAGCTCACCTGGTAGATGGAATAGAATTTGATGCCCGGTCATGGGCTCGGAGACTTGTGCAGTTGCCCACTGATCTCACTAAGGCTCAGTCTTAACTCTTGGGTTTGACAGAAACCGTTTGGCCCAGCCGAGCAATCCGGCAGACCTGGCGTTCCGCTAGAATTACAGCACAGTTCAACTTCCGTGCTCGTTCATCACTTTCACACAAGGTTCTGTAGAGCGGACATAGATGATATCGTAGCTACAAGGACTACCGGTAAGTACCCTACAACTACCCAACCGAGAGCTATTGTGCCCAAAATTCTTCCTCATCAATCTCATATTTCATTACAGTATTGTCCATTGCCAGCATGTCCAGATGTTAGATCCCGAATCCTCCTCATTCCACCTCTTGCCATAAGAGTATTCGTAAATGTCCCGCGAGGGATCAAGGCTTGCGCCTGTAGGTCTTTCCTCACCGCCGCCGCCGCTATGCAAGTCGTGAAGAACGTAAAGGAGGAGTCAACCTCCATGATGAGGGTAGAGCAACAACGCTGGAACGCGGCAAAGGAAAGAAACAGAAAGAGCCCCCGTCGCTATGCTGAAGTATCAAACCATCGTCGAAGAGCCGTCACAAATCGTAAATAAAGGATCAGCCAGGACCCGCGAAGCCCGCAAACGATGCGGATTCGGCCACAGAGAACCAAGTGTGCATGCATGCTCACACACTCACCGTCCTCCTGACCAGCACAGCCGGCTTCTGCGCATAGCAGATCAGCAGCCTGAAGCTCGTCGCTCTCTTCTCACACTCCCTCACCAGCGCCTCGTCGGCCCAGATACTCTCTTTCAAGTCTCCATTAGGCAACACCGCGCTCTCGTAGCAGCGACTGTACCACCACCTCCCGACCCTGGCCACCATCTTCGTAATGCCCTCATCGCTATCCGCATCACCGCCGCTCTTATCTCTCAGCAGATCCGTGAAATTCGTATCCGGCTCCTGCTGCGTGCCATCCGAGGAGTCGCGGATCTTGCCCGCCGCGGGTATGCCCACCATACACCTGTTCAGGTTCTCGAAGCCTCGTCTGCCGAGGATGTGCTGCAGGTTGTCGCTCATGGGCTTGAGACTAACCGCCGGGTCGGCGACCTGCATCTTGACTTTGAGCGCGCGCACGGCGCGCCTGGCTCTATTGCCCATGTTGAGAAGGTCGAGATCTAGCACGCTAATCTCAAGGTAGCCACCTGGCCGCAGCACGCGCTTGCATTCGAAGATGGCGGCGCGGTAGGCGGCCTCGGAGGTCGCGACGGGGAAGCGGAAGACGACGGCTGCGAAGAAGCCTTTGGGGAAGGGGAAGGGGCTCTCGATGGAGGAGTGGTGGATGTGGCGGTGGTTCGGGAGGGATTGCCATTGGTTGAGGTCTTTGGGGGCGTCGGTCGGGTTGGGGCCGAGATTATAGATGGTGGCGGTTGAGTAGGTTAGGGCGCAGTAGTAGGACCAGTCTGCTTGATTGTTAGTATTGGTGCATGGAGAGCTGCAGGCGAAGATAGGAGGGAGCTGACCTTTGCCGAGGCCATCGATGACCAGGACGCGATCTTCGTTTTTGTCCTTGAGCTCGAAGTGAGCAGGACTGAAAAGGACGCGTCCGAACGAAAGCCACTTGCTGGTCATGAGAGCGCCGAACCGGAGATTGGCCATCGACGCCAGGCCGTCGTTCTGAGTCTCCGCTATCTCCATGAGTCGAGTATCTCTGTATCGATTAGCAGGAGTGCTAACTCCCGGCACAGAGCTTGACTTTGAGTGGCGGGAGGTACTTTGGGCAAGCGAGGCGGGTAGACTGGAACGTATTGATGTCGGACGGGCGGAGCCAGAGCTGGCGCGACTAGTAGCAGGAAGGCTAAGTCTGCCGCTGACAGGATCCAGTATGCTGAGGTTGCGGTCGCCGTATCCAGCGAAGAAGTCACCAAGAGACATCGGCGTAGTCGGCGTTCCAGATGTTTGCAAAGCCATGAGCAAGCGCGAGCGGCGCAGCACATTAGCACTAGTCTGTGTGGAAGACGACCCAGACCCAGCACGGGTATGGTCAGCGTTGGTCGAAATTTTGAGCGGCTGTGGTAGAGGGTTCAGCGCGTTCTTTTGCTCTACTGCAGTGCTACCGAAGGGAAAGGAAGCGCCTTCGGTGGTCATGGTGTACAGAGGCGAAAGAACGTCATCGATCAAATCATCATACTCTCCCCAGACCTCATCTTCAGACAATGGAGCGGCTGCAGTTGGGAGAATGGCTGTGGAGGCGGGGAAGCTAGAGAATACCGAGCTGCTAGAGTATGAGATCTGAGAGTCCTTCCGAGGTGGAAAGGAGAAGAACTCTGAAGTAGCATTGATGTCAGGCGTCGACGCACCATCAGGCACCGCATTCGTCGAGTTACCAATGGCGTGGTTACTGAGCCTTACAGGCCGACCATCCGGTATGCGGGCCGTATCAACGACTGGTTGAAAGCCTGAAAGCGTTGTGCTTTCGCGCTTCGCAACAGTGGTTGTTTCCGGTGGCTGCACAGTTGGACGCGGCCGACTGGCTACAAACGGCCGTGAAAATGAGTTGCTCGGTAGCCTTCGATCTCGGTCTCGCTTCGATACGACCTGTGGTATACGCCCAACCTGTTGAAGCCTACTAGGTCGGTGTGGACTAGCAATTGGCTGCAGAAGGGTATCTGCAGGTGGGATAGCGGCACTCGGGGGAGGCACCTCTGTTGTAGTAGAGTGGATCTGAACACTCGATGGCTCAAAGGTTGCCGAATTGTCGCGTTGTAGAAAGACTGTCGGCGATGCGGCCCTGACCGGAAGCTGAGTATCAGGTGGCAGCACCGGGCATGGAGGTAGCAGCATGGATTGCACGTACTCGAGCCTCTTCGCCAACGGCTCAGGCTGGCGGTAAGAAGGGAATTGCTCAACTGAGGAGCAATCGTCATCAGCTTCCTGCATGATCTTCTCCAACTCCTCCATATCGATATGATCTGCTGGTTCGGCGATGGCGTAATGAGCAACAGACCGCGGGGCAGGCTGGTGAGAGACCTCAACAGGAACCGTCTCAATGACTGGTTCTGGAGAGGGTTCCGTCCTTGGCGACGACGCGCGTTGGAAGAAGTTCCATTTTTTCGAAAAGACGGATTGTCCTGTCGCTTTCTTGAACTTCATCCAATTGCCTTCTTTACCCTCCGACACGTCACTCAGTGGAAGAGTAGTATCTGTCTCGGGAAAGGAGTACTGGTTCGCCGAGCTGCTCATCGAAGGCGCCAAAGGGGCCAGCGTTGTGTTTATCGGAGTCGGCATCCTAGGCGCCTGGGAGTTGTTAAGCTGCGACTTGCGAAACGACCTGCGAGCCGCTATGGTGGGAAGCTGAAAGGATTGGTCGCTACTATCGCTGGGCGACCGCGTCAAGGGCGCCTTTTTGACCGGCGACATGCTGCGTACCGAATCAGACATAGCTGAAGGCAATAATGTCGGCTTCTGTGCAGTATACGGCGCAGGAGCAGTAGAGTAGGTGGTCGTATCGAGGCTGGGCCGATCGCCAAAGTAGCCACCACTGCTGCTTTCCGAGGCTTGAACAACTCCCTCGCCCCGCAAGATCACTGGTGTGAGTCGCTCGGCGATGAAATGATCCAGTGGGGGCTCACCCTTGCTGCCCATGCTGCTCTTTCGTGTAGAGACAGAACGTCCGAGGCTGCCACCGCTGCTATCTGCGCTGGTCGAACGGCCACTACTGACCGTCGTGGAGCTGCCGCTTCGGCCTCGAAGAGAATATTTACCGTACCCCTCATGGCCTGTGCCAGCTGCTGGTCCTTTCCGTAGCTTCTTGTTTACACTCACAAGCGGCGGAGCTGGCTCTGCCTTCGCCTTTCGGGAAAAGAAACCGAACCGCGATGTGAATTTGCTCGGGCTAGCGGTGGTGGGTGGTTGCTCCTTTCTCGCTTTCGGCTCGCTGTTGGTCTGAACATCGGGTGTGGGCTGCCTCCTGAGTAAACGCGATTGTGCTTGCGGCAAAGAGGAAGAGAGGCTGGGACTCGGTGATGGGTTACGCGAAGGAAGTTTCGAAGGCATAGCGAATCGTCCCCTCGAGTTGCTCGTAAAACCTGGAGCTGTCGCGCTCCGGAATTCTGCCGACGTCTGACGTCTATGCGAAGTAATAGGCAGGCTGGCGAGGTTGCTTTGAACTATGGGTGACGGTTCTCGCGCGCTTAGCAGTGTCGGTATACCATCCCTACTAGGCCTTCGGGGACGGGAATAAGTCGGCTTCTGACCCGAAGCGTCCACAAGATGAGCCAGCTCGGGCGGCGGATAGATCGTGGTCGTGCCGTCTACATGACCGGATGGGTTGCTCTTCTGTGTGATTCCTGGGTTTGATCGAGTTTGCGGCGCAGCCAGGAATGACTTCTGCGTTTTATCAGTACTTTCCAGCTGTGTTCGCGGTGCTGGTTTCGACTTTGTGCTCTGCTGCGTGTAACTGCTCACTTTTACAGTGGAACCCGACGAAGACGATGTAGATGATTCACGCAGTGATGGAAGACCGTCAGGTTCCTTCAGTAGCTTGTTGTCCTCCAACCTCCGGCGGGTCACTGGCGGCCGGCTTTCCAATGGACTTGGTTGGCGCGCTCGAGGTGCAGTCTTGGGTTGGGCAACTACTCCAGGTGAATAGGACGACATGGATGTTGGCGTAGAAGCATGACTGAAAACGCCGGGAGAGTCAGAATATCGGGTGGCGGGGCTGGCAGACAATGCGTACGACGGCGTCTGAGGGGGCAGATTCTCTGTCAGCAGTGGATACGGCAGATGGAGAGCAACATCTTGCGATGTGCTGTTCACGTGTCCGGCAAGAGAACGCGCCATGGATGTTGATGGAGGCGGTAAGCTAATGCCGAGGACATCTCCATGGAATAAGTCCCTGTACCCGCCTGGTAGGGATTTTGACTGATGCTCGGCGCCTTCGAGTGAAGAGATCGAACCGAGAGCCTGCCGTGGCACCTGCCGTCCAACGAGCGACGACCTTTTTCTGAGAGCGCCAGATCTGAAGCTGTCGACGGTGGAAGCGGAGGAGCCCGACACAAGCGATGGCGTACGCGTGTCTTCGAATCTGGTAGAGCGCGCTGCCGACGGCGGCGGTATCGTTTTGGTAAAGGAGACTCCTGATAGAGCGTGCGGTGATGGCGATGGTATTCTCGACCCCGTCCGTCGTGGTTCTGCCAGCGCTCCCGACCTCGACACTGATGCCTTGTGTGATGTGGCGGCTCTCATGATGCTTGAGTGTTCATCTTTGCTTTCGCCTTTTCTACTGAGCTTGTTCGGAGCCGAGGATGTAGGTGAATGCGTAGTTGCTATGGTTGGAGTAATTGAGCGGGTCGGCAGGCGTGTGAATGAGTTTTGCTGAGGTCGAGAAGGAGGCGGCTGAGCCTCTTGCCGCATCGGAGGGTTGAAGTGTGATTTGTAGGACGCCATCTCGGATACCCGCTTTGTGTCACTGTGACAGAAGCAGTTTCGCCGAGGGCTGTATGACGGATGGTAGTGCGCGTGTGGTAACTCATGAAGGCATCTAGTCTTAGTCGCTCTGCATCTGGCGTTTATTCCAGGACGAGTATATTCCCAAGCAGTGTGTCAGACAGCCAATACTCGTAGTGACAACGAGTGGCGTCGAACAAGGCCGATGAAGGGCTATGAGGAGCTGGTTATACGCCGCGGCTGGCTCCAAGATGAGATCGAGCGGAGCGGCGAAGGTAGGATATTGGTGTGGTGACTGTACACTACTATCACAGATGCCAAACGGGCCGCGGTGATCTCGAAGTAGACCCAGATGCGATGTATCTGTGTTGTTCGAGTACGCCACCGGCGCTGCCGAGTAGTGGAATAATGCGCTTGTCGATGGCGCGGCGTAGGAAGCAGGGTGTGTTGCGCGCTCAGTCGAACTCTCTGAACTCAAGATGGCGCAGCGAGTTTCGGAAATCCTTCGAGGCACAGCGTGGTTCAAGGGTCTTCGTATCTAAAAGTACAGCGTGGGGAAAACCGCGAATCCCGGGACGAGGCGAAGTCGCTTGCCGCCACGATCCGTGGTTGGGGTTGGATCGCAAGGTCTGGTGCGCTGTTAGGAAGGAACAGAAGGACAGGGTAAGATCTGAGGCGAATGGATCATAGGTACCCGTTGCAAGACAACTGCTACGAGTGAAACGGAGATAACTATGCGGATGGGGTACGCACTCAATATACAGGGCTCGCCCCAGTCGCAGAGCCTAGCGAAGCACCGACAGCGAGCATCTGGCGTCGCCGGGCAGCTGGGCTGAGTCGGCAGTAGCGTGCGTCCATCATCAACGGCGCCTGTGTGCCGTTGGGCGCTTGGAGGCTGATGATGGAGAGGACAAGCCGGTGTTAAACAACGTTGGAGCCAGTAGGCGGAGGGCGTTTCGGGGAGTCACGCCTATTCGTGGCTGCCCAGTGCAAGTGGGGCCAGCGCGAGGCCCAGGCGTGACGGCAGACAACCTCTGTCAGAAGTGGCCGGCCGCTGGACGAGGTACGGCTGCACAGAGCTCCCCATCAGCCGTGCCAGTTTGTGGTGATGCTCAAAGTAGCGCCTCTGCGTTGTGCCGCGAACGCTATGGTAGCGGCACCAGCTGCGCGCTGAGGCAGAACATCTCCCCCGGCAGCTGACGAGCCGGGAAAAGTGCCAGTACGAGTCAGACCTGAAGATCATCAAGACATTCCTGCTGGCTTTGCCAGTGACATGAAGATTGATCCCTCAGTGTCCGCTTACCATAGCCTGACACCGAGCGGAGCCTCGAATGGATGACGTAGAACTGCTGTTGCAATGAGGCTGCGTGTCAACAACGGCAATCTGCTCACGTCTCCAAAGCGGCGTAGCGATAGATCCATCAAATCGGAAACCCCGTGTGAAGGGCCCAGCAAAGCTGAAGGTTGCATGCTTAGCTGCATTAACGCGGCTCTGTGCGGTGTGGCTGTGTTTCGAGATCTTCGGCGCCACAGTTGACAACGCATCGTCAAAGTCACCGCTTTTCCGTAGACGCCGATGCTGAAGAACAGGAATCTATTCTTGAGTATCATCGTTCTCTCTCACGATGTTGCGTGCCGATTTCGGATGCTCTGCCAACGCTGACGGGCCGATGTTTGGCGCGTAGTGTCAAGATCCCACAGGTGTGGAGCCTGCCGCAAGCCACAACTTTAACGCACTCGAATGACCCCGGCTGCGCGCTGTGATTGATCCTCCCTTGGACCCCGGCTTTGCCAAGGTTCGGTCACGTTATCTGGGATGGGGTGCTCACTTTAGCAGGCTAGCCAATGGCGTCTCCGATCCCAGGATGTCCATATCTTGATCATCGCCTACGAGGCAGCCTCGCGCGGATGGAGTTGCTCTCCATCTTCCACCCGCCGTCAGACCGTGGTTTCCCCAACCAGAGGCTTGGAGCTTGCGCGGGCCGGCTCAGCGACGTTGAAATTGGCTTTTTGGACTCAGAGCGGAGAGGGTGTAGACAGGCTTGGTCCCGAAGTGAGAACCGTCCCGTCTAACCGTCCCGTGGACAAGCGTCTTTCGAGCACATCATCGGCCTGCGGCACATATGCTTTGGCAAGTCTAGGCGCGAGTGCTGTTGCTAGGTTCGGAGATTTCAAAGTGTGATGTGAAGCGACGCTCGCACGGTGCAGATTCGAAGCGCCGGGGCCGCTTCGTCATCTCCTCCGTGGGGGGTTTGAGCTACGTCCAACACGACGCTGGCTCAAGCACGCGCACACCCGGTCAGTCTGACCCAAAGCAGGCAGATAGGAAGGCAGCGTGACCGGTCTAAAGAATTTTGAAAGTTAATGATGTTATGCTCTATTATACTATATATACAACAGTGGAACCTATGTGCTTCTTGCAACTCCCTGAGCCCAACCAAGCAACTGTGTAAGTAAGATGGTACACAAGGTATGACAATCACTTGGATGCCCTTAGGACTAGTGGAGGAGCCAACTCAATAAAGAAAACCAAGCAGTACGACTGGCTTGACAAGAAACCATGACTTGGCTAATGATGAACGTTGGGATGGAAGGCAATGAGAGCCGAGGGTAAGACTAAGGCGTGAAGATCATGTAGGTCTCACCTAGTCGATTCTGAAGCGTTGACCGATGAGCCGTCCAACCGTTGCCGACCCCAACTCAGATCACTACGCAAAGGGAATGGCGAGCCGAAACGGGAACGGCAAAATTGGAGATCAGCATGTGCTTACGATAGGCGCTTGCCTTGTCACTCGATTTGTAAACCGGTGCCGGAGATGAGTTGCCGGATGAAGGAAGGGATATAAGCCTCCAGACAGCTCGCCGAGCGTCATCGGCACAACTGAGCCGTCTGAGCGAAGAAAGGACGGACACTGTTGTGGACTGGCTGTCGTGTTGTTCTCCCGCCTCGGATATCCCAGCGTATTCCAGTAGGTGGTACAAAGCGACCGTAAGACCGAGAAAGAGTTCTACCAAGCCGAAAGATAGAGTCTGACCAATGTATCCGTGAAACATTGAAGACTTGCTACAACCTTCAACTAACACAATATCGGTCTCTCAACGATGTTCCAGTTAGGTCAAGAAATTGACTATTTTACCGGGGCCTGTGAGGTATCTTCCTCGTACTATAGTGTCTTTCTTAATAAACTCAGGGCGAAAATTGCCTTGTTACAACCCGCAGGAAGCTCGAAACTTGCCATTCAGGCCTTGCTCGCTACACTTTCCTTGGCTCTTGCGATTCATACTCGACCGCCTCCACATGGCCTGCTCATGGTTTACCTTTAGCTTGCTTGAACATACCAACCCGATACGGCAGCATTAGTATACGGACTATATGCATTTGCCGCGTTATAGTGAGCTGTCGCGCGTAGCGGTGCCTGAATACGAAAAGCCTATCGGTACAGTAGCATAGGTTGATGCGCGTGAACATTCATGCTGCGGTGTTGGTTGATATTGAGGTGTCCGGAGAGCCGAGGTTTGGCCGGCGCATGCGCCAAGAGCTCCCTGTTTCGTCCCTTGGGTGAGAACAATAGACGTGAACTCTATTGACACGAACCCTTAATCGCTCACTTCTGACAAAATCGCTTCATAGTCAGTCATTCAATCCTCCAATCCTTCAATCCTTCATCCTCGTCTCTTCCACCTTGCCGCACAGCTTCTGTCACTGCGACGTGCGCTACCAACTTCATTCGCGCCAGCTCCACGACGCAAATCACTATCACCAGTTACCTCCTCCACAATCACAATGACCGACTACTCGAAGATGAAGAATGACGAGCTGCAAGCTCTTCTCAAGCAGCGCGGCCTCCCCCACACCGGCAAGAAAGCCGACATGGTTACGCGCCTCCAAGAAGCGGACAAGACGGCACCCGACACCCAAGGGACCAAGAGCGCAACCGCGCCTTCATCCACCATGCTCGCAGCAGGTGACGACGAGATCGACTGGGATGACGATGCAGCTGATGCGACAAAGCCTGATAAGCCAGCTGGGGAGGTAGCTCCAGCGGCTGACGAGGAGGAGAAGAATGCTGAAGCAGCTGCGCCGGCCGCAGACGCTGAGGCTGAGAGGACCGACATCAAAGCTGATATCGCTACCGACAATGCCGAGGCTGCGAACGGCACAACCGAAGCGCCGGAGCCCGAGTCCGAGAAACCTGCAGAGAAGGAGAAGACCCCGGTCGACTTCAGCTCCGGCCTCGCAGCCACGACTCTCGAAGAAGAACTCGAGAAGCGTCGCGCCCGCGCTAAGAAGTTCGGTATCACGGAAACCGACGAAGAAGCGACAAAGAAGCTTGAGCGCGCTAAGAAATTTGGTGAGACCGCTGGGCCACCGGGTCTCAACGAGGCTCTGCCTGAGCGTACCAGCAAGAAGAGGGGACGAGAGGGTGGTGATGAGAGTGGAAGGGGCAAGATGAGCAGGGGCGGCAACCGAGGAGAGGGCAGGAGAGCAGACGGACCGCGAGGTCAAAAGGGAGGCGAGAGGAGGAACGGCAGCAAGAGGAGAAGCCCGGACAAGACGCAGAGAACGGATAAAACGGAGAAGACGAATAAGACTGAGAGAAGTGGTGGTGCTCCTACCTGGATGTCTGATGCGGATAAGGCCAAGGCAGAGGCCAGGAAGGGGAAGTTCGGTGCGGCATCATGAGCTTCTCCATTGCGGATCTCCATTGTTTCTTTTCTATCTTCGAACAATCTTCGTTTGTGGAGCAGTTCGCAGGCCATCAGACTGGTCGCAGCGGAAGGCATGTGCGGAGCGCTAGGCGACGACTGTTATCTCTCGCGGTTACCCACCTTGGTTTCTGGAAGGCGCTGTTGGCGTTGCTAGGGATCCGGCTTCTACGTTGTTCTGCAGTCGGCTATATTCAGCCGCGAGCCTTACGTTTAAGGCCTGACACGATGAGTAATTAGTAGTGCCTCTCTTAAAACGGTCGAATGCGGACATATACTGCATCAAATCCTTCCGTTTCATAAGCAGGGACCTGGCCGACGTTCTGCCAATATGCATCAATTATATTTATGACGCGGCTCCATATGTCTTGTCGATACTCATAACCCTCCGCAAGCTTCAGCGTGCCAAAACACCGACGTTTATATTAACGACCTTACTGCGCCCGTTCGCACCTTTAGACCCGGGTCTCTACAGGTTTCCTTTGCAACCATTTAAGCGTCGACATACGCGATCTATTCGGCCAAGGGACATTCGAAAAATCCGTTGCCGCATAGACAGCTACTTGTGGCCATAGAGGTGGATAGCCCAAGCGCACATCTTATAGGCCAAAGATATATTAAGTAATTAGTGCATTAAAGAGCTAACCTGCTCAATATCTTTTGCTTTCTATCATGTGGAGTTGTCTGGTTGCTCTACGATTAATAAAATCATGAGTCCAGCATGATCGCGAATCTGGTGTTGGACTAGCTGGGCATAAATGCGGCAACGAACTCTTCGGGTGGCCCTTGGGCCTTCTGTTCCATCAAGCCTTGCTGGTCTTACCTAGGGATGAAGTTAATGCCACTCTGCTAGCGGAAATCTACTAATCCCAAGTACTACCTCAAGCGCAGCTGATGCAGCGCCGTATCTTCCCCATGGCATAACCTTGCAGCTGTAAGCCCTGGTGTGAGTGCCACTTGCTGTGGAAAGTGACAGCCTCACGACGAGTGCCACACATATAGCCGGATTCGGAAGACCAACATAAACGTAGAACGTCGTGGAGTTCCGATAGCCCGGACGCCTTGCCGGAACATCGTGCCAGCTATTGCTTGCCATTCCGATCTGCGCTGTTATGCTGGGGCCTTCACGCTCTTCAGGGTCGTTCTCACCGCGGCGCCGCCATCCGCTGGAGCCCAAATCCTCTTTGCAAATGCTTTTGGGACCATCATGCTCATCCGCTGGAGTCCTCATGGTCTTGCAGCTGTTTCTTGTGCGACCAATATTGCCACCGCGTCGCCGCAGCGCTGTGTAGAAGCGCTGTGTAGAAGTTCTGCGATGTTCTACAAAGCCACCGATATTGCCGCATTCGGAAGGCGATATTGTCCCAGAACTCGGGTCTTCATCACTTAGTTAAACGAGTACGGCTACCGTATCTTCTACAGCGATCCCAGCTGCTTCAGGTCCGGGTTCGCTCGACGCTAGATATAGCACTATGGAGTGCTTGTTTGATGCTGCGTAAAGCTGCCGTTGTCTCCTTCGTCGTCATCTCAGTGTGTTTATGGTATTTGGAAGGGACGTGACAGTGAGCTCGTGTATGGTACTTCGGAGTGTTCCCTTGAGAAACAGCTAGTTTCTCAAAGGCTCGATCGATAGTCACGGGATAGGATAGCTATCCACGTTTGACAAGGTTCTTCCAATACGCTGTACGAACGCTTACCGTTTCGAGAAGCTGTTGGAGTAGGCGCCATCCGGCCCCGAAAGAATCCAGTACCCTTCCTCTGCAGAAGTCCTCGCTGTTCCTTCTAGGAAGCGGTGCGTCTCCACGAGGGTCTTGTTGGCGCCTTGGATGATTAGAATCTTTATGTCTGCAAGCTTTTTGCACCTCCACGGCGATGTTCCGAGCTTTCGCGGGCTCGATCTTGGTGTTGCAGTAATGTTGTTCTGCTTTCCTGGAGATACTGATGGCCTCAATACATAGAGCGAGCATACCCATCAAGGGCTTCTAGCCGAGAACCTCTCTCGAAATCAGTACCATTCTTAGCCATGTGGAGGAAGCATATCTTATACTCGAGCTATGGTGGCTAGTAGCCAAGCGGTGCTGGCTCGAATATCCAACACATCTTTGTGAGGTCTCGAAAGCTGATTCCGCTGAACGCTAAATTGGTCCTCCGCAAGTACGCGATGAGTCTGTAGAAGCACTTTGCCGGACGGAGTACGTGATAATCGTGACAGCGTCCCTGTTGGTACTGGGACGGCCCGTGAAGCGTGTAGTGTGTATCGTACTGCAAAGCCCGTGGGACCGGATGCTTTCCTGACTTGTTAAACTGATCACTATGGCCTCGGTTTCCTCTGAATATGTCTCGACGAGATGGGAATAGCAAATCATGCCGAGCTACTGGAGCCGATCAGCGCTCTATTCGCAAAATGATGATCAAATAGCGCCCAGGGGTTGTTTTCAAACTCAGAGACCTCCCCTTCAAGGGAAGCGGTAGCAGAATATGTCACTTGACAGACTCCAGACACTGTTTCGATTGTGTTTGTCATCCAAGAATGTGACCCTCGATTCAATGTACTCTCGCGGTTCGAGGCCATGAGCAGACTACCGGAAAGACCGAAAGTCGCCGTGCAGAGCCGATTTTGCATCGTTTTTCGCTGAAACAATGTGCGTTACTCCAACTGGATCTGGCTGTCGGTGAGTGGTGGTTCAGAGAGGTTGTCAGACTCCTAAGGGTGAAGTGCGTAAGGAGGGAATCCAGGCGGACACATAATCGCTGTGGGTCCAAAGACGACGGTTTCAGCCTTCCATGCGTAGCTAAGAGACTGGATTCAGTATGAGTGAGCGTACTGTCACGGGTAGAAAAGCTCTGAAGACGTTATTTTAAGTGCGAATAGATTCGTCACCAAGCCTGCGCAAACGGATCAGCTTATGGGGTGAGTCTTTAACTAAACATGACTGTAGATTGCGGAGAAAGAATCCTCCCCGCTGCGTAGGTGATGCCGGCCGGTTTTCGTGGCCCATTGAGAAGTTGACCATGAAATCTTCGACCTGCAAGCTCCATGCTCGTCTGTCGAATCGGAAGAGGGATGCCTGCGGCTAAGCAGCTCTTGAAGACGTCAAGATCGCTCACATCAGCTTCTTGCTGCAGTCTCCTCTTGCAAAGAGTACGAAGTAGATATTTAGGGAGGCCGAGGTTACCCGGGTGAGCGATGGTCCAGTGGATTGTGGCAGTTGACAAGGATGTTCCTTGGTGTTGGTCTTCCGGCCCGCAGGCATCAATTCCGCCCAAGCTTCTTTCAACCTCACAGCCTCCCTTCTGCTTCCAATGTATCCTTCCGTGCTTGCTACGACGCACTCCTCTCCAAAGTATTCCGCCGCATCATTCTACGATGCACTGTAAGCCCGCAAGACTGTCGTTCAGCCGAAAGCTGCTTGTACTCGTAACTTACCGTATCAGCCCCGATCCAAGACCGCCAGGTCACCCACCATGTTCTTCACATGTGCATGAGTTCGTGTAGCTCTTTCCCTCTCGACATCGAACAACCCTCTGGACGAAGGATATGCTTGTCCGCTGGCTAGGTCTCCAGGAGCTGTCTAGATCGGCATCGCGGCTACTGCGAATCCGTTACCATACCACTTTGCCATCAGATCCGGGCCTCCGACAGCGCCAGTTCCGTCTCTGGGCCAGAGTTTCTTCCCTGGCAAGTCTTCAGGATACATCCTGCCGTAGGGGACTCACATGCTCTTCCGCCTGTAATCTTTCGATGACGGAACATCGGCTTCCGACCGCGGCTGCCCCACACAACGGCGCTGGAGGCCGATCGCTCACGAAGTTCCGCAACACCGGCTTTCAGTCGGCTTCTTACTTGTACTGATCCTTCGCCACAGGTCCAGGACTTGCGACCGTTCCCAGGTCATCGCACGCGGTAGAAACTCCACGACGTAAGCGACTATCCATGGAGCAACCGAATACCGCGAGACCTGCCTTGTGTAGTATGATTCGTAGTCCCTGGCTGGGGGAGCAACGAAGAAGTAGACATAACACAGTCAAGGGGCAGCCAAGTCGAATGCACCCTCACGTCATACTGCAAGCCACCTCACATGTTTTGTAAAGTTTATACGGACTTCTGCCTTAAGGATATCCGTGGACACATGTACCCGCCCGACTGCTGCGTTGCAGGCTCGTGTGCCGCATAGCAAACACAAAACACAATACTGGTCTCCGTGTAGCTTAATGAAATGCGGCAATTCATGCCTAGACGGCTGCGTCTACCGCCCTGTTTGCACAGGGACTGGCCGATACGCATTGCCGAAGATATGGAAAGACTAAGCCACTTGATAGATTAGAGCGAACCGGCGATCTCAGGAGCAATGAAGGATAAAACGAGACAGGAGATTATATCCACGGATATTATCCCATCACATGGCTGTATTATATCCATTACGGTCCTACATTCTTGCCAGATCTCGGAATACAGACGCAGCGTATCCAGATCACCCGTGCGATGGGACACGTGTAATGTGGCCATAGTAGCTATAAAACATCAGTAAGTACGGCGCTGTAGTCATCGGCGCAGCGGCATCCGACGCGGTTGTTGGCCCTCGTCTTATGAAATGGGCCTTGGAGCATTGGAGGTAGTTTTCTCGAATTCAGAGTCTCAATACCACGCGCTCCTAATACCCTTTAGCATAACGACGCAGTGTCAAAATTACCAGCTTCATTCAGTGAGAATGGGGCATTCGAATGGCCATCCCTACCATTTCGGAACGTTCACTCCAAAGCTTCTTCAATCTTCAAGATAGCTTGAGTTTTCTCAATCCTCGTATCCAAAAGCTCCTCAAAGCTCCGACGTATGTTGCCTGCAGTTCGTCCAGTGGAACCTGGTCTATCCTCAAGAGGTCGGCGGTTAGGAGCAAGAAGCGCATAGCTGACGCTAGGGGCGTTGTCTCTACCAATGCATCGGTCCCGGACACCGCAGTATGTCACGCCGTCCCATCTGGTGTAGCAGCTGTTTACGGGCTCGCCTTCACCCGCTCAGGATCTACCGACTCTTCGGCCATGCTGCTTCGCCGCGAAGGATGGTGGACGCTGGGAAGATCTTTTCAGGCCGTTGTCGAAGAGTTTTATAGCATCGTTCATGTCGCAAAAAGGATAAGATCGGTTCAGCAAGGAAACGTGTCAGATTCGCTATCTAGACACTCTATGCCCGAAGGCCCGTTGTCGCCCTGTCTTGGAAGCATCATTAGCACTCGGTCCTTTCAGTCTCCATTTCGGCTTCTCGTAGGCTCACCTTAAAGTGCTTAAAGCTGTGTACAGATGCTGGGTAAGCCTAGGCCACTGCCGTCGTCGAACAGGGAGATCCACTTACGAATCGCTGGCTCGGTCGCCGCCGGCCCAGCCCCAAAAGTTCGCCGCCCACCAACCGCCGACTACGCCAATCTCTGATCCCATCGTCAATATCAAATAAGAAGATCAAGGCCGTCATCGTTGCTTACAATGTTTAGGCTCAGCCTCCAGTGTTGTCAGTACGGTGCCAGTCTTGGGTCAAGATGTACTCACGATGACCGTCCAGATACTTCTGCAGCGCCTCCAACCCCAGTTGCCCCGTTGACGAGGGGACGACATAGTCCAGAAAGGGAAAGTTTTCCCTCTTCTCCTCCTCTCCACCTCCCCTCTCCTCTCCTCCTCTCTCCTCTGCTCCTCTTCCTTCTTCGCGGATGGGGCGGAGGGTGGGGTCGCACCATGCGTGCGCCCAATCTGTGTGCTTGTAGGTCTAGATCACCAATCAGTCTTCTACGCATCTTCAGTTGGGCGGCGATTAGCCTACTGGTTGTATGGTGCCCCTGCCCTTGAGGGCCTTGCGCTCCGCGAGGGTCATCCTCCTCATTTTGTTGGTTGCTGAAGTGTGGCCGGCAGGCTCCGAGCGAGAGTTTGATATCTCACCACCAGGGCACGGACCTCCGCTGTTCTCAGAGCGGCGCCAACATACTCACATCTTCTGGCTATGGAATACTGCCTCCTTACCTGTTCGCCGAGCACTCAAAGCTACTGATGGCCGTGATACAGGCTTAAGCACTTCCGCCGTCATCATCAGGAAGCGGCCAACGCTCGAAAGCCCTTGGGAATTCGTCCGGCACCAGGAGACGCAAGTTCGATAGCCGCCGGCCTCAGAGCAAGCTGAACTCATCAGAAGGATGGGAAGGAGCGTCGTAGTTCTGATTCATATAGTCTAGTAGAATCATCGAAAGTATAGCACAGTTCTTCAGCTCGCAGAATCGGCTTCATCGCATAGCGTGCTCAAGTTATGGGAAGAGGAACAAGCATAGCATTTATCTAACGCTAGCAATATGCGCTGTACAGACAACAAACACTTGAAAGGGCAACTGCCTCTAGGACCTACACCCCATGGAGTAATCTGGACATATCTTGTTTTCGCTACAGTTCCTAGGAACCAACTTCTTGAAAGGAATAATGAACCTGTCATGCCGCCTTTTGAAGACCCCAGAACACCCGGGAAAGAGACAAAGGATTCTATGGCACTCGCTGCTGTTTCCCAGCTACGTTCACTTAACTCAAGACAACCGATCAGGGCCATAGAGCCTCCGCCGTTCCGTTCAGCGTGATACATATGGAGAGAATTAAGTCTCAGCTGCAGACATTCAGATGGAACAGTATCAGATTCAGTTGATCAGCGCTATGATGTATGCGGCGACAATATTGCTATTCGAAAGATGTACGCCAGTCATTCCATCACCGAAACCATTATGCTCACATCTTTCGCTGGGTATCGAAACGCATCCATATGATTAGAACAGGCAGGGGGGGAATCCCTTCCCAACTCCACCCTGATCTCCGATCTCCCTCTGAGTACCCGCTCAGCATGACCATCAATCTCTTGCTCAAGCCCTTCTCGCCGCAACAGCAGAGGCCTCCCAACCCCTTCCTTCCATCTCCGCCTCTCGTCGTCTGCCTGCTGGGCCTGTCTCTTCCCCAAACTCGCGGCCCACACTCGGGCGCCTCAAATCATCCACAATTTCCGTCATCGTCTAACCACACTCCCCAGAGCTCATCCTTCCTGCGCAACACTCATCCCCGCCACCCCCGTCTTCCCTACCCCAGCATCCCCACCCAACCCCCGATTCTCCTTTCCAACCCCCTCATTCCCGCCAACCGGCCTCGTCATCTCCGCACTCCCGGCCTCCTCCTTCTTCGTCTCCGGCGCGGCGTGCTCAGCAGCCGTAGACGCCGGCGGACTGCTGCTGCCCTGCCACTTGGCGACGTCGCGCTTCAGCGCCTCGAGCTCCTTCTGGAAGCGCGTGCCGAAGACGTCGATGTAGTACGTCGCGCCTACAGATTTCCAGGAACCACGGTCAGCACTGGAGGCTGGCAACGGGCAGCGGAACGGAGGGTTTGGGAGTTGGGAGTGGGGGGGATAAGAAATGGGGGGAGAGGGAGGGGTTGAGACATACCGTTGTAGACGGACCAGACGAAGACGGTCAGCAGGAAGATGGCTGAGGCCCAGCGGTAGCGGAACCAGAGCGGGGAGGGGAGCATGGTGATGCAGGCGTAGGAGTACTGGATTAGCATGAAGGCGGGCTCTTGGAGGGAGTCCTGTCGGGCGAGTTAGTTGGGTGCGTTGGCTGGGTGCAGGAGTGGTTTGTTGGAGGTTGGTTGAGGGGGGTGGCGAGCGAGGCGAAGTTTGGGACGATGGAGAGGAGGGAGGCAGAAGGGGGAGGAGGCAGTGAAGGTGGTGAAAGAAGGAAGGTAAGCGCTGAGGATATGCGACTTACAGGGAGATGTAAAACCGTCTTCCCAAGCAGCGTGTTCGCATAGCTCTTCCGCAGCCATGTAAAGCTGGTGGGCCGGCCCGCGGCGATCTTGTCGCGCCGCCGAACCGTGATCAGGAAGTGGTACGAGAGCTGCCACACGGCGTACGGGATCGTCGCCCACAGGAGCATCTGCGTGAGCGTGTAATGGTTCGCGTCCCCTGCTTGAGAGGTTGCGATTGTGTGGACTGCGGGGAATCGGATTGCTTGGAAGGTAGGGCCGCTAATCGAGGAAGCGGTTGGGGGCGTGAAGAAGGCGGATAGGGAGAAGGGCCGAAGGGAGAGGGATGGGAGATGGAAGAACGAGAAGTCGGGCATGCTGAAGGGTGTCCAGGGGAGATGGGTGTCGAACGGAATCGGGCTAATGGTGTGGATGTTGGGGAGGAGGTGGACGAGGCAGTGGAGCGTTACGCAGGGCATGATGTGGATGAAGAGGCTGCGGGATCTTTAGCATATCTTCCGGCAAATCCTCTAATGCTTATACTGCTTGGCTGGTTCTGACGTGCCCAATGCTGCTGGGGTAGGCAGCGCAATACGAGAGTGGGACAATACCTTGTGACTTTGTCCAGAGAGTGGAAGACTAGCGAGTTCCTCCACATGGCAATCGCGACAGCGTTGTTGCCCATGGCTAGGCAATATGTGCTGATGAACAGCCTCTTCGAAGTCGGGAAAACCCATATGCTGTGGAACCGATCTCGTCAGTACCATGCCGCTGCTGCTGATACTCAGAACGCTTAGAATACTCACCTCAGTAGCAACAACAGATTCACAAAATAACACAGATCCGCCAGAAAGTAATGGTACCCTTTCTTATGGTACGTGTAATATCGTATCGGCATGAAGTAGAGGAGCTGAATTGTATACCTGTTGGTCACCAGTCAGTATCAATTACCGCTGACACGGCCCTAGCCCTGCTGCTGGATGCTGTCCCCCTTGCTCCGGTCTATCGATCGGAGAATAGCTCACCAGTAATGAAACCATTCCGGGTGCGCCCCGACGAGATACCCGCTAATGAAAATGTTAAGCACGCCTGCGATGAACGACGCCTTCTCCCTCGCCGTCACCGCCTTGTTGTCATTCCACTTCTTCCCCAGCCGGTCCACGCTGTGCCTCATCCGGGCCTGATACTTCTTCAGCTGCTCATCCGGCCCCGGCAGCCTCCGCCTCCACTCGTCGACCACGCGGTCCTTTGCGATCAGGCCCGTGCTCTTCAGCCGCTGCTGTTGCCGCCGGACCTTCTCCGTCTGCGCGGAGACGGACCGCTGCAGCTGCTCCAGCCCTGTTGAGAGCGACAGGTTGTCTAGGAAGTCGAAGATTGTGAGGCGGTCGAGGAGGGTGTCGTACTCATCTTGCGAGCTGTCGCCGGAGTAGGAGTTGGTGCGAGAGAGGCCCGGCGAGGAGGAGTACGAGTACGTGGAAGTGAGGCCGGGACGCAAGGAATCGCCGGAAGAGGAGGTTCTGGTAAGCTCTGGAGATAACGCAAGCTGTGGGTCGGAAGAGGATTTGTCTAGGGGAGTCAAGTTGGCCATAGTGGGTGTTCGTGAGGCTTGTGTAGCGGAGGGGAGCGTGAGATGGGCTGCTGTTGGGAATGCTGGGGGCGCTGCGGCGGAAGTGGAGGTATCAGCACGGCTCACAGCATATGGACGTATAGGAGAGTGTATGAAGCGCACGCGGCGCGCTCGAGGTACAAAGGGAGTGCATACTTTTACGGCGTAGAGCTTAGCAATCCGATCACATTGTTTGCACACGTGCTGAGCGCGCTGTGTGGGCCTGCAGACACACGCCTCCGCCGTCTGCTGTAAATGACTCTTGTGGTTGTAGTTGTTGCTGTTGTTTCAGGAGGGAAGCTTGAACAGCCCTGGAGGGTCATATGTCATGGTCCCTCGGTCAAACTGCGGAACCAGCCTCTGCAGTCCGCCGCACCACTTCCCAGAACGCGCGCGTCGCCAGCTCCACCACGCGCCGAACAGTGAGAAACACCACCTACAACGTCTCCACCACCTCCACCACCTCCACCACCACAACTACCGCCGTCTTCCTGTCGCGAACTGTTCTAGCTGTGGCAAGTCTGCCGCATCAGCTCCAAGCGCACCGCCGAATGGTCTGAGTGCAGTTCTCACCCCGCAATCGCGCGATTCGCCCGCATCTGAACCGCAAACATGGGCAAATTAATCAGCATCGAGCTCTTCAGTGAGTACCATGTACATCGCACCCGGTCGCATTCTCGAGAACTGAGTCGTGATAGACTTCAAGTCCTACCGCGGCCACCACACCCTCCTTTTCGGCGACTCCTACTTCACCTCCATCATTGGGCCAAATGGCTCCGGCAAATCCAATTCGTACGTTCCTCCCCACGCTACCTCGCAAGCCGATCGCGCAACACGGGGCCGTCGGATGGTTTTGCTATTCGAGCTATGTACTGACCATTGGCGACGGATAGCATGGATGCGATATCTTTCGTCCTCGGCATCAAATCGAGCCACCTCCGCAGCACCCACCTCCGCGACCTTATCTATCGCGGACGCGTCCTACGCACCTCCAGAATCAATGCGGACGGCACAGCCACAGAGGCGCCACCTGAGACCGGTGACGACGACGACGATGATGATACCCAGCGCAGCTCCCAGCGCGGCGATCCCACCACCGCCTGGGTACAGGCCGTATACGAGGACGACGCAGGCGAAGAGCAACGCTGGAAGCGGACCATCACCGCTCAGGGCACGTCAGAGTACCGAATTAACAATCAGGTCGTGAGCGCTGCTCAGTACAATGCGGCGCTCGAAGCAGAAAACATTCTCATCAAAGCGCGCAACTTCCTCGTCTTCCAAGGCGATGTCGAAGCCATTGCCAGCCAGGCCCCCAAAGACCTGACGCTGCTCATCGAGCAGATATCCGGGAGCCTGGAATATAAGAAGGAATACGAGCGGCTGAAAGCCGAGAACGAGAAGGCGGCCGATGAGCAGAATTTCCGATTGAACCAGCGCCGGGCCATCAATGGCGAGATCAAGCAGTACCAAGAGCAAAAGGCTGAAGCCGATAGCTTTGAGCGCAAGCGAGCGGAGCGCGACCAAGCTATCGTGACGCACGTTCTGTGGAAGCTCTTCCATTTCCAGCGAACGATGGAGGAGAGCGGCGAGCAGATACGCAGGAATAACGAAGAACTCAAGGAACATAGGCGCGGCTTGGAGAAGTTCGAGCAAAGACTCGAGGAGGCCAAACGTGAGCAGGGGAAGGTCACTAGGGAGGTCGGAAAGATGGAAAGGGCAATTAAGAGGAAAGAGAAGGAGATCGAGGACAAGGAGAACAGCCTTGTACCCCTGGACGAGAAGATCTCGATCTCGAGTGCGAACAGGAAGAAGTACGAGGCGCGTATCAAGGAGGTGGAGAAGGAGCGGGATGCGCAGCAGAAGAACGTGAACAAGCTAAAGAGAGACCTTGATACGGTGCAGAAAGCACAAAGAAAATGGGAAGACGAGTGGGCAGCACAGCAACAAGCGGCTGGCCGTGATCTTTCAGAAGCCGATCTTCAGGAATATAACCGCCTTCGCAGCGAAGTAACCAGGCGCACCGCATCCGACCAAACGAGGTTGGATCACATGAACCGTCAACTCAAGACTGACTCCGAAACGGTAAACTCCCTCCGCTCAAAACTCGAGTCTGCCGAGGCCCAAGTCTCCAAATTAGAGTCCGAAATCCAGGACCTCAAGGAGCGCCGCGCAGCCATGGACGCACAGACCAAATCAACGCAAAAGGAGATCGAGGTCAAGAAGAGAGACTTCGATGCCTTGACCTCCGAGCGCCTCCGTTCCGCCCAAAAGCAAACCGAGCTTGAAGAAAAGCTACAAGAAGTCCTGACCAAGCTCATATCAGCCGACGCAGACCGTCGCACGTCTGAGAAAGAACACCGCGCCAAAGAGACCGTGGCCGCGATGAAACGCATCTTCCCCGGCGTGCGCGGCCGCATCTCTGACCTCAGCCGCCCCAAACAGAAGAAATACGAGACAGCCGTGAGCACGGTGCTTGGCCGACACTTCGACGCCATCGTCGTCGACACGGAGCGGACAGCCCGAGACTGCATCCAGTATCTGCGCGACCAGCGCGCCGGCCAAGCAACCTTCATTCCCCTTGACACGATTCAGGTCAAAGCCGTGGACCCCTCCTTAAAGACGGTGCACCGCGGAGCCCGCCTCGCCATCGACATCATCGACTACGATGCCGCCTACGAGCGCGCTATGTCGTATGCATGCGGCGACGCACTCGTTTGCGACGATCTCGCCGTCGCCAGAGCCCTCGTCTATGACCGCGGCATCGAGGTCAAGGCCGTGACGCTCGACGGCACAATCATCCACAAAGGCGGTCTTATGACCGGCGGACGCGGACCCCAGGATCGCCAGCGCAGATGGGAGGACACCGAAGTCGAGAACCTGCGCAGGCTGAGAGAGAAACTCCTCGCGGATATAGCTGCGCTGCCGCGTGGCCATCGCCGCGGTACGGAGGAGGAACAGCTGCAAGGTGAGCTGGCGGGGTTGGAGAGCCAGCTCACATTTTCGCGTGACGAGGTCAGGGCTCTGGATCGCAACATCGCGAGCAAGGAGTCTGAGCTGGCGCACGCCCGGCAGCAGATTGAGGAAACGCGGCCCAAATTCGAGGAGCAGTCCGCGCATCTCGAGGAGCTTCGCTCGAACTTGCAGACCTTCGCGGACGCAATCGCAAGGGTCGAGGACGAGGTCTTTGCACAGTTCTGCCAGAGGCTGGGGTATGCGGACATCAGAGCTTATGAGAAGCAGCAGGGCACGATGCAGCAGGAGGCGAGCCAAAGGAAACTGGAGTTTACGAGGCAGAGGAGTCGAGTCGAGAATCAGCTTGCGTTTGAGACGCAGAGGCTTGCGACTACTACTGCGCGCATTGAGACGCTTAGGTCACAGGATCAACGCGATGCGAACCTCGTTGCTTCGTTGGAAGCGGAGAAAGAGACCATCAACAATGAGCTCGACACACTGAATGCGGAGCTTGAGCAGTTAAAGCAACAGCTCGACACGCTTCGCCAGAAGGCAGATGAGCGAGCGGGCGCCGTGAACGAGGCAAGGCGGGAGGTATCGAAGAGGAATAAGAATGTCGACGAGACTCTCAAGACAATTGCGGCGCTCGAGGCTGAGGTCACGAAGTGTAGAGTAGGTTGGTACAACTTGCTGAGGAAGTGTAGAATTGATGAAGTGAACATTCCTTTGGTAAGCGGTTCGCTCTCCTTTCTTGTCTCTTTACAGACGTGATATGGGACGATAATTCAAGCAGAAGCGTTTTTGAGGATTAAAGATGCGTAAGAGCCAAACTAACAGACAGCAGGCCGAAGGCTCAGAGAGCCTGGAATCCCTTCCCCTCGACGAAACCATCAACGGCACCACAGGCGACGCCATGGAGCTCGACGGGGACGAAGGCTCCCCGGAAGCAGGACAGGCAACCGAGGCCAGAGACTACGGCATCATACCTGACTTCGACGAGCTGGACGACGACCTCAAAGAAGACGACTCGCCCAAGGCTGAAGAGACGTTGCAGGAACGTATCCAAGCCCTGAACTCTGAACTTGACAAGATGGCGCCGAATATGCGGGCTGTCGACCGCCTTGAAGCTACATCAGCGCGCCTGCACTCCACCGAGAAGGACTTCCAAGCTGCTCGTCGTGCGGCTGCGCGAGCCAAAGAGGCGTTTGAGGAAGTGCGGGAGAGGCGCGCGGAGTTGTTCAACAAGTATGGCCTTCCACTTATCCCTCTCCCTCCCCTCTTTCCTTTGCCCAACGGTCCACACCACGCCAGTTCCAGCGCTAACTACCTCTCTCGCACCACAGGGCCTTCCAACACATCTCGGACCAAATCGGCCCTGTCTACAAGGAGCTAACGCGCAGCACCGCCTTCCCGCTTGGCGGCCAGGCATACCTCGACCTCGAGGAGGGAGACGACGCGGAGGAGGCGTTCTTGGGAGGCGTCAAATACCACGCGACGCCGCCTCTCAAGGTAAGCCTTTTGTCGCACCCGTCTCCGTCCGCTGTGTCTCTTCCACTATCTACTACCTCCGCCCACATTCTGCCTTCTGCAGTTCCCTCGCTCCCGTTTGGGAACCGGGCATCCCCTGCTGCACCCCGTTTTCAGCCTAGAATAGTCTCCGCTGACCCTCCCACAGCGCTTCCGCGACCTCGCCCACCTCTCCGGCGGCGAGAAGACCATCGCGGCCCTCGCGCTCCTCTTCGCCATACACTCCTACTCGCCCTCCCCGTTCTTCGTGCTCGACGAGGTCGACGCCGCGCTCGACTCCGTCAACGTCAGGCGGGTGGCGGAATACCTACGGCGAGCTTGCGGGTGAGTCTACCGTTTTCGTTTTCCCCCTTCTCTCCCCATCTGGTTTGGGGATTGTGGACGCGAGATGAAGAGTGCAGGTGCTGATTGATGATACTGACGGGTCCTTAGGCCAGCAACGACGGGTGGAACTCGCAGCGGCAGCGCGGGCGGGATGCAGTTTATCGTCATCTCGCTGAAGCAGGGCTTGTTTGGGGAGTCGGAGACGCTGGTCGGCGTGGCGAGGGATCAGGCCAGGATGAGTAGTAGGACTGTTACGCTGGATGTGAGTTTCCCCCTGTGTGTCTTCGTCTTCGGGTATGGAGCTGTGCTAACGATCTGGGGCAGTTGCGCAAGTATCAGGCTGTTTAGGCTGGTAATGGTTTACGGTGGGTGTGTGGGTTCAGGCGCAAGGGTAAGGAAACGGGATAATGAGTCTGTGCGATTTTAGTACTATGCCAGGAGTATGGCATGACGGATACCTTGTCGATGCATGCGAGAATGTATCCCTCAAGCGAAAAGGAATAGTGCCGTCCGAAGATATGACCGCTTTAGCTAAGAGTTTAGCTTCATCACTCCTTCTCCTGCTACTGCTTCTGCTACTGCTTCTGCTGCTGCTGGTGCTGCTCTACCGGACTGAGTGTGTGCTGTCTCATACTCTTAGATATCAATGCCCTTTCAGCCTGTTCAGCGGCTTAGAACCTTGTCACAACGCCCCGGCGATGTTGCAATGTGGGCTGCTGAGTCAAGATCACCAGGCTCTTAAGGCTCTTGCCTCCGTCTAGAAAGCGCCAGTTATCACCATAAGGGGTAAGACCGCATGGCAATCATCGGCACAACGCGACAGAAACCCTACTCGCTCCCATCAACAAGGTCGTTGACCCAACCCTCCACCGGACGGGGATGCCGGGCACGGGAAGCAAATGACCGGGGTCACGGGCCGAGCCGCTCCCCAGCACCTTCCCTGCTCGGATCCCAGGCCACTTCAGATGGCATGCAATCATCCAAGCTGAAATCGACAAGGTTTAAAGGCCCGATAACCTAGCCGCCAAGCACTTGAATAATGGAAGCTCTCTGAGCCGAGTGCCTCACGGCTCCATACGACGGTGACATGGGGCGGTTGATGCGGGGGATGGGATAGGGGGGTGGTTGTATCGGTACCACCACGGCTTGGCTAAGAGGTGTCTTTTGTCGATGTCTGTGTGGGGACGCGGGGTCTCCGAGCCCACGATGAACGATTTGCCGAGTAGGCTGGTGACGGAGCGACAGTGTAAGCTTTAGTGCCTTCCAAAACGTGCAGTGGTTGTCTCTGGGCAGTGGCCTCCAAGACGCTGAACTGGCTGGGCGGTGTCCCGCTAGGTATGTTGGATTCATTTCTCAGCTCCACACCGTACCCCACGCCATTCCCGCACGGCCCTTGCGCCCGGAACCCTTGCCGCTGTGCGACATTGGTGGTGTTCTGTATTGCGGCTGAAGATCGTGTCGTGCGTCATGCGACTTCGCTCATGTGTGTCATAGGAGCATCGGGAAGGGTATAGGCCAGTGTCCTCTTATTCCAATCTTGGACGGAAAGACTTCTTCCGTTGCACGAGCGTGCACCACAACTCCTGGGCCAATGTTCCTACATGTCACTTCCGTCTGGCCGATTTTGTGGGCGCCTGAGCAGCGGCGGCATACCAAACAGACGGGACGATGGAGCCAGGACTATAACCCACCGTTATCAGCTTTTTGATGGAGCATGTATCTCATGTCATGGTCGATGACGGAACAGATGCCTCCCAGCAGATCAAACAGGAAGCAGAACCATGCTTGTAATCTGGGACCGGATCGGACCGTGCTAGCGGGATCAGGTATGAGGTACAGAAGATCTGACTTAGGGTTTGACCGGACCTCAGCTCTCCGCCCAATACGAGGCGCCGATCCGGCTGCTAAACCATGCGAGTCACCACGGGTCCTTGCGGTGCGCCACTTTCGCAGTCTCTTCTTTGTTTGGCTCCGTCGTTCTAACTCTTGGGGGTAAATGGGCAAACATCTTACGACAACCGCAAGTCCTAGTGTGTTCGGATCTCATTCCTGATGGCTTTAGCTGGCTATCACAACACTGTTATGGCTTGCAGGTTGATTCGCTAAATCACCACTAGCACCAGCAGCTGTGAGCCTTGACTTTTGATAAATACTCACCTCTCTGTCTCCCCACAGTCTACTCAGTGTCCCTAAGAGTCCCAAGTATCCCCACCATGCGCTTCATCTCGACCCTGCTGGCGGCATTGCCGCTTGCCGTCGCCGCTCCAGTCATTGAAGAACGACAAGCTCCTACGCTGGGCCGGTACATTGTCGTCTTGAAGCCCGAGGCCACGGAGTCGGTCCTCCGGGACTTGATCGTCGAGATTCTCGTCGACCTGACTCCCGACTTCGTCTACAACATCAGATCGTTCAAGGGCTTCGCTGCTCCCCTGTCCGAGGCTCTGCTGACCACCATCACGAGCCTATCTTCTGTAAGTCAGCCAGCATCTCCGTCTTAGATGATCCTATCCCTCGGTATGGTACGTTCTACGAAATACTTACCCCCCACCCAGGTCGCCTACGTCGAGCCCGACTCAACCGTCTACGCCTCCGCCCTGACCACCCAATCCAACGCCCCGTACGGCCTGGCCCGGATCTCGCACCGCAGTGCCGGCAGCACCGACTACGTCTACGACGACACCGCGGGCGCAGGCACCTGCTCCTACATCATCGACACGGGCATCTACACCGCGCACAGCGACTTCGGCGGCCGCGCGACGCATCTCGTCGACTACAGCGGCGAGAACTCCCCGGTGGATGGTAACGGCCACGGCACCCATGTCGCCGGCACCGTGGGCAGCGCGACCTACGGCGTCGCCAAGAAGACGACCCTCTTCGCCGTCAAAGTGCTTGGAGCCAACGGCTCCGGCACCAACGCGGGCGTCCTCGCCGGCATCAACTTCGCCGCCAACGACGCGCAAACCCGGCCCGGCTGCAGGGGCAAGAGCGTCGGCAACCTGAGTCTGGGCGGGGTGCGGAGCGCGGCGACGAATGCGGCGGCGGCTGCGGCGGTCGAGGCGGGATTGTTTCTTGCCGTCGCGGCGGGGAATAGCGCCATGACTGCTGAGCTGGCGTCCCCGGCGTCGGAACCTAAGGTTTGCACTGTCGGTGCGAGCGATGCGGCGGATAGGCAGGCGAGCTTTAGTAACTACGGGCGCTTGGTGGACGTGTTTGCGCCGGGGGTTAATATCTTGAGCACGTGGATTGGGGGGACTGGTGCTACGGTATGTCCGCCTCTCACCCTCTTATCGCATCCCCAGCGTTGTCTGCGTACGTCAAGAGGGCAGTCGGTACCCAGCTGCGCTCGCAGTATTTTCGTTGAACCCACGGTGGCCTGCTTTGATTCTTGTTCTTGTATATTACACTGGCTAATCTGCAAGGTAACAGAACACCATCTCGGGCACCTCAATGGCGAGTCCGCATGTCGCTGGACTAGCTGCCTATCTGTTGACGCTGGAGGGTGGGAAAGCCCCGCAGGCACTTTGCCAGCGCATCAAGGATCTTTCGTCCACGATGGGCCTGGTCTTCCCTCCTCTTCTAACGACGAACAAGCTGGCTTTCAACGGGGCCACCGCCTAGGGGCTACTGTTCGTGGAGTGGGCTTGCAGACAAGCAGGCTGACTTTCGTGACGGATTTCGTTCACGGTGTGGGCGCAGTGGCTAGCGGCGTTTTGCTCTCCGATAATGACTCCGTGGACCCAATGCTATTCGTATATTCCTGTTGGCTTCGTAGTAACTTGTTAGCTCTGTAGCAATGTTTTGACTCTGAACCATTCCGTCGCAAACCTCGCAATCGGTCGTGACGATCTGCGATTGGACTCGAGATTACTGAAGCGCAAGTGATCTGAAGATTCTGGTTCGTTTGAAACACATGGCGAAGGACCAACGTACTACGGGATGTGATCCACGAGCGAATGAACCGCTAAAGCGGTCAATGTTCCTAAGTCAGCTCACGGCACAAAGCGGACAACCGGGCGCGCCGCGTAGCGATAAGGGATAAATACACTCTACTCTGTACAGATATCGTTTAGTAGCAATCGACACGCCCCCAGCGGTCCAACGAGAATGGATGCCTAGGCGGAGAGTCTATCGTGTGAGTACTAACCACCGAAGCGGAGTAGGCAAGCCCCCTCTATCTCCCTAAGCCTTCTAATACATGAGGCAGAAGGAAACACTAAAAACAGCAGAAATTATCCCAGAGAAAGTCCCCAAGGCAAAAGGGGTCTTTTTAGCCTACGCAAAAGAGCCAGTAGCAGTTGTGGAGGCGGAGGTGCGGCGAGGGGGGGAAAGGCGAGGGTATTTTGGTATGGGACGGAGTCGGACTCGTGCTTCACTGAACCACCTGGTGTGGCCGCCGCTGGAGCAGGAGGTGTGCCGCTGCGCTATGGTCGCGACGGGGAATGAGACCAGTTGTCGGAATCTGTAACGCGAGTTGTCAGCAACAAGCAGATGCATAATGCGCATGGAGTACTATCGGAGTGGAGCGGCGGGTCTGAAGTGCCGCGTGCCGAGCTTTGGGACGGAAGATGCGTGTTGCCGCAACCCTTGAAGAAGACACAGCGTACCTCAGGATACGTCTTTCGGTGATGCGGGGCCTTGTATCGTTCAGCTCAGCCTTACGGGAATTGTCACGCATCCTTTCCATGGTGTGGTGTGGAGGTTCTTCAACGTAACGGGAAGCTAGCGGCAGCTTCTCCTGTGAGTGTTGGTGGACCTCGCTTTCCAGCCAGTGGGATCAAGGACATTCGACTTTGATATTGTATGATGGGGACGGAAGTCCGTTAAAACATCGTCTGGACGGAGCCCACGCAGAGCTCAGACGCGAGCGTCTCGATATGCAGCCTACTTGACTCAGGCAAAAGCCTCAAGCGACTTACCTTACCCCAGGCTTCCTCAAGATCGTCGCTCATGCTCACGTGGCACCTCCAGGCAAGAGGAACTGAACAATTCAACAGCAAGAAAGGGTTCTTCAAGATCTGGGCATAAAGCAAAGCAAGCAAGGCCCAAGCAAAAGCCCCGCCAATTGTCCTAGAAAACAAAGTCACTACCCCTACGCGCACCCGCGACTTTCTCCCACCGCACCGAGAAGGACCCCACACCCCTTCATCGTACAAAACCCCCCAACAAAACGTGTGTGTGTGCTTCGGAGACTCGGACAGCCAGTAACAAGTGGCACAAAGACTACAACCGAACAATGAAACACCCGCCAGAGATGTTGAAGGGGATCAATGCGTGTCTTTCTTGCTTGCACAAACCCCCCGTCGTGGACGCGAATATCAGAATAAAAACCTGCTAAAGACTCGCCCTCCGCTTCTAGACTCTGGGCGCTCGTGGACAACGAAAAGCGGAGGAAAGAGAAGAGAAGTCGAAATCGCACCATCGCCCAAATTGAGCCTGTAGTGATGACCATGCCAGCCAATGCCTTTGATCTATTGCGCATATTACATAAGTCCTGCTTCCCATTCGCCGGCGAGGAGGGGGAACGAGTAGCGAGTGGATTGCCAATAGCGGAACGGCGATGGTTGAAGGTGAGCTAGTCGAGGTGAGAGGCGACACCGACGTCTTTCTCCGCCGCCGTGGACACGAGTGCCGAGTAGATACGAAGGCGAATTCGAGAGAATATTTGATAGTCGTCGACGAGGGTCACGTGAGGTGTGAGGGCGACTATCTCCGGCCGAACCTGCTGCACCGGAAGTTCGTAATCGATTCATTACCACATAGCAGCTCACTTCTTCGACTTCTGCTTGCGAGAGGGGGTGACGGGTTTGCTTGAGCCCATGCCGCCGTAGACGTACTTTTGTTTCTTCTCCGCTGGCTTCAGTATCTGTAGGACGGCATTGTGTTAGCGATGGTAGATCCATTGTGGCAGCAGCAATTGGATGTGACTGACCTGGAAGGAACACAACAGGCTCTCGTCGACGCTCATCATGGCGCCGGCATTATCGAACTCGCCGCAGTAATTTGGCGCGCTGAAAAGAGTGACAAGTTGGCGCTTGGAGAAGAATTCATAGCCATCTTCTACGACTTGATGTGCACGGCAAATAAGATCCATGTCGTGTTTTTGGAGGAAGCGAGAGACAACATCGGGCCCGAAAGTGAAGGAAACACCTCTGTCGTTCTCGCTCCAGCCAGTAATGTCCTTGTCAGGATCTGACCATAGCAAGTCGCAGAGCAGACCGCAGTCGGGAATCTAGGACAGTCAGCGGATCGCGCAGAGTCTCTTTCGGGCCCCGGATGCATGTGGAGGATCGAAGGGAAAAGGCGGTGGACTTACGTCTGTAGGCCTCATGACGCGGCGGATTTGCTCCATGGAGTTCAGATCCGGACTCAGACCACCGTGCATCGTGAAGATCTTCTCGTCAATGATGGCAGCAATAGGCAGGCAGTTGAAGCAGTCCGTAAACGTCTTCCATAGCTTGATGTTGTACCTCCTCTTGCACTCATCATAGAAGCCGTAGATGCGGTTGATGGAGGCGCACTCGTGGTTGCCGCGAAGAATGAAGAAATTTTCGGGGTACTTGATCTTGTATGCCAGAAGAAGGCAAATAGTCTCTAGAGACTGCTTGCCTCGATCCACATAGTCGCCGAGGAAGAGGTAGTTCGCTTCTGGTGGGAACCCGCCGTATTCGAAAAGTCGAAGCAGATCGTAGTATTGGCCGTGTATGTCGCCGCAGATCTGGAAGAAGTGCATGCGCAGTCAGCCAGTGCTCTGAGAAGATCAGGATGACAGCGCAATGCTCCTGGAGGCTGCCAGTCAGTCCGACTCACCTTTATTGGCGCTTCTAGCTCTAGCAGTATAGGCTGCGAGATGAAAATCTCACGGGCCTTCGTGCACAGGAAACGGATTTCCGTCTCGAGGAGCTGCACCTGCTTGCCGGGTCTGCTTCCTCGCACCTCGAGGAGCCTGTCTATGATAGAGTCCAAATCCACCTCGTTTTCCGCCATGTTCGGCGTGTCGGCGTTGAGAGCAGGAAAGGGCGGGAGCGGGGAGCGTCTTCCGGTAGTTGACCGACTTCGATTGCGTTGTGTTACGGCGGCTGTTGATTTTGAGGGCTCTGCAGTACAGTGGACATGTTAGCAAAGGAGCATGCCAAGACGGCTGACGCAAGTAGAGCGTATGTCAACATGTACTGCGAGAAAGCAGTGCTTACAGAAAAGCACTGCGGCGTCTCCCACCTGCGAGCGACGCGATGTGCGGAGCGCGGGCGATTGTGTTCGGCGATGTTGGACGCAAGAGCAGTCCGAGCCCCTCAGCAGACGCCTGAAGGCGATTGGAAATCACGCGACTCCGTCCGAGGCGTGAAGACCTAGCAGCACGCTGAAAGTGTGATGATCGAGATGCTTCGCCGTGCACTTTTCAATGGCGACTTGCTGCTGGTGTGTCAGTGTCTGCGAAGGCGGCGGTTGACGTTGTTGTGGTTGAAGTCGTGCGAGATAGCTCGACAAAGTGGGACAGGATGTTTTTCACCGCCAAAGCCGGGCCTGGTTTCGCTCGACGAGGGGCGCGCAACAGGGCACTTGTGAGATTAGTGCAGACTGTGGCAGATGAGCGTGTGAATGTGTGAAGGGATACGAATCGTCGCAAGCTGCGATGGGCGAGGGCGGCAGAGTGCTGGAAGGGTCGTGGAGTTTGCGTTTCAGAGTGAGGACGACTTTGGAGTTCGTTGGAGGCTCCTCTCGTTTAGGAAGTGCGCGGGTGCTGCTTGGTAGTGGAATGCACGGCAGGGTCCCCGCAACTGCTGGATCGACTGCGGAGAATGCTGCAGGCTGCACGCTGGTGGGTGCTAGATGCTGGCTGCTGGCTGCTAGCTGCTAGCTGCTGGGGCGCGAAGGATGCAATGAGGTGCTGCAGAGGCTCAGAAGAGAGGCATTTCACAGCTGCCGGTGAGGGTGGTGGAGATGGCCCTCCAGTAACTAGCGATCCCACGTCTGCAATCGCGCTAGAGCCCTTTTTGGCGCCCCGAGCCCGTCCACACACCTCGCCTGCTGTCTTCGATGTTGACAAACGCAGAACACGTCTCACAACCCGCCAGCCGCGAAGAGTTCGTCACTGTCGCGTCGTGCAATGTGCAGGCCCGTTCATCATGCCGTCATCTCGCAAACCATCCCAATCTGCCCCTTGTGGTCGTTACATGAAAGCACGCAGCCTCTCAATTGAACTTGGGACAGACGACGCTGTCGCTGACAGAACATTTGGTGTGACGCGGCGCTAAGCATCTCGAGCGTCCCATTCCGGTCACCGGCGAGAGACGTGACGCCTGTCGGATTGTTCGCCTTGTGACGGTTAGGGTGCCTATATGCAGGTCAGCCGACAGTCGATATCGCAACGAAGCATAGCGCACTTGCGCTCGGAATCTTTTTTCATTCAGAATAATTCCACATGAATGCACACTCGTAAAATTCATTATCCCGTACTCCCATTCGAATACAGTGAGACACCATGAGCCGCGCTACGCCCTGCAATATGCCGATCCTCTCTGTTTTCCGCATATAAGCAAGCAAGCAATCTTCATGACCAACCCGTCTCAAGATCCATACGTGAACGCTCTCCATTCCAGCCGTTCCACACCCGTCATCTCCCGTTAATGCCCAGGCAAACTCATCGCCAACCCTAAGCTCGCGCCTCGACACCGTTGTGGCCTGGACCGCACGTGCTCGAGCTATCGATCGTCAGTATTTGCCTCAAGCCCTGGCTTCCACCCCCTGACAGCACAAAGGAAAACTCGTCTACTTACAATCTCATCAGCATCGCTGCTCCCAAACTCCGTCTCCGCACCCGACGACGACGGCTCCACTCCATCACCCACTCCAACCCCTTTGCCCTGCCGCGCCACCTTAGGCGGGCTCCTCCGTCTCAATTTCTGCTTCTCCAGTTCCAGAGTAGCAACCTGCTCCGTAAGGACAGAAAGCTGTCTCTCGACATCCGCGATGCGCGTGCTGTTCCTGCGGCCCCGCCAGGAGGGGAACTTCGGGGGCTTCGTCTTTAGTTCCGGCGATGGCGGCGGAGTGTGCTGCGGTGCCGGCCTGATCTCGTTCTTCTCCATGAGTGCCTGACCGTCGGCTACGGGCTCCGGCTCCATAGTCAGTCGCGGAGCAATGGTCGCGGGCGCGCGCCATGACGGCTCCGCCGCGTGGGTCTTGCCGGGGATGGGGACGATGGTTGGGGCTTTGGAGAGGGCGGCACCGTCGGCTTCGTTATCCGAAGATTCGGAGGTTTCGAGGCCCTCGGGTAGGGCTATATCTGCGAGGCGGGTGTTCTGCGGGACCAGGAGCGGTGGGTGCGAGCGCCAGGGACGGAGGTCGGCCTGGGGATCTGGCGAGCCGTCTGGCGAGCCGTCTGAAGGCTCGCCATCTAGGATCGCTTGCAGATGGGCGTCTAGAGATTGTTCGGCTTGTGGTAGTTGTTGGCGATCGACAAGCGTCGCGAGTGTTTGCTCGACATGGCTGAGTCGTGCGCTGAAGTCTCTCTTGAGCTCGTCAAGTTCGAGACGGTATTGTTCGAGCAGCTGAAGCGTCTGCTGCTGTGGATCCTTGGGCTTCTGGCCGTCAAGCGGCGCGAGGGCCGGCGATATCTGGGGGAGGGTCGTTAGCTGGCGCGAGGCCGAGGATGGGGTTTTGGGTTGATACGAACCGCTGCGACCATGGTTTTACTTGGTTCCAACTACCGGTTTCTCCGCCCAGCTATTACGGCTTTCTTGGTGGTTTGCTTGACGGAAATTAGCAACGTAGGGTCAACTCGAGCATCAAGGCGGGAGATCCATTCCACAGCCCCCTTAAGACGGCGAACTCCCCCATCACCACCCGTCTCACCTGCGTCTTTGTCGTCATGCCAATGCCCCAAGAGTCGCGGCAGGTGTAGCGCTATGCCTCGTATGGCAGCCGATGCGGAGAGATTCCCGCCAGACCCTTCCATCACCAAAAGCCCCGAGTGGCTGAGTGGGTTGCCCCGCACTGCCGTGGATTGCGGACCCCACGCACGTCTTGCGCGATAAAAGCTTCACCGCACAAATCATGCTTTACTAACCGCGACATACATTATCACTTTTTTGAGGCTGCGAATGAATCAGGAAAGCTATGTGATTCGACCTTAGTCCATGCGCTTCCTTTGGGAGAATTTTATTGCTTTGTTGGTAGGGTTCGCGGTGAGTAAAGGGAGGCGTGGTCGAAAAACGGGAGTTCAACAGCGAGATTTTCGCGGTGAGGCTTTTATTGTGCACGACGTGCCCATGCTATCGACTTCCCCCAGCCCCTGTGCGAATAAGGTACGTATCTATCCTATCCACAATCCGTCCCTTATTACCTCGAGCCGCTAACATCTCGCTACGCCCTACAGGTAGCCTCATCTGGAATATGGACTCCATGCGCGGCCATGTTCTAAGCGCATGATTATCGGGGTTCCGCCCTTAACGCGGACCAATACAGCTCCTAATGTATCGGCCATCGCCGAGCCGGCAGCAGTGGAGCCTGGTTGCCTTCTTCTGCCTGCTTGTTGATTGCGATGACTGAGTTTACACCTTCCGGTGTACCTCCTGTTTTTTACTCCTCTATACTCGTCCAACAGCTTGACATGTTTTTCTGATTGAACTGCGCTCAGTCCAATGACGAACTTCACCGCGTGCGCCCAAACCTTTAGCTCCGACCCGGCCTTGCAAGCCAAGTGGGCATACTATGGACCTGTCCAGGGCATCGAACGCAACAGTTCGACACAGATCACTCGCGAAGGATGCAGAGCCGTCTGCGGAACAGGCAACGATCTGTATCCGTGGGCCCAGGCGAGCGCTACTATAACGACGTGGATCCTGCCCATTGTCGGTATTTTACTTCAAGCGCCATTTGAAAGCAATGCGTTCTGGAAGACTCTGCTCGCTATCGGCCGGTGGATGGGATCCCCAATGGCTTCCCTAAGCTACGTTCTCTGGAACATGAAGGTGACCGCGAAATGCGCGCTTATGGGTAACTCGCCCTGTGCATCGGAAATGGAACATGAGCTGACAGGCAGAAGTCGACATGTGTATCCCTTGCGAAAGCCCCATCCCAAGCAAGAACAGTGACTTCGCAAAGATCCGCGATTCATTCTATATTCTCACTACCATGAACCAGTATTCCATGAAGGCAGGGGCATCGTTGAAGAAAGAAGCCGAGGGTTTGCTACGCATTGTGCTGTTCAGCAAGGACCTCAAAACGCGCAGTATCGATAACTCTCTGGTTGAGTTTCTACCAGAGGCGAGGCGAGAGCTAGCACAGGAGCTGCGCGAAGGACGTAGACGTGGTGCGGTACCAGTATTCATCTCAACTGGATGGTTTCTGTTTTCTCTGGGAATTTCCATCCAGTCATGTAAGTCTTGCGTCACATTTTCTTCAACGTCTTTCTACAATCAGAAACTTCTAAGCGAGTATGACGCTGTATCGGATGCTACCTAGTCCGTACGGGGATCATTGTTACGATTCTTCTGATGCTCTATTGGCGCATATCGGAGTCTTTTGCATATGTTTCGTTTCCTTGTCATGTAAAATTCTGGCGTTGTGGGAATAAACTGACAGTGCGTAGCCTTCGGACATATCGGCGAGAACACTACTGCGCACGACCTGGCGTTGGGGCTCCTGCTCGGTTGGCTTCCAGTGCTCATTCTCTCCAGCATTGTTGACCGCAACCCTGTAGCTGCTGACGATGTCCGAAGGAAGCTCAACAAGCTAGTGGACCTCGCCAGACATTCATTGAGAGACGAACGCATCAGGCGCGACTATATCGAGGCCACTCGGAACTCTTACTCTTACAGAGATCAAAGAGAGTTCAGCAACATGCATCGTTGGATTGATCAGATCAGCAAAGACAGCGAATTTATGGACAACTTCTTTACCAGCTTTGCCGGTCAAGGCCGAGTCCACTGGCACTACGGTGCCGCTCATCCAATCCTCAGCGACATAGAACAGTGCTACGTGGCTGAGCGAGGCCGCAACTGGTTGAAAAATGAGGAAGAAGCAAGAACAAGTCTTGTGCTTGGTGAAGTGGGAGAAGGCTTGGTCTGGTTTGATTTCCGAGAACTCTGGCAAATCGGTAGTGCAATCATCATCGTCACCTTCACCTGCCTTGGAGCCTTCGTGATTTCCTTCTACACACCCACCGTTGGCCTGGGTTGTCGTAGTGGAGGCTACATGGTGTTTTGCAGCATATCCTTCGGCCTTCTGATATGTGAGATGCTCGTCTGGTGGCTGGCATCCCCAGTCCCCCTCGAAAAACCTCAAGCTCTTGTCCGATTCAACACCAGGCTACAAAGCAACGCGACGTTTGTCGCATTTGAAAACAGCTCATTGGGCTTCTTTCAAAAGCTCACATTAGGGGTCGCGCGGTTGTGGATACGGATTGTAAAGGGTGCTTTTCGGGCCGTGCTCACCATCGTCACTTGGCAGCAAAATTTTGACCGGCAGCGAAGAGTTGAAGAATGGATGCGGACGTCTTTGGAGGTTTGCCGAAATTTCACCCTAAAAGAGTGGACGGAACGATTCTTTTTCAGACCAATAGAGTTGATAAACGCTACGTGGCTTCTGTACATTGTCATGGCTCAGACATTCGGCTGGTACAAGAACTGTGATTGCGTCACATCTACTTGGGGAGGCCGTGGAGGGTATTTGGACTTTACTCAGAGCGATATCACCAACTCACCTTGGGTCTTGTGGTACTGTAAGTCCGTTCTCCTTGCACGCAGCGAATCTCGCGTTCAGAAGGCTAAGGCGAAGGGGTTTGGTGCATGAAATTGCACCGTCAGCGTTGCATTTTGTGGGTTGCTCCCATGCTCACGCATGGCAGGGACCAGTGGCACTGTCCTCGCGTCGACAACGATGGGCTTGGCGATGATATATATCATTGCGGAGGTAAGTAGCACCTCCAGTAGCGTCTTATGCGCGACTGATTGTCTCTAGTGGTGTTTGCAAGGTCATCTCAACACAGACAATTACCGGAGTGCATGTCGAGGTCTGGAAAGAACGCGCCGATTTCGATCATTCACATTACCGCTGCGGAACTTTATCCGATTTTTCATCGATGCGGTTCTCTCACTGCGGAACTGGATCTGCAAAGCTCTTGAGATTAAACACCGGCCTCAAAGAAGCTTGTTATGGACCAAGCGGAATGGACCGTACAAAGATCTTGGACATTATCGACCCGAACCTGGCCATGAAGGTGAAGCTTTAATCGATCCACTACAGACACCAAGGCTCATGGGAGTTGACTACAACGGACCAAGCATCTTGACGCGAATGCCTTCCGGTGGCACAACACCGTATGATAACAGCGATACGGGCAGCAACATTCCGCTATATAGATTACAAACACCGGATACAGCTCATACCCCTGATCGACCGAGCTCGCGTATCGGCTCCGAAAGTCCCACATTGCGCGCAGAAGATCGCTTGCAGCCGGAGAGAGGACCCACGTACCCGCGAAGAGGTACTGACGCGACGAATACACCGCTTACTCTGTCTGAGGTAGATCTGTCAGCTACGTACACGCCGGAGTACGCACAACCTCGTTCACAGACATATTGAATTTCCCGCTACGTTGGCTTCATGCAACACTCGGGCATTCTTGAACGAGCGACTAGACTTCAACCATCACAGTCCGGACATCTTCCAAATCTCAAAAGCAGCGCCTCTGGACCGCCCTCCACTTGTGTACCGCCTTCACCTTCTCTAGGTGTGTCTCCCGGCTCAAGGACGGATGTTTTCTATATCCGGCCGTGACCTGCGCAGCCAAGTTTTTCGTGCTGCTGCAAGGCCAAGAACGTGGAAGCAAATGTTGTCCGATGCCAGTGCGGAAGACTTCCATACCGCCCTCTTTGTGCCAGTCACCGCAGGGTTTGTCATCCTGCCTACACCGCACTCACAGAGGCTTTCTCTCTTCTGAGCTGGGACTTTGAAGCGGATTAGAGGCGACGCGCGACTTCTTGGTGCTTGTATATGAATATTTGCACATTGTTGACCATCTAGTACACATGTCTGCCGCCGATGGCAGGAGGCATGCTTGGATGCTGCACGACTTTCGGTTTTTCTGTCAAACGTTCAAATATTCAAATGTCTAAATGTTTAGATGTTCAAGTACATAGGCCTTGTTGACGGCTACAAGCACATAGATGCTGCGTGAAATAGAGACCGGACTGATGTCCCTCACATCGATCTCGTTTGTCATCGTTCACGCTCTAACTCTTACCGATTTCTGTCCCCTTACATCGACACGGTTCTTGTATAATAAGGTAGATATCCGCACTCCGCGACGAAGAATTTTCCGTTGGTCGTATGTTTAGATCCCTTCCTGAAACAGCGCCATTCGCTCCTAGCCCAGCCACAACGGCCCCCACCCGGGGCGAACCGTCTGCCAAGCATCGGCCATCTCCCCTTCATCCCCCGTCCCCGCCAATGCTTTCTCCTGCAGCCGATTGCGCGAAGCAGCCACAACCGGCATGGCACAACCTCAGGCACGCCGGATCAGGCGTCGCGCAAGCGACTTGTGTATTCTTAGCATGAACGACCAGGTAAATACGAGATGCTTAATCTCAGTCTCGGCCACACCGTCATGGGCGCTCAGGACAAAAAACAGCCAGAATCCCGCCGTATCTTCGTGAAGCCTCATTTGCAGATTTCCACCTCTGTTTGCGCTGTGAACTTACGCTCTACGGCAGCAGCATGGCAAGCATTACGTTACGGCGCGGTCGTGTGTTCATGCTCTGTTTGTTTGCGGCTTCTCTCTTCATAGTCGTCGCAGCAGCACAGAACGAGCCTGTCCTTAGCAAAGCTCCCAAACCGCAACAACCCTTTCTGAAATCCTTGTCCTCACTGCCAGGCGTTCCCCTCAACGGTACCAGCGCGTTCAGCGCCGGTTTGGGACTCTTCGGGCGACAGACTGGACAAGAGTGCTATGCCGCAAATGGACAGCGATATGGCTGCGGCGAGAACCAATGCGTGAGTGCTATACAGGACTCATGGCCACTCGAAACGGACGGAACAGGATTGCTGCATCTAGTGGAACTTTACTGACATGGACGACGATAGTGCAACGGCGAAGCAACAATGGGCTGCTGCTACCCTGGTGATAATGTGAGCCCTTCTTGTCCTCCCAAAACCAGTCGACAGAGATCACAGGAAACGGCGTTCCGCATGAAGTGGAAGCAAAGCACCACACCTTACCACCGGCCGCAATGCGGGTCCACACAACCCCATCGCCATGACCGCCCCGACGATACCGCATACGCTTCATGACCTTTCTGACTGACTCACTCTCTCCTATAGTGCCTGACCATCAACGGTAATCACGAATGCTGCCCCCCGACCTACCAAACCTGCGGCAACACCATGTGCACCTGTACGCCTCTTTTCCCTTTCCCCCTCATGCCCCCTTCTACCCAAACTCCCCTCATACCCTCTGACTAACCTCCCATCCATGCAGGGCCCAACGCAACCTGCTGCCTCTCCGCCCGCCCCGGCAGCGCCTGCGGCCCCAACCAACTCTGCTGCGGCGCCGGCTGCTGCGACTGGGGCAAGCAATGCTGCGGGACCACCGGCTGCTGCGACTTCGGACAGAGCTGCTGCACCGGATCAGGCGACACCAAGTGCTGCGACGACTCGGTCTCGCGGTGTTGTGGGGGGCAGTGCTGTCCACGCACCCGCGAGTGCTGTGGGAATGTGTGTTGCAGCGTCGGTTATGTCTGTGCGGGCAGTGGGGAGTGCGTGAGGCGGGAGGGAACGACGAGGAGTGTTAGTGATGAGGCGGTCAGGACGGTTACGGTTAGTACGGAGGCGACGGATGCGGCGGGGAGAGGGAGGAGTATGGGGGTCGGTGCTGGGGCGGTGGGAGTGTTGGGGTTGGTGGTGGGGTTCTTGTAGACATAATGAAGGCGCTGAATGAGTTCCGTGACAGAATCTTAAGAGTGTCTGAAGATGCCGATGACGATAGACGCGTGTATGGATCAAGAATGCAGAGTTATTTCCGAAAATAAAACTCTTATCCTCGACCAGGAACTTTGACAAAGCAGTCGAAACAGGTGTGGAAGTGTGAGGATTCTTGAGTTGTGAAATACCTATAACGTCACTTTGACTTTGGAGACGATCTGTGGAAGTAACAACAGTCACTTGTCCGATGTGGAATGACGCTCCAGAACAGCATAAGACGGGATGAATTGAGAAGTTGACAGTATGATAGCACCAAACTCCGGAATCTAAGCCCTAGGCATACATGGCTGCATAGCAACTGACCGTCTCTAATGCTTCCTCTCCCAGTCAATCCCCTTGACTTAGGCGCATAACCCGCCCCATCCCAAAAGTTGCGCGATTGGCGAGAGTACGCATGCTACCGCCAAACGTGAGCCAAATGCATCCTCTACACGTACTGCGAGCTGCAGGGTTGTTAGCGTTTCGTATAAGGTGCGGGTACTGCACCTGCAGAGCTTAGCATTATAAGGAAACTCACAGCCAGCGGATGCCCTCCCCGTATCCTTGTCGCATGACCACACTGCACATGCTGCGAACGGTTAGGACCGAATTGACCACAAACTGATCACAGTGTCTACTTACAAGACCTCAATCGGGCGGATGCCTGTAGATGTACCGTTAGCACTTAATCCAGCTCGTCACTCCGGTGCAGCTTACCATCAAGCGGAACCTTCCCCTTTCCAGTAGTCTGGTAAAGACCCAACTCATGCCGTAACTGGTCTTCGCTGATCGCGTTTGGGTGGTCAATCTTGTTGCCCAAAATCAAGAACGGCGTCTTCGATAGCTCTTCCATACTGAGCAGCGCGTCGAGCTCTGCCTTAGATTCAGATAGGCGCTCTGGATCCTTCGCGTCGACCATAAAAACTATGCCGGAGACCTCGGCTGGGAGGCGCGTCAGTGGAACCAGCGGCTTCGGACACGTTGTGCAGCTTACGGAAATAGTCCCTTTCTTCTGTCAGCTGTGCCTGTGCATGGGGGCGGGGGCGGCGCTTACTTCCATAGTCTTCTTGCCTGTTGATGGCCTTTGTTTCCAGTGTCAGCATTGCTGTTGTACTTCGCGGCGTACGATCACCGGGAGAGGCAGCGGCCCTGAGAAGGGGATTCCCAACCGGACTGCCGCCCTCACCCCTCCCTCTGGCGATGTCCGCTTGTCCGCTAGTCGGGTGTCTCGTCATGCGTACCTCCCAAATCAAAGGTTGTAAACCTGCATGATCCGATTGATAACTCTTCGCTGGTCGGATGCAGTGTGGGTTGGAGAATAGCAACGCGGTCATTCTGTCGTCGTGCAGGTCAGCACTGAAACTGTCTCGTGGCCACTAATCGCGTGAATTTATGCTGCACTGCTACAGCAATCCAGTATCCCAATATCCTCCGTTGTAGCTTTCGGTGTGTCTACGATCAGACCCAGCGGCAGTGGCGGAGTGCAGCAGGTAGCGTACCTTCAACATATGCAATAGTGTCGTCTTGCCAGCATTGTCGAGTCCGAGGAAGAGGAGCTTGGCATGCTTGTTCAACAGGCCGAGGTTCGCCAAAACATCGAAGACTGGATTTTGTCAGCTACTGAAGCTTCCTGGCAAACTAAAACCGCAAAGTAGGGAGAGACGGTTCGAGGGTATGGGTCTGTAAGACAGGGCATGCGGTGAGGGCCGGTGGGCGAAGTCAAGAGCGTACGTACACCAGTCGATGATCCACATGCTGATGGATGTTCAGTAGGTGATCTATTTGAGGGGTTTGCGCGCAGAGGTTGTGTATTGGGGTGCAGTGTGGTTGTCGCAAAGTCGTAGAGGATCTGGCGGGTTTGGAGGCTTCCGCAGTTGGAAATGCAAGGTGTGGCGTCAGACAACGTTGCCTTTCGCCGAGGTGCTCCCGATGTTAATCAGCTTCAAGCATTGCGAACATTTGATCAGGCATACAACACCCTAAGGACTCCCCAGCCCTTATCATGAGAGAACGGGTAGTTCTTGACAGAGAACGAGTTTGTCGGAGCGCCCGAGGGCCCATGTCTACTGTGAAAATGCCAGTCCCGGAGCACCATGCTTCCAACCTCCTTATTGTTTCCACAACCGGATCACGCTTGCATCCGCACACTTATCTCGTCCACCCTGCTGCGCCAGTAGAAGGAGATTCAAAGCCGCACTAGCCAGGTAGACTGGGCACTTGAGCTTCGCAGCCTCTTCATTCACTTGCAACATGTGCCCAACCACCTCGCCCAGACAGTACCTCTGCGGCTTGTCTAGCACCGCCTCATCCCCCTCCAATGCTTTTATCATGTCCGCCCCGGCTTGTCTGAACATGGCGCTACCGCCCGCGGCATCGTTCGCCAGCTCGTAGAACTGTCCCAGTGGCAGACGGACGTGTTTAGCGAATGCTATCGCTTCGGTGGCGGCACAGAGGTGGATGCCGGCGAGCATTCGGACGATTTTGCTTAGTTGGATCTCCTCGTCTTCGCCGGACAGGGTTGCGGTCATCTGGGACAGAGGCTGGGGGTAGTACATACGAACCATGCCCGCATCGTCCTGCGGTCCGAAGCCCTGCGAAAGCCCCTGGAGATAGACTTGTTCCGCGACCGAGGTCAGCGGCGTAGGGTATTGGTAGACGCGTGCCATTTGTGTGATGATTCCCTGTACCCAGATCAGTTTGAGATTCACCATCTTCTCCGAGCAAGGACGGGCTCGGCTCTTACCACATCCTTCAGTATGATAGTCAACGCACTAACCCCCGGATAGAAATCCTCAACCAACATCCTCTCAACCCGATTCTCAAACATCCAACTCCACCCCTCCGAGCCCAGCACCTTATCTCTCACCTTCCTCGGATCGAGCCCCATCCGTGCCGCCAGCCCCATGGCCTCGCTCGCAGCCAAAATCTGGATCCCCGCGAGGACCTGATGCACCATCTTCATGTTGCTGCCCTGGCCCGCGCCGCCTTCGACGATGTAGAGCTTAGTCTCGGCGGCCATGGCGGCGAGGATGGCGTGGCCTTTTTCGAGCGCGGCCGGGGAGCCGCCAGCCATGATGGAGAGCGTGCCGGCGGCTGCGCGGGCGGCGCCGCCGGATACGGGGCAGTCGATGAAGAGGATGTCGGAGCGGCCTAGGCGGTCGAGGTCGGCTTGGACGGATTGGGCGTATGTGGCTGGGACGGTGGAGCAGAGGAAGAGTGTGGCACCTCGTGGTAATGCTGTGATATGCCCGAGGCTCTAACATCAGACTATTTTCTTGTCCGCAGCCATTGCTGCCTGCGCTCCAATGGTAGATGGTGGAACTTACCAGGTACAATCGCACTCTCCCCATCAAACAGCGCAGATTGGGCTTGCACAGCGGTGGCTACCATGCAAACATAGTATGTGCTTCCAGCAGCGGAATCTGCTAACGAGGATGCTGGTATGCCGCCTGCGGCTTTAAAGCGTGCTAGTGACGGAGGATAGACGTCAAAGCCTTTAACATTGTAGCCGTGCCTGAGCAGGTTGGTGGCCATTCCCTGGCCCATCGCGCCCAGTCCGCAGAACCCTATGCTCTCTTTCTGCGCTGAAGACATGGTCGACTGATGATAGAAATAGCGGAGAGAATCGAGAGAACGTGGTGGATATGGAAATCTTAGTAAAGGACGTAAAGGATGGGCACGACCAAAGAGGAGCCCACGTTGGATTATTCGATATAGCTAGCAAGTGGCATTGCGGTATGAGTATGACCGCTATTCTACGCCTTTAAACCTACGTGCAGGGCTTCAGTGAATTTCGCGGACTCCAGACACGGCATCTTCAGTACCTCGCATGAACGCGAGCGGGGTAACCACTGCCGCGGGATATTCTTATACGAGCACTCCTCATTTCACGATTGTCTCAAGGTACTTCGGGTTGTGATATTCCTGTTTGTGTTCATTGATGGATTAATCTCCGACTGCCAAAGCTCCGTTGTGGTTCCAAGAGTCGGCTTTCTCTCCGCAACGGACACACCCCGCCATCAGAGCACATCTCACGCAGCCGTTTCATGATTGAAGCTCCCATAAGAATCTGGTGCTCGTCCAAGGGAATGGTGCATACTCATTGTCCCTCAAAGCGCAATTCAGGCGATTTTGGTATCTCTTGACATCGTCAAAATCACCACCCAATATCCATTCTACACTTTATTACCCAGTTCCACCAAGTATCTGCTACTTCCGCCAGTTCTCTCTCACCTTCACCATGGAAAACAACCGCGCTATCCCCATCCTAAACGCCGCATCAGCAGGCAACTACGCCATCCCCGCAATGTGCTGCTACCAAACCGAAGGCATCCTCGCCACCATCCGCGCCGCCGAAGCCAAGCGCTCCCCCGCCATGGTATTATTATTTCCGTGGGCAATTGGATACGCCGACAGTCTCCTCGTGCACCTTGCCGCCTCCGCCTGCCGCGCCGCCAAAGTCCCCGTAACACTCCACCTGGATCACGCCCAGGATCCGGAGCTCATCAAGCGCGCGGCAGATATGGGCGGCTTTGATAGCATCATGGTTGATATGAGCCACTATGAGAAAGAGGAGAATCTGCGGCTTACGAAGGAGTTGACGGAGTATTGCCACGCGCGGGGCATAGCGACGGAAGCGGAGCCAGGGCGCATAGAAGGCGGCGAAGACGGGATTGCGGACACGGCGGATCTCGAGGGAATGCTGACTACGCCCGACGACGCCCAGGACTTTGTGGATACGGGGATCGACTGGCTTGCGCCGGCTTTCGGCAACGTGCATGGGAACTATGGGCCGAGAGGCATACGGCTGGAGTATGACAGGCTAGAGAGCATCAACAAGGCTGTGGGCGAGAAAGTGAGGTTGGTGCTGCATGGTGCGGATCCGTTCGACGAGAAGATATTCAGGCAGTGTATTGAGCATGGAGTTTCCAAAATCAACATTAATAAGGTGTTGAACAACGAGTATATTAAGGTGCAGCAGGAGAAGGCGGGGAAGGCGCCGCTGACGGCTGTCATTGAAGAGGGCACGGACATGATGCAGAAGGCTGTAGAGCGGTGTATGGATATGTTAGGATCTTCAGGAAAAGCGTGATGAACGACACTAGTATATATATGTTGGAGATCACGGATTCACTAGTATAAGGTTGATACTGGGATACCAATAGAGAGACTTCTGAAATTACCTGAACCCGCAAGTTGAACGCTTGTGGCATGCTTGAAAATTGGAGCCGCTCTCCGCCGCTCATACCGCAGTCAGCACAAATATTCCTTTCGAGGACGGCGCGTGATACAAGACGAAAATAAACGGCGCACTGCGTCACGAGCCTCATGCCTATACTCGGTTTCCAGATCAGTAATGACAGCTTAATCACCCATTGGAACCAGCACGTGACTCACAAGCGGCGCAAGCACATGCCGTGCAAGGCTGTAAATATCGGTTCAATTCTTGACTTCTGCCTTCCTCTTACTGGATGAGCGATCGGAGCTGGGACGCCATTTGAAACAGGGTTCTCAGCGACGGTCATCGCTTGCTTCACGACCTCATCTGTAACATCTGTCCACGCATCACCCACTGGTGAAACGCGCCCTTGCTCCAATGGGACAATATCGAAGCAGTGCCCGGCCCAAGAGCGGCGAAGCATCCAAAGATGTCTCTGGTCGGCCCAGTAAGGCAAATGGGTCCAACAGATGCGTAAAGCAACCCATCATCCACCCTTAAGTTGAGAGTGTCCGGATGGTCGATATAGCCACGCTTGTTGTTGCCGGTTAGGCCGTCCCGACAACGCACATAGGATCCTGTGGTAGGATTGCGCAGGACTCAGGGTGCGTGTGAGGAGAGACTGGAGGCGTAGGGCACATCGACGACAACTCTACAGCCATCTTTTTCGCCTAGGTTGCGGGAATGCCGGCCGTGATGGTATCCTGGGCTTTCAGTGCGGCCAGCCATGCTTCCACGGCATCCACATCGACGGCATCATAAGCCCTGATAGCTGCCCAGTTGATCTTCCTCGCCTAGCACATGCAGCCATTATCGGATACCTTTATCGAGGATTTGGCCAAATGGTCTTTTGCAAATTACTCCGGTAGATCGTTGAGATACGTTCCCGTGCATGCAATCTCAACCCCTGCCATGGGTGCAGCCGCGGGCCAGCAATCTCTCTCAACGTGCCGGAGGACATGCAGCCACAGCGTTTCGGATGCCAGGCCGATGGCAATAATGTCACTTCTCTCGAGCGATGAGTTCTCCAAGACCGAAGCGATCAATTCGGTGGGTAGGGACTCGAGTTTTGATGCCGTGTTTGAATGGTGGGATCGGGCGATCGGCTTGCGCACCAAAGCTGTTGGCTTGGCGAGTTGTGCCCAGGCCTAAGAACATCTGTCGTGCAAGAGAAGCTCCCGAGGCGTGGGGCGTCTATCATGAAGTGGCATAGCTCTTCGCAGACAATGGATCTTTCGGACGCGCGGGGCTAGGATCTGCCATTGCTGTGGCGAACACTCGGTCACATCGACGCGCGGCGGACACATCTTGGGTGCTGTTCGGTCGGATGATGAGCAGACGAGTGATGTTTAACCAAGACGAGCAAGAAAACATTCAAGAGTGGAGCCTTGGCTGTAAAGTGACTTGAAGATACCTGAGCTAAACGAGCTGTAGGAAGACCGGTGTGGATTTCAGTGGCTAAGAAAGAAATGGACGCCGAGTGAAAAGTGGGTGAATCAGCACATTAGTAGACTTGGTGCCTTCGCTGCCCGGACTGCTGCTTGGAAGTTGAAAGATTACAATCACCCCGTGGCTTGAATGCTGACACCAACTTGGAAGAGTGAATGAGGTTGAAGCTGAAGCGGGTCACCCATTAGTAGCTTGGACATCCGCAGCGGCGAGTATTTATAGCGTCAACCATTTAAGGGTCTCTTCAGCCGTCAGGGCTGTTATGCTGATCCGTTTGAAAGTGAGATGAGGCGTCGGTGCAGGTACTCGCCTCCACCATGCCGTTTGAGCGTGTTGTGTGGCAGTTGATGTTGGATCATGATGGTTTTCAGCGGAATGCGTGCTTTGACAGTGCCAAACACTTGGGCGGACAAGGATGCGCGCTGCGGAGCCGAAGTTGCGCTACGGAGTACAATAGCTTCCACTGGGGGTGGAGAAGACTCGGAGCTCGGAGCTCGGAGAAAGGGGAGCTGGAAGGCGTGACGTCAGGCATCGCCAGTGTCTGTTGTTTGTCGCATGGCAGACCTGACAGCAACATTATCAAGATACAGCAGATTGACACTCGTCGGTGGACATTCTCGAAGGCGCAAGTCACCTGCAGCAACAGATTGAGGAGCTGCTCGTCGATCCGGGCTGGGGTGCCGCGTGGCTTCGTATCCGCATGCGCGGCGACCGAGCCAAGCTCATGCATTACCGGTTCCGGTCCCTGATTGCAATGCGACACGATCAGTCGCGCCTCAGTAAACAGCGGCCACCAACGTAAGCCAAGCGATATCTGTCTGTCCTCCTCACCTCGGCACTGCAGGCTTGCTGACCGCAGCATGGCCTTCCCCGCGAGCTTCCTGTGTTAAAAGGGTTGATACATGCGCCGCATGCCCGTGGGGAAATCCAAGTGAAACAATTGCAACAGCAAGATGGGTCCTACACGCCTCTTTCTCATAGCTCTAGCTTCAACAGCTACGGCATTGTACATCAATGGCAGTGTTGTGGCACCCTGTGACTCTCCAATCTACTGTCATGGAGAGATCCTTCGTCAGATCGAGCTTGCACGACCATTTCAGGACTCGAAAACTTTCGTAGACCTGTAAGTGAACTCAGGATTCTCTAACTCCTGGAAAACCCACTGATTGACTTGACAGACCTACAATCCGGCCTCTTGAGGAAGTCATTGCGGCCTTCAATGACCTCCCTAAGCCTCTCAGCAACAACACTGAGCTGCAGGAGTTTTTGACAACATACTTTGGCGAAGCAGGCTCCGAGATTGCTCCAGTCCCGGAAGATGAGCTGTCGACAAACGCTACCTTCCTCGATCACGTGAACGATACAGTGGTCCGAGACTTCGTAGCAGCCGTCGTAGACATCTGGCCTAATTTGACTCGCAATTATGTGGGCGCCTCTAACTGCTCTGGATGCGTCGACTCTTTCATTCCCTTGAACCGCACTTTTGTGGTTGCAGGAGGTCGCTTCAGGGAAGCGTACTACTGGGACTCATTCTGGATTATTGAGGGTCTCTTACGTACTCAAGGCTCGTTTACGGAGATTGCTCTCAATATCATTGAGAACTTTCTCGACCTTGTTCGGGACATTGGCTTTGTACCGAATGGAGCTCGGAAGTACTATCTCAATCGAAGTCAGCCGCCGCTTTTAACGCAGATGCTGTCTGTCTACATGGACTATGTCGGTAACGACACAAGCATCCTGGAGCGGGCACTTCCGATACTTGAGCAGGAGTACGCTTTTTGGACAAGAAACAGGAGTGTGACAGTCGAGACGCCCAATGGCGCTTACACGCTCAATCATTACGCGGTGGAGAACACCCAACCTCGTCCAGAGTCGTACAGAGAGGACTATGTCACCGCCAACAACCGCTCTTACTACGCAGAGTCCGGCATCATCTATCCGGAGAACAATCCTCTCAACGAGACTGAGCGTGCCGAGCTCTATGCGAATCTCGCCTCAGGCGCTGAGTCAGGCTGGGACTATTCCTCACGCTGGCTTAGAACCCCAGCTGACGCCGCGAACGACGTATACTTTCCCTTGCGCTCCTTGAACGTTATCAACACCGTGCCCGTCGATTTGAATTCCATCCTCTACATGAACGAAATCAGCCTTGCGACCTACAGCTCCATGGTCGGCAACGAGTCCGCTGCCGCTCACTACAACGAGTTGGCAGCTAACCGCAGCGCCGCAATGTACGCTCTGATGTGGAACTCGACGTACAACAGCTACTTCGACTACAACCTAACCTCGTCGTCCCAAAACCGCTACACTGTCGCCGATCCCGACGAGACGCCTTCCGAAGCCTCCGGCGCACCACCCGGCTATCAGGTCGCATTCAGCGCGGCGCAGTACTACCCCTTCTGGACTGGTGCCGCACCCGCCCACCTCAAGAACAATCCGCTCGCCGTCCGGCTTGCCTACCAGCGCGTACAGGATCTACTCGAGCAGAAAGCCGGCGGCATCCCCGCCACGAACCTTATAACCGGCGAACAGTGGGATCAACCCAATGTCTGGCCACCGCTTATGTACATCCTGATCGACGGCCTACTCAACACGCCTCCCACGTTCGGGGCCGACGACCCGGACTATGTCACCACGCAGCAGCTGGCGCTCGACCTCGCGCAGCGCTACCTGGACAGCACGTTCTGCACCTGGCGGCAGTCAGGCGGCGCCACGCCGGGGCTGGAGCCCGTCGAGGGCGTGCAGGGCGAGGGCATCATGTTTGAGAAGTATGCGGATAATGATACGTCATCTGCAGGTGGTGGAGGCGAGTATGAGGTAGTAGAGGGCTTTGGGTGGACCAATGGGGTGCTCATCTGGATTGCAGATCTCTTTGGCGCGAACTTGACGCAGCCGGACTGTGGGAACCTAGCACCGGTAAATTCGACGCTTGAAGAGAAGAAAAAGAGGAGGAGTAGGAGGAGTGCGTTGGAGTTGCATCCGGCGGACGCGAGGTTTGTGAAGAAGTGGGCCAAGTAGTAGAAAGGGAGAACTGAACCGGAAACCTTTCAAATAACCCTAAAAGTTATTTCATATAGCGCTATACTAGGCGAAGGCATTGAGCCGTGACAAAGACACACGAACGCACAATATATCTACCTGTCGAATAATGGATCAGAGCTGCTATGAAACATAGCGCTTGGTGCCCAAGTAACCACGCACTCATGAATAGCATAACAAGATGCCTCTTTGGTGAGCTCACTGAGCCGGTTTGAACTACATAAGCGGCTACAACAACCCGATACATGTAGCACGGCGCGATGGATGGTCTTATAAATGGGCAAGAAGCTCACGGCGGCGTGTATAAATCTCTGTTGACCGTGGAGGGCATGGACCTCCAGAACCACAACCACTAGTAGTAGCCTTCGATGTTACTGAGACTCTTCCTCCTCGAGCTGACGATACGTGATGTTCTCCGATACTCTGAAAAAGGCTCGAAAACGCTGTTGACCCTTGTAATCATGTGATGCTGTCTACAGGGTGGGGCAAGAGTGTCCTAAGAACCAGGGCTGCTGAGGCTCGCATACTCGACTGTTGCACCCTAAACGCGAACGTGAAACCCATCCATACCGCGCGGCGCGCCTCACGCACTTACCATGGGCGACCGTCACTGTCCCGTTGCGCTCTTTACCGGAGCAACGGCCGGAATCGGCGAAGCCATCCTGAAAGCTTACGCTAAACAGCACCGGGACGCTCGTATCTACTTTGTCGGTCGCAAGGAAGAGTCCGCTCGGAAAATCATCGAGGATGTTCGGGCGATGTGGACTGATGGCCAGGAGAGAGTGGAAGATGAGGGAGAGATCACGTTTGTCAAAGCGGATTTAACGCTCTTGAGGAACGTGCAGAGCGTTGTGGAGGAGGTTAAGAGGAGGGAAGGAGGTGAGGGCAGGCTGGATTTGCTGTGTATGAGTCAGGGGTATTTGACCCTCAAAGGGAGGCAAGGTGGGTTATATATTCTTGGGTATTCTTGCCTCTGAGGTTTAGGACGTGCCGGGTCCTGAGTTCAAACGCTTTGGCTTAAGGTTGGATCTGTTGGAACGATTCGCTTTGGGCTTGCTGGGTATGAATAGAGTTGCTGGACATATAAGACTAAATGTCTTTTCCTTCTCTTCAGACGGTAGTCTTGGGGCTAATTTACAGCGTCTATCATATACACTGACCTTTGCGTTTTTCAGAAACATCCGAGCATCATGACGCGCCTCTCGTCCTTACTTTTCATTCCCGCGCCTACCTCACCTACAGTCTCCTTCCCCTCCTCCGCTCTTCCAACTCCCCCAATGGTGCGCGTGTCATCTCTATCCTCGCGCCGGGGGACGAAGGTCCTCTCTACCTAGAAGACCTGGACCTCAAAGAGAGGCATCCGACCCTGATTGATTGGATCTTCCCAGGATGGCTAAGGCGTCTGACGGGGCTGGATCCAGGCTACATGATGCTGAGAATAAGTCATTCCGTTATCATGACGACTCTCTTCTTCGAGGAGTTGGCGAGGCGCGAAAGAGAGAGGATCCAAGAGGTCCATCCAACGACGGAAGCAGCACCAGATGTGCTCGGGCACAGTGGAGGTAAAGCTGGCGTCTCTTTCCTTCATGTCTACCCCGGCCTTGTCAAGACGAACGAGTTCGAAAACGGAGACTTTCCGGTTGCGCTAAAGTTTTTCTTCACACGGATCCTGCTGCCTCTCATTACGCCTATGGCAGTGCCTGTGGAGAAGGTCGGAGAGGGCGTTACATCGATGGTGGAGGATAAGAGGTTCAGCCTCTCCCGATCCATTGAAGGCGAACAAGCTGAGGTAGCTGAGCTTGGTTCGGATGGGGTGAGAGGAAGCGGGTCATACTGTCTCAGCTGGGACGGAAGAAGGAAGGTAAAGGAAAATGTGTTGGAGGCACTGAGGAAGAAGGGGGCGAGCGAGTTACTCTGGGAGCATTTTGAAGAGGGTTTGGGGTTTTTGGATACTACGACAGGCGAGTAATAACACCCTGCTCAGTACGAGGACGGCTATCCATTCAGGTTGTTACCTTCGGAGCAATCAAGCTGTCTCTGCACTTAGACGAACATTCTGATTCTAGGCCGTGCAACAATACATGGCAGCTTGGCTGAATTCTAAGAGCTGCCGCCCGCATAGGCACAAAAAGCTATCATGTTTCGACACTCAAATTATGAGCGGCAATAGTCATCCGAGTATATGTATTTCTATAGTATACAACGAGTGAACCATCACGAGAATGGCCGTTTGCTTATAGCCAGCACCGTGACTCTTTTCGACCATATGAACAAACCTCCAAAACGATCCCAAAACGAACAGCCCTACGCTCGGCAAATCCTCATATCGAACAACCACTTCCGCCAAACTACGATACATCAGGCGTGATCAGTCTCCCGCTTACGGCCGCCCAGCATAATTAAAGTAAGGCCCATACCCAAACCCAGTCCCCAGTTCAATGATGTTTGAAAAATGCAGGTACTCGTCATTGAGACAGACATTGCTCTTACCACCCCCATATCTCCGTTGCCACTATCCGTAACGAGAAGGTTACAGGTGCTAGTGCCGGAGGTATAGAAGAGGCTCCAGCCGGGGGTGATGTGAGCGCAGAGCCAGGCCGGCCTTCTCATCGGCTACTGTATAGCCATCGTCGTATTGGACAGTGCGGTCAGCGGGCAGTGTGGTCGTTGCTGTAACGGTTGCCGTGGTTGTGACGGAGGCTGTCTCCGTAATGGCCACGGTGGTGGTCGTGAGCTAGGGAAGCGGTTAGCTTTGCGGATACTTGATGAGGTCGATTGCTAAGGTTGTGCCGTTCCTGGAGAGTTGTTTTTTACCGGAGCGGCAGCAGTGACTGTAGACTTAGCCACGCCCCAGCAGTTGCAGGCGGGCGAGTACCTGACAGCTCCTGAGCATGCCTAGGCGTAGGTAGGGACTGCGGATGGCTGTGTAGGGACTTAGCGCGCCAGGAGGTGTACTAGGTTGGCCTCTTGCGCCTCGCTTCTCTGTCCTTTAACCATTGTCGCAGGGGGTAGACAACTCTGGATTTTCGATGGCTGCGGCTGCGGCGTTTCGCTTCGCTACGCCTACAACGGTATACGTGGTGAAAATCAACGTTGAGGTTACCGTGTCGGCCGACGTAGTGGGAGTGGTTATGAATGCTGTGACGGTTCTATCATTGTCTTAGCGAGAACGCACACATTAACTGGATAGTGCTATAATCCTTACTCACGATGTAGCTGATGTCATCATAACACGGAAGAACGATGAGCACTCAGCTCGCCGTGATTCTATAGGGGTGAGGCCCTCGCAGATCTGGTAACAGCACGAGCGCAATTACCGGTGACGCATGCTTGTCTTGGAAGAATAGCGTTTCACCGTTCACTGCAGCCGCGCCCAGCAAGCTGGACAGCAAGATTCGTAGGTGGACCATGTTAATGTGGCGCTCTTGGAAGAAGGTATGAACCGTGAAATATTTCTCTATCAAAGAGGGAAGTAAGCGAGAAAGATGTGTGAAAGCTGATTGCGGTGTTAACGACTGCTCCGATACAGGAGGGAGATGGTCACTTCCTTATAGAACATGACTACAGGTGATGCGCGAAAGAGCTGAACAGAAGTGTTGCGGGTTGGATCTCATGGCTGGCTGACGGGACTTGGTACAAGATAAAGTTGAGCAGCCGGACGTTCAAAGCTGCAGTATCTAGACATTACCCGTCATTGCTAGTACAATGTCTCGCTACTTACTCTCTACAAATGGGGGTTACAAGCGGTGTGAAACCTTCTGATCAGGACGAAACCGAAACTGCGGCTGTTCTACGCCCAAAATGGCACGAGCTATCGAATCGCTCCCGAGTACTGACAATTGACTTGGGGTTTGAAAGACAACAGAGGAACATGAACTCGGAGCTAGCGCTGGAACTCGGCAAGAACGATAGAAGTAGAAGCCGAAGGATATATTCAAGCTGGAGGCACGCAGCTTGTCTATTGGATCGACAGGATACAGGTTGAGATGTAACGTTAGGTGAAGACCAATGGAAAATCAGACTTCATCAACGGCACTGCCAGCCAGGGTGAGAGAGCCCTCTCCATAGCCTTGGGATGATCGGCAGGTGGAGGCACAGCAGGAGGCTTCTTGGTCCACGAGGCTGGCTGAAAGGCATATCAGGTTTGTAGCGGGGAGGAAAACCTGGGGATCTGTTGTGCATCTGCCGCGAAATAGATCGGCACTACCGTCTTCCACGTAGGTAGGCAGTGCTTACATCCTCCTCACCCAGTGCTCAAGTTACTCGAAGCCTGAGGGGTTTCTCAGATGATAGCTCGCGGCATACTCTGCGTCACTGTCCGGATAGTCAGGGATTGAGTGTTGGGATGGATTCGCAGAACAGATTGAACTGGGCGCGTACCTGGGGGACACGAGCCAGGGCTGGACCTGGTGAGGCTGATAGATCCTTGGATGGGGAGCTGAACGCCGTAGTGCCCGTCGACCGATCAATAACCTGCATGCCTAGCCATGCCAGCGAACTAAGATCAACGAAATGTGATATGAGATGCGTCAGGGAAACTCTCCGGTCCAGGCGGTGCTGTTCTCGAACGTCGACAACGGTGGAGGCGTCCCTGGAAGTCTTGATGCAACCGCAAGGCTGCTTTAGGTGAGGTTAGTTCGTACAACAGCTCCACGCAACAGCATTCGTTCATGAGAGATCTTGGCAGGCTATCCGGCGAGCTCGGCGAGAGTGTGCGAATGTGTATGTAGGCGAGGCTTGGATAAGGAATTGGGGAGTGTTCAGATAACACAAAAGTCATGAATACAGCTCTTTACTACCAGCGCGAAGGCAGTGAGCGACGACGAACCTACTTGATTGGACGATGAAGCATGGCTGCTATGAAGCGTAGCGGTATTGCACCTAACAGATGACACTGTCCTGCCCCTCGTCCGAGTCCCCGAGCACGAAAAGAAATGGCTACCTAGTGCCTAGGTAGTACTGTAGAATATAATGCCTCTCAAGATTCAAACTGGCACTCAGCGCCAAGAGCACGGTATGTCCGGTAAGTCCGTCGAACATTCCTCCACAATCACCTGCGGAGCGTTTTCTCAAAACATCTTGAGCATACTCTATCTGGACCCGCGAAATCCCAATCGCTATTTGCGTGACATATAAAGCCTCCAGCAGCGCAGCAGCATGGCTCATGTCCGCCCGATGCGCGCAACCGACCTCTTTAAATTCAACCAATGCAACCTCGACCCGCTGACGGAAACCTACAACATCGGCTTCTACCTCGAGTACCTGATCAAATGGCCGCACCTCTGCAACGTCATCGAAGGCCGCGACGGTAACATTGAGGGCTACAGTACGCCCAATGCCCCCTTTCCCGCCCTGCGCCTACACCCACGTACGATGCATCTTCAACCCGAATGCAGGCGGCTAACAACCTTACCGTACTTGCGAAGCTCGAGGCCTCGCCCTACCCCGCCCCCGTACAGCCCTACTCCCCCGACACGAACCCAAACCCCAACTACCTCCCCTGGCACGGCCACATCACCGCTCTCACCATCGCCCCAAAAGCGCGCCGTCTCGGCCACGCGACGCGCCTGACACAGAGTCTCGAGCAGGCGTGCGATGCCGCGGACGCGTGGTTTGTGGATCTGTTCGTCAGGGCCGAGAACAAGGTCGCGCAGGAGCTGTATAGGAAAATGGGGTATAGTGTCTATAGACGCATTGTTGGGTATTATAACGATGATGCGGATGCGTTTGATATGAGGAAACCGCTTAGTAGGGACAAGGGGCGGAAACATGTTAGGGAGCGGGGTGAGGATGTTAGGGTTGATCCGGCGGAGGTGTGGTGAGGGGGTGTGGAGACGTATTGGCGAATTCCGAACTCTGTTCGGTGAAGAGGTGGCGTGGGGAGCCCGGCCGGACACGGCGGAGGTTCAGGGCTCTGAGAAGAGCGGCATGGGCAGTTCAGACCTAGCACAGAGCGTAGGTCATTGCTGTCCGCTTAGCGTTAAGAGCTCGAAAGCTGATATCTGGAGCAAGCACAGTTCGGGGGCGACTGCCCAGACTCACACACTGGAAAACATTCTCAGCTCCTCCCCCGGTTGCGATAGACTTGCACAGCGGAGGCAAGCGGCTACGGAACAGATCCATAGGGTGAGGATGCGGTACTCAAAGGCGCCCGGTATAGCCTGGGGCTGATGTGTAGCCTCGATCTCGATCGTGCTGCATTGATGTGCATTGCGTACCTCACATCCTCTTTTTATAGATGTGATGGGATAACGGTATTGAGTCTCCATCGAACTTCGCCCCTGTTGGCTCCTCATTATTCTCGTCCACCGAGCACCATAGGCAAGGAACCGCCAACTTTTTTTCAAGCTTGCTTGGCACCGCTGAACCTTGGCTTGCACGTGATAGCTTGGAACTTGTCATGCTGGCTTCAGCTCGTTCGTGTTGAAATCTCGAATACGAGGCCATTCACCAAGCACCAGGCTCACTGAACCCTGAAGTCTCGTCTAAGCTTCTCACGCGACGTGTTCTTCTCAGATCTCCTCTAATAACTCCCAGTTTTCTTTTAGCCTGTATATATCCGGTAGCCCGTTGTGCACCAGTAGCACTGTCTTTTCTCACTGATATCCACTCGCACACCTCGCTTTAGTACGTTTATTGGAACAGACCAAGCCTCCGCTCCGTCATGGCAACTCCAGCTCATCCATCCGTAATGCGCGCCTGGGTCCATTCCCGCGCCGGCACTCCCACCACCGTCCTCTCCCTCTCCCCCACCCACCCCACACCAACGCTGACAAGCCCCGCCTCCGTCCTGGTCCGCGTCTCCCATGCAGCCCTCAATCCCGGAGGCTCCATAATGATGCAGCTGTGCCCCTCCATCCTCCGTTCCTTCCCCGCAGTCCCCGAACTGGACTTCTCCGGCACCGTCGTTGCCGCCGGCGACTCAATCCCTGAAGCACAAAGGGACGAGCTGCAGCCGGGCGCAGCGGTTTTTGGATCCGTGCCGGTGGGCTTGCACCTCAGGGCTGGCACGGGCGCGCTGGCTGAGTATGTCGTGGTGCCGAGCGACAGCGTCTGCGCTATGCCCAGGAATATGAGTTTCGAGGAAGCCGCGGGTTTGGGCGTTGCGGGTAGCACGGCGCTGTGCCTGGTGGAAGCCATGCGGCTCGGCAGAGGTAACAAGGTCCTCATCAACGGCGCTAGCGGCGGGATCGGGACCATGGTTGTGCAACTCGTTAGGAAGGCCGTCGGAGAGTCTGGAATGATCGTAGGAGTCTGTTCGGGGCGGAACGCCGAGATGGTCAGGGGCCTGGGCGCGGATGAGATAGTGGACTATACGACGTTTACGAAGGAGGCACCGCTCCACGGCTATCTTCAACGCCATCACTCCCAGTCCTGCTTCGATGCTGTCGTCGATTGCCGCGGCGTGCAGGAGCTCTATGCGCATTGTACAGGTTATCTTAAAGATGGGAAACCGTTTGTTACGGTTGGACCGGCTCCGGAGGAGTACACGATCTCGGGAATGCTCTACACACTGCTACTGATGCTGAGGAACGCTGTGGGTAGTGCGTTGCCGATGTGGCTAGGGGGCGTGGGGAGGAAGTATCTGCAGGTCAATGGACTGGTGGACTCGGAAAGTTTGAGGAAGTTGAGGGGGAAGGTGGAAGAGGATGGAATGAAGGTTGTGGTTGATGGTTGTTGGAGGATGGAGGATGCCGTAATGGTAAGTTCTCGCGCCCGCTCTGAGGGCGAGCCTAACAATGAATTGTAGGCGTATGAGCCGATATTGAGCAAGAGGGCCCGAGGAAAGGTGATAGTTAAGGTCCAGGATCCTTCAGAGAAGCTTGAGTTTGGAGATTAGTCGTGGGCCTCATCAGAATTCCATGTCTGCTCCGTGGAGATGGGTATCCCTCCGACTAGCTTTGTGGGTCGGTGCTCATGTTCTTTGATTTTGAGATAGTTGTATGCCCAGCGCCTTGCCACCCCTGTCACTCCATGGGTAGGTGGGTGACCTATATTTTTTTTCCACTTCGCGCGAGTGCTGCAAACTCGTCAGCCCGAAAATACACCACCTGCGTCTCTGACTCGCCCAATCTGCACGTTGAGGCCTGAGTTGTTGCTGTCGCAAGGGACTTCCTGAGAGGATGCGGCGGTTGGATAAGGCCGACTTGGGTCTGCGGCAACTGAAAGAGAAGCGGAGAGCAGAGCGCAACTTTTTATCAACAAATAGCGTGCTTACAAGGAAGGGCTCTGCATGTGCGCGGCTTTTAGGCCTAACGTCCTCGGTGTGTCCTTTTCGCGGCGGCAGGCAGTGCATTGCCACGTGACGATACACGGCGGAGTTTGCAAGTGATGTTAGACCTCATGTTGGAAGGCTTGATGCGATTGCCGCATGTGTCGAGTGCATGGAGGACGAGGTACGGACGGTATGAAACGGACTATTACTGATCCGATCGAGGTATATTGCAACGAAAAAGCGCCGAAGGAAATGAAAAGACCGCACAGTTCACAAAGGAAAGAGAGGATATATGGTTCTGGAAGAGCAGGAATAGAAAAGCACCGATCGGCGCAGAAAGACCGCATTATGCAAGGCATACCCGCTCCATATTACAACGCAATTCCTCCACCAAAAGGTCAACCTCAAGACGGGCCGGGGAAGCCCGCATCAGCATCCCGCACCCAGCGATCGTGCACCCAATCTCCAGTGCACTCATTCGTGGTGCAATCCCCCACCCACCTCCTTCCTCACCCCCACCAGACCCAGCACCCCCCCTTCATCCACGCCCCTCAATCCACCCAAGCATCCTCAAACAACCCCCTTCTCCGCCTTCACCCCTCTGGTAAAACTCGCATCCTGCCCACTCAGCCGTCTCCCCAGCGCGCGCTCCAGCTTCGCGCCGAGGGCCAGCTTGCTCATCTCGCCGCTCTTCTCGTTGCTGACGACGTACCGCTGCTGCTGCAGGCGCTTGTCGTCGAGGCGGTCGAAGCCAGAGTTCCACTTGCTGATGTCGGCGGTGCGCGCGTCGAGGGTGGATGTTGTGGAGGGCGCGATGCTGGGCGTTAGGGTCGGGGTTGAGGAGTAGGTGCTCAGGCGGGTGGAGGCGCGGGCGGGTGTTGTCTGGGTGAGTGTTAGCAAGGGCTGTTTGGTTAAGAGAGAGAGAGTTGAAGACAGGGTGGTGCGTCGGGCGGGATTTGGAGAAGGGGGTCCGCTGGAGGGACGATGTGAAGTTGCAGGGGGGCCAGTTGCGGTTGGCGCCCGGCGGAAGGAGAGGCAGGCGGGCTGCTTACAGAGTTCATCATCGGCCGCGACGAGTCGACAAAATTGGACATGGCAAAGTCCCCTATCGAGGACTCGAGATGGCGGTGCCGTGCAGAAGAGCCTGGGCGGCTGAGGCAATTGGAAAGGTGGCGGCGTGCGTGTTACTCGGCTGCGAAGGGGCAGTGGTAGCGAAGTGCGAAGGTGTCAATGGCGGTCAGGGCGGTGAATTGCGACGACGTGGTTGCGTTTATCAGTTGCGGATGGCGGTTGTGGCGGTCAGAGCAGAGCAAGTGGGCAAGATGTTGGCAGCAGAAAGGCAGTCGGATCAGACAGAGTTTGGGGGCCTCGTCGTTCTCGAAGGGACAAGCGAAGGGCGCCGCTTGTTTCGGGGCGGGCAGGGGAATTGCAGAGTCGCGGCAGTTGCGTCGTCGATGTTTCACCAACGACGAGGCCGAGCGTTTGGCGGAAAGCTGGGCACCTCGAGGGCTACCCACGAACGAACCACGGGAAACGTTGTCGCTCGTGGCAGTGCAGGCAGTGCAGGCGGGCGCAAAACGTGCGGATCTTCAAGTGTCAGAGCCGCTCGCGGATAGCGTCACCAGAGAGATGCAGCCATCAATGGGGAGAAGGGCAGTGTGCAGCGTCTGATTCGACAGCGCCCACGTTGACGGGCAGATGGCGGGCGGGGAAAGGCCTGGTTCCATGGTTCTGCGCCTCGGCCGCGCCTGCCGCTGCTGTCTGACCGCAGTTTGTGATGTATCAGTTCTTCTGGTACCTCGATTACATTGGTGAACGTCTCTGCAACCTGGATATATCTACAACCATAACCGCCTAAGCCTCTGAGGCATACCAGAATTTATCCGCTGACTGACGCCTACAAATGCTCCCATATCCATCTGGTATTCCCAAACGCCCTTCCTACAGCGCCAGAATGCTCGCACAGCTCTCTTCCAGTGCGCAAAGACCCCGTTCCTGTCCGCCTGCCCCCCTCAACTTCCCATCCTGCTCATCGGCGTGCTCCTCCCTGACTGGCTCGTCGCCACCGCTCTCTTTGGCCTCAGCGCCTCCACTTTTGCCCTGCACCGCCCACAGATCCTGAGCGCGCACCAACTGCACAACCACCGATTTTCTTCATCTCGTCGGTAGCAGAGCATGCAGTCGATGCTCGAGTACACGTTTTTCGACCTGTGAAACGTCCGGTGCGACTGGTAGCAGTCCGTCTGCAACTTCGTCGCCAACGGTGCGTTCGTCTCTGCGGGTCGTGGCCGTGTCGGAAGCGGGAGGTGGATGATTGAGCTTGCTGGCGATGCTGACATTGAATGTTCGCTGGGCGTTAGCCGGGACGTGCCTGCGTTGGGAGCGGCCTCAGGAGGTGACGACGGAAGCGTTGAAGCGCTGGTGTGGGAGAGGGGAGTAGAATTTTGTAAGGGAAGAGAGGCCAGCGAGTTGTTGGTGATGAGTGAATTGCGAGCGGTTGATCCTGTGAGTGGTAGACTATCTTGGCCGTTGATCTGGATTGTCGGCGTTGGGGCGGCTGACTGTAGGGTCGGAAGGGACGCAGCTACAGCGGTCGAGTTCCGGTTGGAAGCTGCCTGCGAGAACACGAGTATTAGCTTTTTTTGGACCTTAACAGCAACGATTGTCGGGAAGAGGCGTCGCCAGAGGCGGAAGCTCACCTTGAAGATGTCAAACCCAGTGCTGCTCTTCCCTCTGAAGTGTCTGCTGGTCTGCTTCGTAAGCTCCCGATCGCTCTCCTGTTCCGCAGCAACACCATCTTCGGTTATGCTGATCTCCGGCCGGATGCCCCATTTACTAGGACTCTCCTCGAGGACTGGCGGCGGCGACGGTAAGCGGAGTGGTTGGGCATGCGGCTCACTCGGTGAGTCGGATCTCTCGTTGCAAATCGGTGCGTACGTTGTGCGGGTAGTCGATGATAAAGTGCGAGAGTGGGCAGTTGCATCGCCGTCCGAGCCGGCCTTGGTCGTTGATGAGCTATCCCCGGACCCTGAGTCATCCTCCGCTTCCTCTGCTGTGCCATCGACACCCAAATCCGTAGGCTTGAGGTCTGGCTTCGATACGGCTGGTAGGAGCTTTCGCTTGAGGAAGTGACGCGGATTTGAAGACGATGTTCGTTTGGCCTCGCCCCCTGAGGCTGCGATGGAGCTTGTCTCGGTCGGAGCTTGCTTCGAGGTCTTGGAGCCCATGGCGGGTTTGAAGTGGGATTCTTCTGGACGTGAAGATGGTGTTTCATGCGGCAGAGGAGGAAGGGGACGGTCGGTTGCACGTGGCGGGAGTGTTTGGCATAACTCAATCGAGGTACGAAGGTAAGTTGGAAGGATCGAAAGGGAAGCGGCGGTCGAGCCGTTGCTCTGACTGAGATTCAGGCTCTGAGGCTTGCGGTTTCTTGATATGGACTGAGAAGTTATGGAACTTGGCGAGTTTATGGTTGAGGAAGGTGCAACGCTGCCTCGGTTTGCACGGCTGGCTGCATTGTCGACTGTGCGACTTTGTTAGTCTGCCAGCTCGACCGATGCGTTTTCATTAATGGAAATAGTGAGCAGTGTAAAGCTTAAACTTGGTGCTCGAAGTGAGCGGGGGCGGAGAGTTAAGATGAAGTCCGCCGTGATGTGCAGCATAAGAGACCCTAGGGCGCGTCTACACCTTAGATGCAGAAAGGTACCTATTATGAATCATGCAGTACCTCTCAACTTCAGTCCAATCAACAGCAGCGGTGGAGACTCGTCCGCCGAGGGCTTGCAGTCAGGCCCTGAGGAGACCGACTTGGGCGACGCTGGCCACTTCGAAATATCCAAACCACCCTCCGCTCTCGCACCATAATCATCCAGGATTACGCTAACAATATCGCGGCGAGAAATTGGAGCCGGTTGGGGGAGCAGTGGAGCGGTCATCTCCGCCACGTCGTCTGGCGAGTGTTCGTAGTAGTCTATTATCGAGTCGATTCGGGAACGCCTTCTCACACGAGGAAAGAGTGCCTCAGGAGAAGCCATAAAGAGCTTCTTTAGTGGGTGAACAGCCCCAGCCAGCCCTACAGCCTCCTGGATCAGCTTCCCTGCCGTGGGCGTTTCAGGATGAGGATGTCCCCTGGTGATAAGGCTGGGAGATGCCTGCCGGCAGAACGGCTGCATAATGGACCTCTGGGCATCGTGACGTATTCCATGATATGTGTAAAGGAAGATTCTACAATATGGGTCAGCAGCTCGTCCGTGGCATGGACTTTTTAAGCGGAGGAATGTTCTTTTTCGGTGGGTGGGCCAAGCGGAATGCGAAGGAGCCGCAAGGCCGTTCTTGGTCATAGAGGACGACCTCATCAACCTCTGGAACAATGGTTGCTTGAGGCTGCCGCCAGTAATCCAGGGTCGGAGTCATGCCAATCGGCTCCAATTCAGTAACTTGTTCGCTAACGGGATGTGTGAGTTGGGTCCGAATCAAGGGATTATGCTGCGACTGCAGTGCGCGGCCGCAGGCAAAATGCTAAAACCCAGTGGAATAGACAGTTGCCGCATTATGATTTAAGGATTAAGTGCGTATACAAGATCTCATCGCATTCATGCAGTCTGTCCACAAAATTCAAAACAACAGCCCATATATCAACGTTGCGTTGTCCCGCGAACCCATATCCTCAAGCTCTGTGGAACTCCGCAGCCGTAAGGGACACCACAACACGCCGAGAGAGGAAGAATCTAAAACCCGCCCAAATGCTTTTCTAGATGCACGTAACCAGATTCGTGGCCTCAACTGCTCCTCCAGTCGCGCATGCTTGCGTGAAAACAACCGTAACAGAACGCCTCGCTTGTTGGGGGGATGCCACCCTCTTGCCGGTGTACGCCAACTGTAGATCAAAATTGAGAAGAACCGTAGTGGTAAACGAGTAGATCAGAGATATATCCCATAACAGTCGAATATGAAAGATGATATGAGGAGGCGCGGCAGAAGCCCGCCGGTATGATAATATAGAGGGTCGCTGCAGCAGAGGCATAGGTGGTGTATCAGGACGAGGTGAAGCTCGGTATGGTCGGAAGGCTGTCGGACTGGGTTGCTCAACTATTACAGGAATAGCATATACAGAGCTACGAGGACTGCGACCAGCGGCGCAAGCCCTCCGCCCGTACCTAGCGCTGGCGCGCCATTCGCAACTGTTGTGTTCGCAAACTCTGGCCCACATCCCATATTGATTTGCTGAGAAGCGTCGCTATACGTTTGGCTAACTGGCTGGGTCCTGTTCGCAGCGGCTGTGTTGAATATCGCCATGGTATCGCGCAGGCAAGAGTTGCAGGTCGGACGAGAGCCGCCGGGCAGTCCGACGCCGAGCGGGAGGTAGTAGGGATAGGAGTCAGTGTTGGAGGTCGTGTTCGTGATCGCGTTCGCGAAGCCTAAGCGAAGGGTTGATGTCAGCTTTGAGATTCCAGCGCGGATATGATGCGACCACGTACAGTAGTTTCCCGTCGAGTCCCGCAAGCAACCAGCCTGATAGAGTGACTGATACGCGACGAAGCCGTTATATGCCTGTAGCACCATGGGATGCCGGTTCTGGTAATCAGGACCGCAATGGTCGGGCTGCACAATGTCACGGCCATACGCTGCCATCATGGCGCTGCAGACGCTGAAATCTACATTGCACGATGCGTCGAGAGTCTGTGTGATACGGACGAGGGACTTGGTGACTTGAAAGAAGGAGTTGGATGTCTTAAGATGGCTCTGAGTTAGCTAGCTCAGGTCAACTGGGAAGTATAGGACTTACTTGGAGGAGTAGGGATAGCGGGAGGCATGACAGGAAGGTGCTGTTGTCGCGGAATGACCTTATAAAGTTGGGGCAGGCAGGGCTTGTGAAGTTGTTCCCTAAGCTGGTGTCGAACGGCTGCGGTAGATTCTGTGCTGAGGGTGGGTCTGCGGATATTATGGTTGGTATCGTTGGTGGTGCGTCGGACACGGGGTCAGATGTGGAACCCGATGGAGCTGCAGCGGTGGAGGGAAGAAGACTCGACGGTAAAGCCGTCGCTGAAGACGATACCGCATCGTCTTGCCTTCGCTCTAGATGCATTCGCGGAGGTATCGGCGGGGGGTTTCGATCGACCAGGAGCTCTCCTCGTTGAACAAGTCTGTCGATTGCTGATCTCTGCCGATCACCATAGGTCTTTGTACCTGTAGCCGGGCTACAAAGTAGCGACAACGCAATGAGCAGGCCGAAAAAGAATACTTGAGATTTCGGGGTTGAGGATTTTGAGGCTGATGGACAGGACCCTTCCCGTTTGTGAGACCGCCGCGGACCAGGTCGCAGTCTCCTGTGTGACGATACGCCGGCATTCCAGCCCCGTGTTCGGCCTTGTGTGTCGCAGCCCCCAAATCCGCACGAGAAGGAGCTGCTTTTTGAGACGACCATCTTGTTCCACTCTCCTTCTCAACACATGGCCAGTCCCCAATTGAGTGCTTTGCGCTGCGAGCCCTCCACCAGTACTCAGTCTTGCGCTTCTCCCACAAGCCCTATAACATCCAAAAAAATATACCGCTGCTTGTTGCTAAGAGTCTGATGGACGAGGTTCCTAGTGCGGTATCGATGCATGGGCGGTGCGTGGGATCCCTTGCAGGTGATGTCTTGCCTGGCCTCTCCTGTCTACCACTTGGGACAAGGCGATAGAATCGAAGCAGCGAGTGACGACTAGTTAGTATTGACGGAGAAGTGAAGGCTACGATGGACAGTCCTCTCTTTAAGCCCTCCAGCGCGCTGTACTTGATTGATCGCTGCTAGAGCAGCGTCCGAGGAGGCCTTAAAGGCGGACGCACGACAACCCCATGATCCCAGATCCCATAGCGCGTGCAGTAACCGTTTCGGTAAGCCACACAAGAAGACCATTTCCACTTGGACGAAAAAGGAGTGACACCTGGCGGTTTCTGGGATAGCGGGCATGGCAGGGCTCACCGTGGTGGAGACGCAATCCCGGCAAGTCCACCAGTAAGCCGGACTCCATCAAAAGCCTCTTGGATCTCGACCAAGACACCCCAATATAGCGGATCGCTAGGCGCTGGTCCTGGTTGGCTGGATAAGAGATAGAATATGGCGTGCACACAAAACTCGCAGCCTTGAGCACTTGCAACCCGAAGACTTCTCCGTCCAGAACGCTTCAGAGAGTGGTAGGCAGTCGCAGGGGCGGAGATGCTCATCGTCAAAGCATCAGCCATCAGGAGACGCAGTAGGAATGCACCAAGCGAAACTGCATGCCTTATTACGCGATCCCACTCGGAGAATACTTAGTATTCATGCAGGTCAATGTCAAAAGCTGCCTCACACCACTATTGTGGGAAGCACACCTCCCGGCTGTACTTGACAGCCTTCAGGACACCGTTCTCGTGCTACCGGTTCGCCAACGCCATTGGAAGACGTAGAGTTATTCCAGAGGTTTGCCTTTATCGAGTCCCCCCAATCTGCCTTCTAACAGAAGGTGCTGCAGTAGCTCACCGCAGACCCGCCAAGCCAATAAAGCCACACCACCTCCCATCGACGCCTTATGCGGATCGGGACCTGGAAATCCCTGGCCACCGGATCTCCCAACCGTGGAAAGCCTCATGTCGACGCCAATTGGCAAGTTGTGGGGAAATTGCTACGCCCACATTAAATCGTCACGTGCTGGAGATCCCCAAAACTTCAACACGTGAACGCCAACCACCGTCCCATGGTCTGTCGGGACACGCTGTATCCAACAAGCAATGTACATTTGGCTTCCTGTCGAATCGGGCTGCCTCAAGCAGGACCGCATTGACGCAGTCTTGCTTTCTAATGTACTGTTATTCTAGCTCTCGACGAACTGCACACTGAGTGTTCAGACGGGCAAAGATGAAGACAGACGAGGAGGTTGCGCTTCTCAAGACATTCGAGGAGCTCGAGGCATGGAATTTCTGCCACTGCATAATGAGTTTGCTCACGCCTGAGTAAGCCTTCTGGCTCTCACAGGTCGATAACAACAAGCAAACACCTATGCTGTTACCGGAAATCTACCGCTAAGGAGACACGGTCTCAGCCGAAAGACACCTATTTGCACGCAGCACGGAACTCTCGCGCTGCCATTTCTCTGTCAAGCCCCGACATGGCTCTACCGCAAGAATCCACTATCGACACGGGGTGCTTTGTAGCCACTAAGCTGGGATCCAGTACTTGTGGCCATGGCCCAGATTATACTCAGAACGTCAACAAGCACGCCTGCCACGCAAGAGTGCTACGATACCCAACGCGCCGAAGATTACTAAGGGATTGCGTCCGGTAGCTCTGACAGCTCGCCATGGTACATCTTGAACAATGGATCCCATACGGTCACTGCCCTCTTCGTGAACATTCCGTTCAGGTACTCCGGCCGTGGTACCCAACAGTGCTTATCCACTGAACATTCTATTGCCTCACCAACGTAACTGCCTTCTTTGTCATCAAGGAACTTGCTGTAGGCCTTGACAATCTGGCCAACCGGCGTTAAGCTATCAACTGTTAACTCGTGTATTCTTCGAGGGCGTAGTGTAACACACCATTCTGGAGAGACCGCATCTATCATCTCCTGGGGTATAATCTTCGTGTGTACAATGCCGGGCAGCACTGCGTTGATGTTTATGTTGTCCTTCTGCGTTAGCTTGTTAGCTGAATACTCAATGTGTCAGAAACCAGAAATTACAATCTTCAGGACTCGAGACGTAGCCCTGACGAAGTTCAGCACCGCGGCCTTTGCTCCATCGTACTCGGGATAGGTTTCATGCGGATACAGCGCTGCACAGCTGGCCGTGGCGACAATTTTTCCGCCTGGTGTTTCGTTCTTCCTCATGAAATGGATGGCGAGGACCGTTCCGTATACAACGCCCTTATAGTCCACATCGGTACACAGAAGATCTGGTTTTGGCGGCAGTCTGCGGACAAGGTCAGGCTGTATTGCATGGGACACCTTTGATTGGCGCTGACAGAAACTCTCACTTATCCGAATCTCGGTGGTTCAGTATATATATGGATGATCTGTCGATTATTCCCGCATTTGCGCAAAGCGCATCCAGTCGGCCGTACTTGTCCCATACTGCCTGGAATGTCTGCGCTTGACTTTCGTAGTCCGCGATGTCGCATCGGAAGAAGGCCGCACTCTCCCCTAGCTCTTTCGACAGCTCTTCGTTCGCTTGTATGTCGGCCATGGCAACCTGCCATCCTCTAATGACCAGATCACGAGATAGCGCTTCACCCATGCCGGACGAAGCTCCTGTAACAATCGCTACTCTTCCAGGCTCCGCCATGACTGGGCCTTTTGATGGATGGACTGTCTGATTCCTCTGGCAATCGGCCGTCAGTTCCGGTTTATTGCTCGATTTATCAGTCGTATACCGTACTGCCCTAGTACCCGGACGGGTACGCTCTGCCGGGTTGCGACTCACACTCGACGGCTTGATACCTGAGCACTGGATAGCCAAAGCTAGACCGGACCAAGCAAATCACTCTGAATCTTATATGGCCCATACCATAACACTGGCATAACTTACACCACTGGATCTCTGTTAAATCTCAAACATTGGATACTGCGAAGGCAATAGCGCGTTCGCACTTCTGCTTTTTAACAGTCTCTGGCAGTAGTGCAGGTAACAGCTGCAGTCACGTGGACGACGATCCGGATAGCTACCCACTGCGCCTCGGTTGTCCCCGCACGCAAGGCCTGTGATTTCCACATCGCAGTTCCAAGATGGGCTCAAGCTGTCCCGCAACGTCGGATGTCCACACGACGAGAGCTGGGAACGTGCCGCCTGATGCAGCAGATGTGCCTCGTGGCGTCGAAAGTGGCCCAAGCTCCATGCTTCCTCTACCCCGGAAAATCAACCCCAGGCCGTCCTTTTCCGAGCATACGCGAGATGCATTGCCAAACGTCCAATCGCATCTTTGAGCTACATGACTCAGTATCTGAACGATAAGCTCTAAGACAGGTCGAGATGATGTCTAGCGGTGCAGGACTACTTGATAAATGTCGTGCTCCCATCGGGCTGAAGCCGATGAACACTTCACCAATCTCTCGACAGGTGCCACATTCGCTGCAAGCGCTGCAAGTCGTAGGGATCCGCCATGGCAGTTGTCGACGAGAAGGTGTCAGCGCAGCAGCACTCTATCACTGACGTTGAGCACAATGGGAGCTCTATCGAGAAGCCCGCGCAGTCATATCTCCCACAGAATGACAGCGAGTATACTGTCAGCTTGAAAACTTGGGTTGTAGTCTGGGTATGGCTTCACCAATTCTCAGGAGGATTTCTACTGACCCCGCCCGCAGATTCTGGCTTGGTCATATGGCATCTCCTTCTGGATCGTACCGTCCTTATCCTCCATACAGGGATCAGTCGCGACACAGCTAGGGAGCGCCGGCGATGCGGCTTTTTATATCCCAATTTACACCGTGAGATTTCTTGCGATACAATGTATATTCATGCTGACGGCCCTAGATGACGGTGACCATTGCTTTCATGGTTTGCGGCGCGAACTCCGATTTATTCGGGCGACGATGGTTCATCATCGGCGGCAACGTGTTGCTGTTCATCGGCTTCATAGTAGGCGGCACGGCCAAATCCAACAATGCCCTGATTTCCGCGTGCGCACTCATCGGATTCGGCGCCGGTAACGCCCAGCTGGCCGCCTTTGCCCTGCCAGAGCTCCTACCAAACAAGTGGAGGCATTCAGCTATTGTACTCGCTGACATCGGAGTCTATTTCGCCGTCGTTGTTGGTCCGGTTGCCGGCCGCTTCTCGATCCAGCATGGCGAAGCCTGGAGATGGCTTTTTTATGCGCCAGCGATTGCGGTAGCATTTTCGTTCGTTGGCCTCTACCTGTATTACTTTCCGCCAGCGCATCCACGCGGTCTGCCAACGGACGAGGCTCTCCACCAGCTTGACTATGGCGGCGCCATCCTTTTCATCGTCTCGGTCACTCTCATTTTGACCGGCATCGTCTACACCACCACTCTGGGAGGCTCAAGTCCACGTGTCATCGGCACGCTCGTTCCTGGCTTCGTGCTGCTAGTCGTCTTTGCGCTTTACGAGACGTTCGCCCCCCTGAAGCAGCCGCTGACGCCGACCCATGTCTTCACCCGTGGCAATGGGAGGGAGCTTACTGCACCGTTCATCGTTGGTTTTGTGGTCACGATGTTTTATTATGCAATTGGTGCGTGTGATAGGCCCGCATCTTTGGCCCGTTACTAACAAACCCATAGCGGTCATATACCCCACGCAGATAGCGGTCTTTTTCACAAACGAGACGACCGACTTCCGATACGCGGTCATCTTGACCCTTCCGCAGAATCTGGGCTTGACGTTTGGAGCGGTGCTCTTGACGCTGTTCGGCAGCAAGATCGGACACTGGAAATGGACGTTGACGGGCAGTGTTACTGTTATGGTGGTTTTTGGCGCGCTGTTGGCGCTCGGTACGCCGGAGAGGAAGGGCCTGATGATTGCCTTTGTGTTTCTCGCGGAGATAGGCTTTGGTTGGGCGCAGTATCTGTGAGTGCCCCTCTAAGTGTGAAGTAGCTGAGTCGCGAAGAGACTGACACCGCCAGATCTATTGCCTTCATTCAGTTTGGTGTGCCGCAGGTGGAGTTAGGGATTTCTGGTGGTCTTGCGTGAGTATATGTCAACCCCAAGATTGTCCGATCAGGATATTGATGGAGCTTCAGCGGTGTGGCGCGTTTCGCAGGCGGCGCAGTAGCGATCTCAGTCTACTCGACGATCTTGAGCAATGTGCAATCGAGTGAAGCGGCAAGGATCGTCCCAGCTGCGGCGATTGCTGCGGGCCTTCCAGCGTCATCAGTGTCCGCCTTGCTGGCAGCACTACCGCTCGGTTCGAAAGCTCTGGCACAGGTTCCGGGCATCACCACGGAGATCATCATGGCCGCAGGAGCAGCTTTCCAGCAGAGTTTTGTTGTCGGGCTCCGCACGACAGCTCTTTCATCACTGTCTTTCGGCATTGTGGGAATCATTGGTGAGTCTCTCCACTCCATGAAGTTGTGGAACTGGGCTGACGTGGAGCAGCGTGCCTCTTTTGCAACGATATAGGCGAGAAGATGAACGACAAGATTGAGATTTTCCTGGAGAATGACGTAAATGCGGATAAGAACGAGTTCCACTAGAGTAGAACTGCTCTTCGGAGGTTAGTTGTTGGAGCATTGGGACTCCCTGTGCGGATATCTCCGCGTGTGTTTTCAGATCAGATACCCTTTGTTTGTGACTTGCATCGGCCTCACACATGTTCTCTATAAGCGCTCCCGTGCAGATACGTGTCTTGTGCTTCACCAACAGTTCCCCCGCCTAGAATCCAACAACACCTCGGTAAACGGAAGAGCTTTTGCGAGGAAGGATCAGGCTGGAGCAGGCCATATGGGCGTATATAACTGGATCATATGCACACAACGCGCATAATCTCGAGCTAACATATGAACTCTTGACCCCTTCAGCGATAAAACCAAGTTTCCGTAACACTGAAACCATCACATCATCTCCCCCTCCGCCAACATGATGCTGACAGACGACTTCTACCTCTTCGCAAACGTGAACTTTGTGCCCGACAGATACGACGAGGTAGCCCTCCTAACCCCCCTCTCTTTCCCCTATCCCTCCGCTCACCCAACTAACCGCCTCTCCCACAGTGGCAAACCGCCTACGACGCCCTCGCAACCCACGTCTTTGCCGCCGAACCAACAACAAAGACATACTACTTCGGCATCCCGCTCGACTACGCGCACGACCTGAGCGCCACGACCTCGATGCTCGCCTTCGAGGTCTACGGCAAACGAGAAGACCTGTATGAGACGCATTTCCACAGCGCGGCGATGAAGGAGTTCTTGCAGAAGATTCCGGCCACGATGACGACGGGGCTGGACTTGAGGCACTATCGGTGTGTTGGGGGTTTTCTGGATGGTGCGGGGAGTGAGATGGGGGAAGGGAAGGAAGGGGGAATGGGGGAGTGTGGGATCATGTGTGACACGAGGATTGTGTGTAAAGATGGTGCGGCGAGGGAGGGGGTGAGTGGGAAGTTGAGGAGATTGGCGGGGGAGGTGGAGAGATTGGCCGAGGCGGAGGACTCGGGCGTGTTCACGTTCATGGTCTTTGATAGCTTGGATGATGAAACGGGGGTGAGAATGTTTGCGAGGTTTAGGTGCAGAGATGATATGGAAAGGCATCTGAGGAGGAAGGAGGTGCTGGACTTTTGGCTGGGGAGTAAAGAGCAAGTAGCGACTATGGAGAGTCGGGGGTACCTGCCCAACGAGAAGGGTTGGCTGCATAGGTGAGGAGTTACTTGCAAGGTGTGCACGAAGGAATGGTTCGATGTCGGTATGTCTTCCATGTCCATGTGGTGCAACCTGAAACATCGCATTTTGAGCGTTGGCTTGGTGTCGTGCTCTTGATAATGGATCGTCCGGCCCGGTCAATAACGCTGAAGGCAAAGTGCAGTTTTCGCCGCACTGTACGAATGCGCTTACATTAGAAGTTTAGCTACTTGATGAAGCCGGAAAGCTACTTGAGAAATCGATGAACGGTGAGGGTAGTCTTGCGAACGGTACACGAGCTGACAGACCGAAGTGTTCCTGGGCCCATTTCTCGCGGAGAGCAGTAGGTTCGGCAGCAGTTGGAGATATTGTGGAGGTAAAATCTGGATTAGGCTTCCGTGAACCTCTATGGGAAATATGCCTTGTTTCCACGGTACTGGCTTGTGCTCACGGAGGAGCATCTAAGTTCGACATACTGCTTCATCATCTCACGCAGTCGCGTTCCAGTCCACCAGAGCGTCCTCGCCTAGCTTCTGCTTGATGAGACGGGTGCTGAGATCCCACAGCGCTGCGCCGAGATTGGGGTCGGAAGCTTGTGAAGACTCCTTGCCTGGCGTGCCCTACATAGCAAGTCAGTACCAACTAAAAGTAGCAAAACATCTTTCCGGATTGGTAGAGTAAAGCTCATATGGTTTACCTACCGGATCGTTGAAGTAATGGCCGTTCATGTTCTTCTCCTCAATCTCTGGAGCGGTTGCGGCCCACCTAGCAAGAGATGGAAGTGTTAGAGAAATCTACCAGCGCCTCGAAGCGCAAGGGTTGCATGCGTAATACTTACAAGGCGCTGTATGAACCTTGCTCAGGGTTGCGACCGACGAACAACATGGCTGCCGTAAGGAGCTTGCCCGTGATGCCCGGGTAGGCATCCTTCCACTGCTGCTGCATGGCAGTATTCACCGCACCCGGATGTACTGACAGCGCATAGATGTGATCCCCGTTCGGCTCTATGACCTTCTTCACCAAACCGTACTTGGCTCCCAGGATCATTGCCAGCTTGGTTCTGGCATACAGCTGCGTGCCATCTATGTCCGGGTTGTTCAGCTCCTCGAGACTCCCGAAATGGACGTTCGACGGCGCCATCCTGTGCACTTCGCTCGCCTCGAATATGACCCTCGGTGCAGGCGTGTTGGGCATCTTGCTGGTCTTCCTCAGCAGCGGCCAGAGCTGGTTGCAGACGTAGAAGTGGCCGAGCCAGTTGACGCCGAAGTGACGATCGATGCCGTCCGCGTCTTCTCCGTACTGGTTGGTGTTTATGCCAGCTGATAGAATCAAAAGATCCAAGCGCTCCTCGCTCTCGCGAATCTTGCTGAAAACTTCCCTGACTTCGGCGAGGTTGCCCATGTCGCAGTGCTTCCATTCGACCTGGGCGTCTGCCTTCTCGCTCTTGATCTTGTTGATGGCGTCGTCGCCTTGTTCTTCCTTGCGGTTCACCATGATGACGCGAGCGCCGGCGAGGGCGAAGGCCCGGCTTACTTCGAAGCTGCATTCATGGAATCTCGTCAGCGATCTCTTGATACATCCTAGACGTAGATATCATAGCTGTAAGAGAGCAGCGCTCACCCAATGCCCAAGGCGCCTCCCGTCACAAGCGCAACACGGCCATTGAGATCATGTACTTCCACCTTTGTGGGTCCAATCACCTTGCCTAGAACGGACTGCATGTTGAAGAAGACTGGTAGATTCTAGTGTTTGCTGAATGTGACTTGTTATCAACTGCAATGAGTTATTGAAGAGGGAGATGGAGAGAGCGAGTAGAGCTGCACAATCTCACTGCAGAACTTTTGAAAGTAAACAAGGTGAGATCCGTATCTCAAGCTTCTGCCGGATGCTGACGCGGACGTGACATCATGGGCCGGTCGACATGAACAACCTATCCACCAGACTGGAAGCGTCCTCGGTCTGCAGAATGCAGTCACCTCTCGCAGGGGATAGCCCATGGTTTGACAGGGTATCTCAGCGTTGGCTCTATCAACTGGATGTGAGCATTATCCAGTGGCTCTTCGCCGTTGTCAACCAGAATCCCACGACTGGGGATGCGACATTTGTTACTGATAACCCGAGATTCAAGAATCCCATGTTGGACCCTGAACCCCTCGGCTTAGAGCCTAAGGCAGCAAAGTTACGGTGGTCGGCTAAACAAATTACCCGTTCCGTATCTCAACCTCGCTCTTGCAAGCCAGATGATCTCGTGAGAACATTCCCACTGCAAAGCCGCCGACTTGAGCTGCAGCTCCGCGGCAAGCGTTAAATTCAATGCTGCAACAACTCGTCCGTAGAAGGTGCCCAGGTGGTCATTAATCCGTAGCAGCCTACTACCATGCCTGGGAGTAGCACGACGACAAGCTGTGCAATGTCATTTGCATGTATCGGTGTGGAAGTGCTGTGACTCTTGCAGTTTCCATGTGCGGGTTCTTTCCGGAGAGCAGAGCAGCTGGTGATGTCGGACCGGTTGCCACAGCTCCGTTAGGGACATTGGATCTTGAGATCATAAGCTCAGCGCGTGTGCCGGCTTTAAGTGAGCGAAACTGGAGGAATGGCTGCAAGAATTGATGTCCGTAGACGATCTGAGTGAAACTTCGATGCCCTATGCGTCTCTGCCTACTGACGAGCAGCTTCTCCGTTTCTCTGTTCGAGTCGACGGACTTGACCTCCTCGCTTCACTGCGCAACTTTCTCAAAGATCTTATCGACTGTCGGAATTGGCAATTTCATCAGATTACTTCCAGTGTGCCTTGTTGTGATAAGACCCTCTTTCCTAATCTAGCCCGGCCCGACCATGATGTAAATTCTTTCACGGCGGTCAGCATTTCTCTCTCACTCACCAACAACGTCCGGCTAACGCCATCTAAAACATCCAGCCTCCAACCTCGTTTGCCGTACCATACACCTTCGTTTCCGTCTCAAGAGACCCCTCTCGCAATGGCAGAAAAGCCAGATATGTCTTCCTTCTGGAAGAATGCCATAACAGAGCTCATCAACGACGTGTCTGCCCGACATCCGCCAGACACGGTCGCCTCCGAAGAGTCACTGTCCGCCTTGTCCGCAGCCGTGAGAGAGTTGACTGCTGATAGCTTGATTTTTAGACCCACTCTGCCTGCCGCCGTCGCGTCGCCGGAGAAAGCGCGTCTCGCTGCTCGTGGGCAGGTGCAAATCTCAGCTCGCGAGGACACTCCAGTCGCTGCTTCTGAGAACACGCTAGTCGCTGTTGGCGGGGACGCTCCAGCCACTGCGCCCACAAACACACCAGTCGCTCCTCATGAGCACGCGCCTGCCGCTGTTCCCACGAGAGGCCCTCTTACTGCTCCTGAGAGAGTGCCTGTCGTTGCCTCTGGTAAGGCTCTTACCCTTCCTTCAGCACCCTGGTCTGGCAGACCGTTGTTGTCGGGCGCGCAGCTACAATCTCAGTTCAACATGCTTCACCGTACTTCCGGAGAGACGTCAGCAGCGCAACAGGTACGAAACAAGCGCCCGTTAGAACATGGCTCCACACAGACTGCAGGATTTGAACAACACCAGAAGAAGACCTGTATCAAAGAAGAGTCCGACTCCGACGATGATTCTGAAGATGGGGAGATGTCGCTTTTGAAGCAATCAGGTCCTGCTCTTGCACATCGAACAAGAAAGCCAAGAGTGACCTTCATGAACATACGCTCTATGCAGCTTCCAGCTGCAATTCACAACGTCAAGCCGTCGAAGCTGTTTGTTCATGCAACCCGCAAGAAGGAAGACGGCCAGCTGGGAGTCAACCCGGCTAGCAAGCACCTTGTTTGGTCCATCCCTCCAGCCGGTTCCCTCCCAACGAAGGTGTACAACATCAAGCTGCTCCCAAATAGTATGTCTCCGCCTGATTGCGTTCGGTCGGTCTGCTGACTACTTTTACAGCCAATGTCCAGTGGAAGCGTACACCAAACCGCGCTCGCCTCGAGCTGAGAGCGCCGCTAGCGAGCGTGTGTGACAATGTAAAAGGGCGGAAGGGCCAGAAAGGCCATGGTCAGTTGGAGAAGTGGACTTTCTGGATTTGGCTGGACGAGCGGGAGGGATGTAGCGCCGAGGAGAAGGCCAAGAACAGGCCTCTTGTGAAGCACAATCAGCAGAAGGTTCTTGTCCTGCTGCGCGCGATCCTGGATACCATCGATGGTGCGGCAGACCGGCCTACTGGTCCGACTACGGCAGTCATCAATCATCGTCGCCCGGCGACAGGCGGACACCCAGGCACAGCCGCCAACAAAGTTGCTGTTGCACATCGCCGCGGCGGGGCGCCGTCTCCTAGCAGCATGGGATCCTCTACTCCCCATGAGGCTATTGGCGGCCCTGCATTCGCCGCGGACGATGTGCTCTCACAGTTCAGTCCAGACTATCTCGCCGGATATCTTGCCGGACAACGCAGTACTGAGTATCCGACGGGCCCCCTCGTACCGAATGTGGAGGCTTTCGGGGCGGAGGCCCCCAGTGTCTTAGCTCAGCATGGCATGGGAAGCATGGGAAGTATCATTGCGCAACAACCGTCAGGTGTTGCCTTTCCAACACCGGCGGCTTTCAGTATCATGCCAATTAAAGCCGAGACACTGGCGGCCCCGCCTTCGGGTTTTGCTGCAGACCGTGGCATGGGACGCATGGGAGACATGATGGACCAGCAGCTGCCGGGTGTCTGGGCTTCTATGCACGCGACTCCAGCTCCCATGCCATTGCCCCTCCAGCCGTTGACCGCCGCACCTTCCGGTCCTGTTGAGCCGCATGGCATGGGTCACGCTCAACGCACTGCGGGCCAGCAGCCGCTGACTGCTGACCATCCGGCGAACGCGGCTGCTGGATTCGGTCAATATACTCAGGCTCCTCCGGAGAATTGTGCTCCGTCCTAATTCAGTCAGCAGTGCTGGGCCATCCGTGTATAAAACAGATTGGAACGATTCGAGATATGGTTCTATGAACAGCAGATTGTGGTAGATGGCAATTGTCACAGGTGTGCAAGATGGAGGACTTGTGTTATGCTGGACTGGCTGACGACAAGGTGCATGCTTCACGAGCGGCTAAGAGGGTCGGATGTAACAAATGGACAGACTGCTTCAAAGTACAAAAGGTTTCTACAGCTGATGGCTTCCTACTAGACCACTATACCCCGATAGTGGCAAGTCTTGATCAATCATGGGTTCTTCAGCCTTACTTTTCTGTTTCCCTAGAACTTGGTGTCGTGCGTCAGAACGCGTCCTACGCCCTCCGTAACTTCCCTTCCAAGATCTTCTTTCTGGACCGTTCCTTATCGAAAGTGAGGCTCTTTGAGGGCTCGATCTTCGCCATCCACAAGAGCGGCAATTGATGTCCATCGACCTAACTCACTCCACAGCCAAGACAGGCTTCTCAAAAATCCTACACCAAAGTGGCACATGAAAAGGGATGAAGCTGTTGCATAGCGAGATTGGCCCCGCAATCTGTATGTAGCGAAGATTCATGAGAGTAAAGCGTGATCGCCTCGCGGACTTCACCTTGTTTTCAGGGTCAGCTCAGGCGCACAGCGATGCGTAGACAATCACTATCCAGTCTCTCGAAAACTTGAGGTAGCGGCGGATGGCCGACCGCGAAGCTCAAAGAGCATCTCCGCAGGCGCAACGCATCTACCCGAAGTCATGTGTGCATCAAGCCCGAACATCAAAAATGCGGATTAAGCTACCCTCTCCTCCGACCATCCGCAACTGTAACGCCGCATCAAACTCCAACCCCCTCCTTTCCCCCTTCCTGTCCCGCCCCCGGGCCCCCAGCTCCCAGCGCGGTAACAAACTCCCCCCACCGAAACACCTCCCCTCTCTCCCCGGCACTCCCCAACCCTCTTCCCATCATCCCCTTCCCCAGCGCCCGTCTCCCACTAAACCCCCCCACCACAGCCTCCACCTCCTGCACACTCAACGCCCTTTCCCCCTTTTCAGGCAGGGTATTCAACAGCGCATCCCGCAGCTCGCCCACATCAACCTGGCCCGAATCGTCCGTATCAAACGCCTCGAACGCGGTTCGCAGCTCCTCGGGTCTGCTGAGTCCGGCGTACAGCTCCGCGAGCTGGTGCAGGTAGGCCGCCAGGCTGATGCTCTGGTTGCTGGGAAGGTACTGGTTCAGTGTCCCCGAGGAGGCGTCGAGTCCGAGCTGCTCGAGCATCTCGGAGACGTCGGAGCGGGTCACGGCGCCGCTGGCCGAGCGGTCGAGTACGCTGAAGGATTCGCGCATTGTGTGCAGGAGGTGTGGGGGGAGTGTTGCGAGGGGGTCTGCGGAGCTGTTTCCGTTTACGGCTGATACGGCAGTATGGCGGACGGGGGCAGCGGTGGTGCTGGGCGCAACGGTGCGGATCGCGGTTTGGGACGTGTCGCTCCGGCGCGCGGAGGGGCGGACGGGGGGCTCGGTTTCGCTGCGCTGGAAGCGGGAGGAGGGGTTGGTGGGGAGTGGACGAGAGGGTGATTCCATGTCATGTGCGGGTGCTGGCGCGTCGACATTGTAGCTTGTCGCTGTTGCTGTAGATGTGCTGCTTGTCTTGCGGGTTGGCGAGGGGGGCAGTTCGAGGGTCGAGGAGGAGGTGCCGCGTCGGGCAAGCCAGGGGGCGGGGCTTCGGTTGGTGACGTCGGATAAGCTGTTGGTGGAGGAGCGGAAGGGAGATTGGAGCTTGGTGGGTGATAGTTCTGAGGGAGTCGCCGTTGGTGTGGGTTTCAGAGGCGAGGTCGCGGGCGAGTTTGCTCGGACAGTCGAGGGTGAGGCGGGCAGAGGAGATTGGGCGCGGCGGAATGGCGAGGCTCGAGGTGAGCCGACAGAGAGAGAATGTCTGTGGGTCGGGGTGGGGGTTGGAGGGAGCGACTGCGGAGAGCTGTGAGCTAGTTCTCCTTCATGCTTTCAGAGCAGATCTCGTACCATCTTGACCCGTTTGTGTTAGCGCGCTGTATGACCCAATGTTCCAACGTGCTCCAATACGCTCAAATGTGTTCAGATGGTGTGCTTTGGTGTGCTTTATAGCCGTAAGCAGAATGCTGATGGCAATGTTGTATGGAAATCGGAAAGATAAACAAACGCACGTGATGGCAGGGGCTGAGCGACGCCAAGCCGCGTGCGGACCCTGTGCGGCACCTTCCCGCCCCCAGACGATCGCCTGCAGGGGCCGGGGGGGAGTCCAACGGTGAGGTTGGTGCGGATCTCGCGTCCTACGCCTCTCTTGTAGTACACTTCTATCAATATATCCTGCATACCTAGCAACTTGTCACCAGTTGTAGCGCCTTCAATGGGCCACTCTTGACCCAATCAACCACCATTTCCTATCGATACCCTCCTTCGGTCTTTACTCTGATCTTTCGGCGCGTTGCAGCAACATACTCGGCCCCCACACCTCGGTCGCTTTCCTGCGGCTAGTAGAGCAGACCAAGCAGAACATCCATGACCTCCGCAATCGCACATCGCCCTGCTCAGCCGGGCCCACCTACTTCGAATGGTGTACACCGCAAGTCGTCCTTCTCATCCTTTCCTCCCTCGCGCACGCCGTCCACGATATCGAACAAGGCCGGCCGGCCCGGACGATCCCCGAAACCACCCACAGTCCGAGAGTCCGTAGACTCCTCCAGATCCTCAAGACAGCCGTCCCTGCGCTCCTCTGGCTCCGTAGTGCAACAGACATCGCACACACGCCATGGCGCACAGCAGCTGCGCTCCCAATACCCGGCGGACTCGGCGGAGAAACATGTCGAGTATATACTGGTCGCATCGTTCGATATCGACCGCGGCTCGGTCATGGAGCATCAGTACCCAGGACCGATTAGCGGAGATGAACATATGCTGGCGGAGCTGATGCTGCCGGACCAGGCGCATGTTAGGAGTCAGGACTGGACCATTTTCTTTTTACACAAAGATACAAGCAAAGGCGGCGCGCAAGACGAGGGAAGCCCGAAGCCAAGGAGGAATAGGGGCGCGGACAACCAACCGGATGGTGTGCTTGACTCGGAATCGAGCACATTAGTGAAAGGCGGCGGCGACGAGGAAGACGGCAGCGTGGATGGCTTATCTGAGGAAGCACCAACCGATGACGACGGTCAGGAGTTTGAGGAACCTCCGCTGGTCTATGTCTTGAACCTTGTGAACACAAAGCAGGACAATGCTGTTAAGAGGTACGGCCGCCCAAAAAGTCCCACGTCGTACTCTTATTGATCACGCACGCAGAGGCGCAGTGGTAAAGGCCATGGCCATCTGCACCCGCCACTCTTTCCTCCATATATACAAGGTACTTCTGAACCATTACCGGCTATCTATATACATGCCCTACTAACCCCCTGTTCAGCCACTTCTCCTCCTGGCCCTGGAGGAATACTTCCGAGCGCCCGTGCCGGAGACCCTCGAATCTCTTTTCAACGCTGTCAACTCCATGGACCTCTCCTTGATGCCGCGCCTCTCTCACCTCGAACGCACCATCCTCCAAGCCAGCCCTGCAAACGACATGTTCGTAGAGAAATTCGCGACCATGATCCAGCAGCGCATGGCGTCCGACGCCGCCCGCTCCTCCGCCAGCTCGACCGGTTCACCCGTCCGCCTCCCACCACCCCAAAAGCACACTGTCCCGCGCGACACCCACGAATTCGAGTCTCGTGTGACCTACAACGGCGTCCCCATCCCCATCAAAGTTCCCACCGCCGTCTCTCCTGAAACAGTCGGCGATTTCTCCCTCGTGAAGCTCATCTCCACCTTCTCCGAACCACACCGCACCTCTCCCCAGCCCTTCCCCTCGCACCCTCACCTCACGACCTCAGGCCCCTACACGCACCCCCTGATCGTCCTCCTCAACGCCCTTCTAACTCAGAAACGCATCATCTTCCTCGGGCACAACCTTCCCTCCTCCTCCGTCGCAGAAGCCGTCCTCGCCTCCTGCGCCCTCGCGTCCGGCGGCCTCCTGCGCGGCTTCACCCGCCATGCCTTCCCCTACACGGACCTGACGAAGATTGACGACCTGCTCAAGGTCCCAGGCTTCATTGCTGGCGTCACGAACCCGGCCTTCGCGCATAAACCCGAGTGGTGGGACGTCCTGTGCGACCTCACGACCGGCCGAATGAAGATCAGCCACCGCATCGAGGGCGCGGCCGTGACGGAGGGCTCGCTGTTCTTCCAGCAGGGCGGGCCGGGCGGGGTGGCGGCGGGGGTGGGGGGTGTGCAGCCTTCCAGAAGCGGGTGGGGGAGTGTGGGCGTTGACGGAGTCAACACGGGCGCTGCGAGCATGGTTGCCGCTGCTGGAATAGCGGGCCTGCATCATGGGCCGCCACCCAGTGGTGGGCCGGATGCAACGGGGGACACGGCCTTCATGGAGGCGCTGCTGAGCTCGATTGCGAACAGGCATGGGGAGGCGGCTGTGAGGAGCAAGTGGCGGGGTTGGATCCTCAAGTTCACGCGAATTGCGGCGGCGTTTGAGGAGTTGGTGTATGGGGCTAGTGCGCTGACGTCCGGGGCTGCCGACTCGGATGCAGAATCCGTGGCGGTTGAGAGGTACGACGTCAGGGGCCACGGCTATGTCTGGCCGAATGAAGAGGCGAAGATGAAAGAGCTGGCGGCGAATGCGAGCCGGATCGAGGGCTGGCGTATGACGAGGAGCTACTACTCGTTCGTGCAGGACATGGGGAGACAGTGGACGGTGAGGGGGTCGAATGAGGGCGTCGACTTTCGGCATCTGCACGATCGGCTCAGGTGTCTGAAACTGAGCCACGACCAGTCTGCTGCGGTCTACCTAGCCTTTGCGAAGGCGGTCGAGGACGTGGAAGCCGTGGATGGTGGCAGGGAAACTGTCAGCAGCCCCGCTGATGCGAAAGCGGCGGATGCCACGAATGGGGAATACGAGAGTGAAGAAGACAGGGGAGAACGATGGCGGTACGACAGGATTGCGCATCTCTTGACTGTCGTACCGGACTCCGCAGGAGGGCTGTTTTACCTTTCGCTGGGCCTGTTTCATCCCAGGCTGGATGTCAGAGTGGCGACGGTGGGGCTGTTGGAGAGCATAATGGCGCATGAAGCTGGACGGCATTTCTGGGCCAGCTTGGGGCGCTTTGCGAAGCTGGCTTTCTTCAGGGTCAAGAGGGAGGCTGAGGCTGGGGGCGGCAATTGAGCAGTGTTTAAGATATTTAACCCGCAAGATGTGGCTAAGACGAAGCTGTAAGAGTGTTGATAGCTGGTCTGCTATTTGCAGTGTATAGTTTGCTGTTTGCCGCCTGTAAGAGAGCCCTTGATAGCTGCAGCATTATCTTCAGTCACTCGATGTTTGTGGGACTCTCGAGATGAAGTCGGCCACCGTTCTGGTTATCATTCACAATAAGACCATCACCGCGTTAACCACGTCCGTCTCCAAATTTCTTCCGCGACAGGGTTGCAAGCCGCTCGGTCGTTAGGTAATATGGTAGAACCGTTCCGCTTATGGTAAGAGTACCAATCTTGAATCAAGGGCTGACCCTTGCACCAGTATCACGTGAAGAGCGAGGCAACTTTACCTTAATGCAGCTTTTCAAGGTTGTGTGACTACCGGAAGTCGACGTTGAAGTTTAGTACGGTGTAGAATGCAGCGTAGTTATATCGAGATAGTGATGAAGACTATAGCTTTAGGTAGTGAAAGCTGCATGTGTCTTTGATAAGGTGTGTAACTTACAGAAAGCAGCAGTCCAGGTACCGGTATACGTAGGTCCTTGTGCCTAGTCTACGGGAAGTCGTCCGACGATGAGGGGTTAGCGAAGCGCAGCTCGGGCTCATTCCCGGCTATCTTAGTCATTATCTGTGCGCTTCCTCGGCGCCACTTCCGCTCAGGTAGCCAAGGGTTTGGACATTGTCTCCATAAGGGTATATCCACTCGTTTTTGGAAAAGATGTTCCGGCTCTTCAGATGGCTTTTTGGGAGGGGAAGGCATTGTGTAGTATTTGCAAGGACTACCAGCTAGGAATACTTTTTCTTTGTCTAGTTAGAATGAGTCGGATCTACTGCAAAATTACCTTGGCTTTCAGAATCTCTTGGTCTATGCCTTGCCTCTCTTGCTTGGGCTGCAACGCGCCGCAGACGGTGTGGCATACGGCAATAGCTTCGGGCATCAATGCTATTCGGCCTCGAGTACCGTAGCGCTAAGGTAATGGCTCCCATGCCTGGTCTTGGTCAAAAGGTGCGGTTGAGGTTGGGTCATATTACCCAACAAGGCTATTAGATCCGTGCATGGTGGAGCCTGATCAGAATAAGCCACATCAGTAAAGATCAAAAGTCATAAAAGGGTGTGGTTACTACCACTCGCAAAGCATCTTTACCAAAACTTCGAACACAGCTACTCTTGGACTCTGCTCTATCCTCTTTCTAGAAACAGTCATGGCGACCTCAATGCTGCACTACTTGCGCTTCGGCAATAACGCCGCCTCCTCCAAGGAAGCGGCGCCAGTCAACAAGTCCCCTGTGCGTGCTTTGCCCGCGTCATGGTACACTTCTCAGGAGATGTATGAGTTCGAGCGCCGTGCTATCTTTTCTAAGAGATGGCTTTTTATCACCCATAGCTCGAGGCTTAGGGAGACCGGCGACTGGCTCCGCTACGACGTTGCGGGGTTCGACTTCATCATTACCCGTGACCGGCAGGGCGACATCAACGCATTTCATAACGTATGCAGACACCGTGCGTACCCAGTGATTGAGAAGCAGGGTCAAGGAAACGCCAAGATCTTAGCTTGTCGATATCACGGCTGGTCCTACGGGCTCAATGGCAAACTAGCTAAAGCTCCTGGATACCAAGAGTTGGATGGATTCAACAAGGAGCAAAACGGTCTCTTCCGTATCCATGTCAAGGTCGATATCAATGGCTTCATTTGGGTCAACATGGACGCGAAGGAAATACCAGAAGTCCCATGGGAGGAACACTTCAGGGACGTTGATAAGCAAGACCGATACAAACCCTACAACTTCAACGACTACGAGCTTGACCATACTTATGAGCTAGACGGCAAATGCAACTGGAAGATCCTGGCTGATAACTTCAATGAATGTTACCACTGCCCTACAACACATCCGGATATCCCTGACTTTATCAATCTTGAATCTTTTGACAGCGACGTCAAAGACGGACATATACAACACCATTGTATTTCTACACCAGAGCAGCTGGAGAAAGGTCTGAATGTCGCCAGTACCTACTACTTCCCTAATTCTTCCATGACTGTTTCGTAAGTGCCCCTAGTGTAGGATCTCAAACTGAAAGCTCTCAAATGGAAAGCTCTCTGACGCACGCAGGGCGCACTTCATTATGGTCCAAAAGTTCCTCCCTAGGGGCCCCAACGATTCCACGATGGCCTACGAAATCTACCGAAACAGAAACTCCTCTGATGCCGACTTTAGACTGATTAGTGAAATGTACGCGCGCGTTATGGCAGAAGATAAAGTCCTCTGCTATAACGCACAGAAGAATCTCGACCGGGGCGTCTTTATCAACGGCCAGCTACACCCCAAGTACGAGAAAGCGCCCCTCTTTTTCCAGAGCACAGTTCGCGAGGTCATCACGGAGCATTATAACCGTGAGAAAGTCGAAGGGCGCGAGATCTGGCCGGCGAGACGGAAGTTGCCCGGCGACGCGCAAGTGAGTGAAATGGATGAGGAGATCTGCGCGGGTATTAGCTGTGGAGCTCAGAAAGAGGTTTTGGCTTGGTGATGGTAGTCACGGATAGTATGGGGGCTTGCTATTTCCACTCACTTTTCAGCGGCTCAGCGAGGTTTTGCCATGGATCATAGCGTCTTCTTTGATTGCAGCTAGCCTTAGCATCAATTTGATTTAGATTTGCAAGTCACACGTAAACACGATACAGCTAGCGGTCGTCTTAAACGGGTAGAGTAGAATCTCCGGGAAGGCTTACTTCTCATATAACCTATTACATCTCCGATGGACCCGCAACCAAGCGTGGCTGATGCATTGGATCAATACCGCGCAGCAAGCTCTTCGGAGTTAGAGAGCTAAAAGCGTTCTGGGAATGCGGGATTGAAGGGCGATCTAAGAGGTTGTTAGCATCCGCTTAGGGCTACTATCGTAGAGGGGCACCTACCTTATAGTCGAGACCCTTTATTCCTAAATCCTTTTCAATGCCGGCGAGACGAGCATTTCCGATATTGGTGCGGTCCAAGAAGCTGAGGAGAAAGAGCAGTGCCAGGAACGGAAGCAATACCCAGTCGATCTTCCTAACTAGGCGCTTCGTGGCCTTCTCGTCGAAGCCTAGGGAGTCGGAATCGGAGAGGGACTCGAGCATATCGATGTTCTTCCTCTTTTCGTACTCTATAGCGTCGGCTTGAGCCATTTTTTGGCTATAAAAACGAATTGAGGTGGTTTAGCGAGGTGAAGAGGAGAAGTGAAGGGTAATAGCAGCGGGAGCTGGCAGGTCACCTCGAGGGGTCTGGGATGCTCACTGACAATCTGCTGGAGATTCTAATAGATGCGGACGGGCGAGGGCATATATACATACCTATCAAGTCTGTGTCCCCACATTACATGTCTAAAGCTCGAGCTAGCAACTCCAGACTGCTCTCCATAGTATTAGTGCGAGCGTGGCGGGAAATCAGATGTCAGACGAGCTGACTAAATCAGGCATTCTAGAAGCACGCAGGCGTTGTCCGGTTGAAAGGAAGCCATCGCCGTGCTCCAACCGATTTCCTTCGCGGGTACCCACATCGAATGCATGCGGCCCCCGGCTGGGCCCGGCTGTTCCACGCGCTATTCCCGTGTTCGAATTAGTTAATCTGAGTTTGTTCCTGAAAGCACAGGCTAGGATTCGCATCCTGAGTTCGAAGTATTCTCGGCGCACACACGCCGTGCCGCTTGAACGGTCGCGCCATGCTACGTAAATCATTTCTTAGACGATCGTCAACGCTTGCACCGTCGACCGACGTTTTCGCGCCCCTAAAATGGTTTTGTGCAGTAATGAATGTGCTTCCGCCAGATATGATAGTCTCCATGCGACCACTGCTTCCAACGCTTTGGCCAGCGTGGGTAGCAACAATATGGGTCGGTAAGCCTTTGCTACGGTGTAATCCCGTTTATTAGGTTTGCGAGCCGGGAGGATCTTGGCCCTTCTCATGATGGCGGTATCTTTCCTGACTAAAGTGAGGCTTGGAAGACGAGAAAAATCCACCTGCCTACAACCGGCCACAGCTCTTTCCACACGATTGTGGGGATTCCGTCGATTCCTGGTGCCTTGTACGGTTGTGCGGCCATGATCGCTTCTCTCACTTCTTGCAATAGATGGCACGGCGGTTTTCGAACTTAGCACTAGTCGTACCCAGGGCCCCACTAGGAAACTCTATGCAATCAATAGGCGACCTCACTGCAGCTAACGAAAGCGACGGTACCACGCGGACGCAGTTAGCCGGGATTTGCTCTTTGGTGGAGGTCTAAGGGTGGCATATGATGATTGCGGAGCCGAAGCGGTACAGGGAGTCGGGGTTGGCTGGTAGGGGAGGGCGGCGAGTTTGAGGGTTGCGGGAGAGGAAGCAGACTTTCTCGGGTGAAGAGATGGAGCCCGTTGTTGTATGATCTACTGGGTGGATTATTCTTAGTGAAGGGAAGATGGGTTTGCTTTAACCTGCTCACCTTCGAGACGCCCTCCTTATCATAATTATACCTTGTGAGCACCTCATGCGTACCTGAGAGGATTCCGGATAGCAGAAAGGGATTTCCGAAGAAAGTTTTGGGGGTGAGGGCGCCGAGGGGGAGCTTTTCGGCTGTGGAGAAATAGCTGGGGTTTCACGATGGTAAGATAAGCCGGCGCATGTGAAAGGCGCGAACCAAGGATGGAACCATGGCGTAAATCATAATGCGGAAGTATGTTCTGCGAAAGATGGATATAAGAATTGTATCTTGATGGTGTCGGTGGTTGTAAGGAAGAGTCACCAATGCGAGAATTCCGCCCTCCATCCGGTCGAGGCTATAGCAGCCTTTGGTCAATCGGTGCCGTGTAGGGGTCGTTCGATGTGGAACAGACCGGGGTCACAAAACTTGGAGATTCAGCCATTTCGTGGAAATTCCGTTCAGGACGGTGGAGAGTCGCAATTGAGACAAGCTTCCCCAGAATGGCAAACTCCAGCTTAAGCTTAATGCTGTACACAGTCGACTTCAGAATGACGTGAATAAAATAGAAGCCCAGGTACTGCAATACCAGGAGGGAGAGATCCATGAGAATGGCCACCGAATTAAGGGCTAGAAGCTCATACAAGATCTTGCTTCGACGACTGTCATGCTCGGGACTAAGCTTGAGCAACCTGACCGTTTCCGAGATGTAGAATCCGGAGATTAGGATCTCCTGTGCACAAAACCAGGTCAACTGTATCGGCTCCATGATGCTATATGCCTTATTCCATACTCTTGTATTCAAATAAACTGACGCAGGATACAGACTCGTTGTCGGGATAACCAGAATAATTGTGTCAATAGTAATGAGGTATCGAAGGTAGCGGAGAACTTTGAAGTTCTGTGAAACCAGATGTAATCGCGAATAAAGAACTACAGACTGGCCAGGGACCATGAAACACCAGCCGATATGGGACATCGTGACTATTAGCCATAGAGGCCCAATGCCAAAGAAATCCAGTAAAGAGCCAATGGCAGCTGGTATGACCCCAAGTGTGTTAGACAACAACAGGGACCAGAAGTAAAGACCACGGTATCGGCTAAAGGTTGACAGAACGAGGATGATAAGCTCAAGTCCGTTATACAAAGCGATGGACATGAAAACAGCCATGCTCATTCTGAGGGCCAGACTGCCACTCCTGCTACCCCCAACTAGGCGTGCCGGAGGAGACTCGAGGTTATCTGACATGATACATAAGCTAGCCTTGTCGTCATGCGAAATCGGTATGGCGAAATAGCTTTGGGAGCAAGTCGGAAAAGATAGTGAAGAGATTGTTTCGATCACGGTTCTCGTGCGGGGTTCTGAGAGGTGCCAAGGGACGATGATTAAAACGAGTTTCTTTCTACCGGAAAAATGTCGATTCTATCCTTCCCGTCGCTAGCTACCCGCTGGTACCGTTATAGTATCGTCGCCAAATTCGCCAAGCCCATACCGCCGCGGAACGCCGATCTCGACGCCTTAAAGAGGTGTTACAACAAGTTTATAGTCTCAATATCAATTCTGGAGCCCTAAAAAGGGCGGTGTGCTGAATGGGGCATTACGCTACGAGCCACTAGCCTCAAGACGCTCGGTCTCCTAGAACGAGTGAACTACCTTTTCCACTACACTACGCTAGCAGTGCTGGCCCCCAGACACGCTAGATCGCTGTTCTGCTTTCACGATTCACCATATGTCTCAACCTCCAGATACTCTTGTCAGGATTAGATGGCCCTCTTCCCGTTTCCTTTCTTGTCTGATACCGGTAGTGCCGGCATTTGCCTCCTCTCCTCTTACGCATACTTCTCTCTATCTTACTATGTTTTAGCTTCTACTGCTCTTTGTATCTTAGATCTCTTCTTTGTATTGTCGCCGCCGCTACGCGCAGATGTCCACTGGACTTTCTTGGACGGCCTAGTCATGCTTTGCGAGAGACAACAGGGATGGATGTTTGTCTTTCAGCCTAGTAGATCTCATCAATATGTGTGCGTTTCAAGCAGCTAGATGCCGATAGAACGGGCGCTTAGATTGTAAATATAGGACACTTTAAGTCATCCATGCATGAATGCGTGAGTTTACTGAACATCTTGTGTTAATTCTAGTACGATATGGTCATCATTCGCAATAATCGTGAGAATTGCGGCGGCTTTTTCAAAGCATGTGTAATATAACGGCTAGATGGAGATCCATCACAGGTTTCTTCACCGCGCGCCACAGGGTGCAATCACTGCGCAACCTGTCATGCACATGAACTTCACTCCATTCTACGTCAACCCTGTGGATGCGTGATAGCGTCATGCCCGGTGACCTCTCGCCACCTCGGGAGTCATATCAAGTCTTCGTCACTGCCCTTCTCTTCCTCAGTTAGTTCAAGCCTCATCCCCAGACTCCTTACACGATCATTCATCAGTGCTAGCTCTAGTAGTTGGGAGCGAAACCCCTCAGAACCATACGAGCATTAGAAAGATCTCAAACCATCAATCAAACTTAGCAATAACCGAAGAAATGATCTCCGACATCGAACACGGCGGGCCTGTCATACACTGTCAAGTCGGCAAAGCTCAGCGCGATGAGGACGGCCCAGCTCACAACACTCACTGCTTGCAAAGTTCCGGAGGTCAGATACACCAGCCCCGTGAAGAAGACAAGCCCCTTACAACCGCGGACCAACTTTGCGACAAGGGCGAACCGGACAGCCCGAAAGGTCCACAGGGGCCACGTGGTGGTGATCCTCTTGGGGGAGGTACGCCATTTGGTGGAGGCCGTGCGGAGTTCAGTGTCTGCGCTGGACGTCATGTTGGTGAGGCGGCGGCAAATATTCCCTCTCTGAGCACGGAAGGTCCACGGACCTGATTTTGGCGGCAGAGTGCACACGACTGCGGGCGATGGTAGGGGTCATTGAAATTTAGGTCGTGTAAGATACTCCATAAGGGCTGAGAGCTTGCTGTAAAGGCTTGAGTTTGCATTGGAACGACTAGATGAAGGTTGTCTTTACGGAATTTGGCCACACAGTTGTTGCATTACCAGTTGACGGAACATAGTATCATAAGCCCTTGCCGTGACTTGTAGAAACGCTTGAACCTCCTTGTAAGATTTGGCAGCCCCAGTCGATAATAGTTGCAAAGTAACACTGAAAGCCCTTCGACAACCTGACGGTGGATGACCCGCGTGCAGTGTCTTGACCGAACAGAGCGAAGAATACACCAGGGTAAAGGCCGGGGCCAGCTCCTGCCCGGGTTACAACATTTAGTTTGATGGAGTTACAGGTTTCTCTCCCGCTCTCCTAGTTTTTCGATTGGGAGTGCCGGAGTTTGAGATTTCTGCCATTTGGTAGCTGGAAGTTGTTTCTGGCATGGCTGGCTGGCAGTCACCAAACCAGTACCAGTATCTCTAACAGCTGCGGCTTCTCGTTTCCCCCCAGAGGGTTTTGAAACCAGAATACATGAGTGTGCTTGATCGTACCGTGCCTGGTCAAACGTGTTGACCATAAAGAGTGTCGATGCCGGCAAACCAGTGATGGAGCGTCCCTCAATCAGCTTCAGTACTTTATTTGACAGAGGGTGAAGAAGAATAGACCGTTCCTGTCGTGAAGGCGCGGGATCCGGCGTGTCGGATGAGATTTGGCCGCAAACAGGCTTGGCGAACGTCGATGGAACTTCCTTGACCAAATTGTCACTTTCCACAACACCTCACCGTAAAGAGCCTCACACGCTTGACCCGCTTGCCACACATCACCCGACATCCCATCTTCGCGTCAGTCCATCAATCGACCGTCTGCATTTCCACTTACTACACTTGTCAGCTCGGCTCTTCACTTCAACTTCCCGCTTCCGCATCTTATACGTCTTTGCCGAGCGTTGGTTTGACAGCTCTTCGACTGTGGATACCCGTCGTGCTACTGCTCTTGACCCTCATAGACCTGCCAGATACTGATGTGAGTACGCACTGTCTAAGTGCCAGTCTAGTCCGGTTGATTGACGCGCAACCTAGACGAGCCAAGCTTTGCGTAGCTTCGCATACCCACCTCTGCACCCGAGCTTCCGAAAGACCTCGAGACACGTCTAGAACCCGCACTCAAACATCATCATCTGGTAAACATGGCGACCGAGCACGGAACGATGCCGGTCAATGGCACCTTCGGGTCCCATCAGACGCAGGGTTATGGCGCCTCAGAGCACAACTATGGCGCCCACAACACCAACAATGTTACCTCCGCCAACGCAGGTTATGGTGCTGGTGCCGCTACAGCAAACGCACAGCAGTCCAGCGAGCAACCGCACGCTGAGGTTCCCAAGGACGAGGTTGGATGGTACTTCGTTGAGTCCTACTATACCACTCTCAGCAGACAGCCCGAGAAGCTATACGTGAGTCGATTTCAACCTTAGCATCTCGTAGCATGGGACCTTCCGTAATGACAGGTCTCTTAGTTGTTTTACAACAAACGCTCGCAGTTCGTCTCCGGTGACGAGGAAACCAAGCTGCCAGTCTGCATAGGTCAGAAGGTGAGTGCAACGTAACCCTGGCCCTCCGAAAGCATGCACTGACATGAGTATCATCCGGCAGGCGATCAACGAGCGCATCCGCGAACTTGATTTCCAAGATTGCAAGGTGCGCGTCACGAACGTCGATTCTCAGGGTTCTGACTCTAGCATCGTCATCCAAGTGATTGGTGAGATGTCCAACAAGTCCCAACCCCGTCGAAAGTTCGTTCAAACCTTTGTCCTTGCCGAGCAGACCAACGGATACTTCGTTCTGAACGACATCTTCCGGTATCTTAAGGAAGACGAGGAGGAGCTCGTTGAGGGTGAAGAGACACAACCAGAGCAGCCTGCAGCCACTGCCGACATCGAAGAACCAGCACCACCTGCCGAAGACCCTACACCAAAGACCCTTACGAGCTCGGAGGACACTGCTGCTCAGGGATACGACGCGGAACAAGTCGACAAGGAGCTCGAAGAGGTCATTCGGCAGGATGAGACCGCCGAGAAGGAGACCTCACCGCCCCCAGCTGCAGTAATCAACGGCACTCCTGTTCCCGAGACCGACATTGATGAAGCCGAGGAGGCACCAGTTGCTGCAACCACTGCCGAGGAATCCCAAGAGGATGCGCCAAGCACCGCTGAAGCCGCCGAAGCTGTAGCCGCTATGGACAGCCCTGTCGCTGAAGAGGTTCTCGAACCGGAAAAGCCCGAGAGCCCTAAGCCGTCACCGGTCGCTGAACCAGCCAAACCCGCGCCTGCCCCGCCAGCAGCTCAAGCTCCGCCTCCAAAGCCCGCTGCGCCGAAGACGTGGGCAAGTCTTGCCGCGTCTGCAAACCGTGTGGCGATTCCGAAAGCTCCAACCTCGAGCCTCTCCCCCGCTCAGCAGCAGCCCAAGGCAGCTCCTCCTGCCCCTGCCCCGGCCCCCGCTCAAGCGTCCGCACCGAGTGTATCGGCTTCGGAGACACCGGCCACTCCTACAGCTCCTGCGCGCGAAACATCACCAGCGACCAGTCAAGGGGACTCATCGTCTGGCTGGCAAGCTGTCGGTGGAGACAACAAGCGCCAATCACGAGCTCAGGCGCAATCAACTGTTACCGAGCAGCCGAACACCCGCGCGTATATCAAGAATGTGCACGAAGGCATCGAAGGAGAAGCCTTGAGATCTGCGCTTACTAAGTACGGCGAGCTCCGCTATCTCGACATTTCTCGACAGAGGGTAGGTCCAGCCTTATCTCGTACGCAGGATATTACTGACGATCATGCAGAGCTGTGCGTTTGTCGACTTTGCTACCCCTGCGGGTTATGAGGCCGCCATCGCCGCAAACCCGCTTGTTGTTGGGAGTGACCAGCTTATCGTCGAAGAGCGGCGCATGCGTCCCGGCCAGTACGAGCCATTCCGCGGGCGACCTGGTGGACCTCGTGGTCGCGGCGATGGTCGCGGCGGCCAAGGCCGTGGCGGCTTCAAGCAGGACGGTCCTCGCGGTGGCTTTCCGCCCCGTGGCCGTGGCAATGTCACTCCTCGCGGTCGTGGCGGTCCTCAGGCTGCATAGTCTTCTGGTACCTTCAACTATCTCCGCCGCAAGACATGACCGGACTATGCAGAGCATACGGCGGACTTGCTTACCGTTCTCCCACCGCACAGAAGCCTGCGCGACGGTTAGCGAAACGTACATGCCATGTACATGATCCCCTTCTCGTGTAATACCCGGCGACTTTCTCGACATGTATGTCACGATTGATGTCTTCCCCCCTTGCCTGTACTCTAAGTTCGAAAGTCGGTCTGCACAAAAGTGTCTAGATGTACTCTTCTCCCCGCACGGATCTATTCGCATTTGTTTGGTTTGCATAGCGAATTGGGTTTGCTTCTATTGCTTGTGTAGTCTGCAGTTTTTCTGCTCTTCGTTTGCCCGCCTCATGTTGGTTAGCCCAGGCTCTGACCGTCTGGATGCCACATAAGGTTGAGGGATCGCTTGACGTTTGCTGTTTGCAAAGCTGCTTCCTGCGTCCGAAGGTACCTGCTTGGCTTGCAACCATCCAGCATGCTTTCCGTGTAGCTTGCTTTGTGTGGAGCTTCAAGAGAGAGGGTGATAGAGCGGCAGCGGACTTGCTTATCGTGTAATCTACAATATCTTCAACTTGCATAGGCCAAATACTGATACATGCTTACAAAGACGGCGCACCCCATTCTCGTGTTGCTCGCGGTTGCCCTAAACTACGGGAGAGATGGCGAAAAGTGATGATGTTGTGCATACACACAACAACCAATCACGCAGCTTCCGGGACGCAGGGAGTTGTCACGCCGCAGCAACGACAGCCATCACTGATACTGAGCAGCCACTCCATGTCGCAGTCTATATATCTTCTGCTTGTTGCTACTCGCACATAACAAGGAACTCCAGCGCGAAGAACCCAATATCGATCCATCTTGCCACCTCCACTTGCGCGCCCGATTCAACTTCGCAACGCCCTTGCATGCCCCCGCCTCGCCGCCAGAGGGGTTTGATACACAAGCTGACCGCGCATCCTAACATCTCCGCCACCGCCATCTAGCAAACCTGGGGGCCGTCCTGGGCCTCATCACCTACGAAGCACGCCAGAGCTACGTTAGATGGGGGTCTCGAGCAAGGGCGACGCAGCGCCCTCCCGCTCCCGCAAGTCGAGCGTCGCCGACAACAGCACCACCACCCCTTCGCAGGCCTCCGCCGCGCCTACAACCTTCTTCCTACGGAGCGAGAGCGAGATGGAGCAGATGGCTGAGGCGTCGACGCTAGGACCAAAGGACAGCACGTACGGCGTCCAGAGCCTCGAGGATGCTCTCGCCCAGTCCTTTTCTCGCGCCGATGCAGCGCACGAAGACGACGATGGGGAGAAGAAGAGCAGGAGGGGCAGCAATGCGGGCAGTCACACCGGCAGCGCGACCAGCTCAGCAAAACGGCGCAGCGTCGCGGACACGGCGTGGATGGGCAAAGGCATAGCGGGCATCCATCCCCCGTCGGAGTACGGCAGTCCGAGCAGCAGACTGCGCAACATGAGTCGTTCGCCTGTTGCGGCGTACGGGAAGGACGGGAAGGACGGGAAGGACGGGAAGGGCCACACGAGGAGGAACAGCTTCGCGACGCTGTCGGAGACGCTGACGCCGCTGAATATGGAGAGCCCGATGCCGGCGTCCGAGGCGGGGGCAAGCACGCCAAAGAGCGCGAGTTTGATGAGCTTCAGGCTGAGCGATGAGGAGAGCGTGGCTAGTCAGGCGATCGCGTCTAGCGAAGAGGATGAGGAGGATGCAGAGGCAGGGCCGGATAAGGGCACGGAAGGAGATGCGAGTTTGCCGCAGCTGGTCATGCCGAGCATACAGATGCCGACACGGAGGCCATTTACGGACAGGGGCAAGAGGATGGGGAGGCTGAAGGTCATGGTTGTGGGACCAAGGGGGGTGGGCAAGACGAGCCTGATTAGGAGCATCGTGCAGGTTTGCGAGGATGTTGTGCATGTCGACCCGCTGAGCTCAACCACGCCTGTCCTTCAAGTTCCGCAATCGAAGCAGTCGAAGGCCAAGAAGGCCAAGGAGAGCGTGGAGGGTACGGCCAGCATCACAGAAATCCATGCAAGCACGAAGGCCTATCCACAATGGTGGTCAGATATGGATGAAAGCAGAGTGCTGAGGAGAAGAAAGAGTAGCTCTGGAGACGCGGTATTGGAGAGGAATCTGTGCTTCGTTGATACGCCAGGTCAGAAACCAATGGAGACCAATGACCCTGCCAGCGAACACGTGGAGTCCTTGTTTCACCGCAACATGTCCATTGTGTCAATGAGCGATGGAGATCTGTTGAGTATTCTAAGCGGCGGTGGCGGCATCCAGGTGGACGTTGTTCTCTGCGTAGTCTCGCATCGTACGTTACACATTCCCTCCGGGAAAACAGGAGGTGCTAACAGTGAACAGCAAGTCAATTAGAGGGCCCCCTCGAACACCTTCGACGACTCTCGAACTTGACTAACGTCATTCCCGTGCTCAGCAGCTCAGACGTACTGAGCTTAGTGGAGGCCGTAAACTTCAAGCTACAGATCCTCGAATCCCTCCGTGAAGCCGACATCCGACCGTTTCTATTTGGCAAAACAACAGAAGACGCCGTCGCCGCCGTGCAAGCCCAGCAGGCCGCCGCCGCCGCTTCGCCAGACGCAAGCAACACAACCGTACTGGCGATACCCTGTCCCCCATACGCCGTCTCATCAGCTCCCGACAATGAAGCCGACATGGACGCCTCTCTCATGATGTCACCTTCTTACGTCCAGCCTCTCCTACCATCCGAACTTACCGCCTTGGTGTCCCAAGTCTTCGACCCCGACAACATCGCCTGGCTCCGTCACTCAGCCGTCAAGAAGTTTCTCCGCTGGCGCTCCGCGCTGCCGCGCCCAACAGCCGACTCGATGCTGATGCACAACTTCCCCCACCACCTCGGCCCTCAGGGCCAAGCTCTAGACCTAACATCCACCACTATCCCCGCAGCCGCCGCAGCCGCCGCATCCACCTCTCCCCTCTCAACCGGCTCCTCTCCCTTCTCATCCCGGCTCCTCTCCGCCTCTCCCTCCGGCGTCCTCGTCCCGCACCGCCCCCACTCCCCCGCCTCGGCCTTCGACATGGTAACCGCAAGCTACGCGCTCGCGAAATACCGGGACCACACCCAGCGCGAAGAGCGGCTCGCGCAGGTGCGACTCGCGAAATGGGCCACGGACCTCCAGCGGAGTCTCGAGAACGAGCGGAGGCGGTACGCGGAACTGCAGCAGGGGGAGCGGAAGCGGTGGTTGCTCGAGCGCGTGGGTGATGAGGTGGCGGAGGGAAAGGCGGGGATGGGCATGCCGGCCGTGGATGTCGAATGGGCGCTCGTGAAGCATGGCGATAAGGCCGACGCATGGAAGGAGGGCGGTACGTGGCAGAGGGGTGGGGCGTTGAGGAATCCAAGGGATCCACTGGGGCTGTGTGAGTGGGGGGATGGGTTTAGGAAGAGGTGCTGGTTGCTTGTGCAGGTGCTGGGGAGCTGTGGTATCATTGGGGCGGTGGCGGTCGCGGTGGTGAGGTTGTGCGAGAGCGGTGGGGAGGGGGTTGGGTTTGAGGGCTGGTGGAAGGGGTGGGTAGGTGAGTGATGCGGAGTCGGGCAGTGCGGGGTTCTTGCGTTTTGCTGTTGGCTATGTGGAGGGTACGACTTTGGAGGATTACTCATGGTTAACATGATGCATGCAGGTGATGTCCGGCAAGGGGCAGGCTTTTCGCATCTCTGGCACTGTCTCTGCTCACAGCACCATCTTCGGCGTTCATCAGCGAAGTTGCTATCTGTCGTTTCTCATACCTGGCTATCTACAGCTGTATATTATAGCATTACCTCGTGTCTCATCCTCATCTCTTTCATTTTCCCACTTTTCACGCCATCCACGAAGAACATCGACAGTATGTGTGACTTCTCACACGAAACTCTCACGTCTTCAGGATATTGGCGGCAACCAAAATCCCATTCGCAGTCTTGGTCACCCATTCCGCAGCAAGTGTCACATTTCCCGCCTGCAGCGCCTCCGTGATGCCAGGATACGTAACAGGCGCGTACCCAGTATCCAATCCCGGCGCAAACAAGACATGCTGGAAGAACTCCCTGTCCGGCAGCCCCCCCTGGCTGGTGAAGCCGCGCGAGAAGTCCTTGTACTTCCGATTCACGACCTCAAGCAGTGCCGCGTCACCGGTGGCTTGAGCTTGCCCTTGCAGCGCCACCACCTCCGCGGCGCGTGTCTCGAAGACGTCGATGGCGGCGAGGAGCTCGCTCGTGTCGAGCTGCGAAGAGGTGGAGTTGATGACGGCGAGTAGCTGGTCGTAGTATAGCTGCATCTGCTCGGCGTAGTTGGGGATGTCGAAAGGGAGGAGGTCGTCGGTAGAAAGATGATAAGCTAGGAGGGTCAAGTACTGGCCCATTGCCGTGTGGACGCGGAATCCAGGATCGCCGTAGGTCACCATCCAGTGGTAGCTGTCGTAATTAGAATGGTAGTGATATACAGGATCGTCCGGTCCTGCATCACTCCCTACATCAAGCTAGTGGAGAGGGTGTTAGTGTTTCGTGCTGGAAGGGGAAGATGAGTATCGCACGTACGGAGCTGATGCCTCTGTGCAGGAAGCTGGTGTAGTCGGAGCCGGAACCAAGCACGCCTACTACGCCTTGTGTCTCAGCGAACCAGACGTCAAACAGGGTTTCATTCATCGCTTCGCCCTGCGGGAATATGACTTTGCGCATCGTCTCGACCGCAATCGTGTGCAAATCTCCGGTAGCACTTAGCGACGGCCGCGGTCCGGAGCAGCCCACGTCGATGTTGAGATAGGCCACCGCGCTTCCTGTGAGCCAGGGAATGTACTCCTCCATCCACTCTGTAGATCCCACAAGTCCGTATCTAATCGAGCGGCACACCGAGTAAGTCTATAATTCCCACTTTTACTCGAAGGAAAAGACAACGTACTCTTCAGCATCCCACGAAGCGAGCACAATAGTCCGCTTGGGCTGCCACCCGGTCTCGATCAGTCTGCCAAAGGCCTTCGAGAGCTCAATCATGATAGCGCTGCCGGAGTTGGGATCAGCAGCGCCTCCAATCAGCCAGGCATCACGATGGTTGCCGATGATGAGGACCTCATCTTGGCTCGTGCCGTTTATCACTCCGACCGCGTTCCAGATAGGCGTGTACGCGTCCTCCATTACGTTCGACATCGAGATGACAGCTCCGGGTGCTGGGCCGGTGCTGTAGGTGACGTTGAGCCCACCTACCCAGCGAGTGCGGTTGACCTGGTTCCCGGGCGTGCCGTAGCCGTCTAGTGCCGCAAGGAGGGGAATGACTTCTTCGTAGGAGATAGGGATCGAAGGGATGGACGGGGTCACAACGCCCTTGTCTGCCCGCGGTGAATCTTCCTTTGATGGATAGCCCGGTGTTGTAGGATCGCCGGGATATGTGGACAGAAACTGGACCGACCCTCGCTGAACAGAGCTCGGGTTCCGCGCTGGTCCATCTGGATAGGCGGCATAGCCGTTCGCTTCGGTCACGTTGCCATCGTCGCCGGGATCTGTGAAGATGATCGCTCCTATCATACCATAGTTCCTATCATATCATGTTTTAGTAGCTCTCCAATCAGCTTGGGTTCTGGTTCTTACTGGGCATTCTTGACTTTCAACCCTCGGAAAGGCCCGCCGTACTTCGCGAGGGCAATCCTCCCCTCGAGCGGCACACCGAGCTCTACTAGGCGCTCAAAGTCGACCTGCTGCCCACGACCGACGTAGACGTACTCTGCCGTAGCGTTGCCGGTGAACGAGTAGCCATGGAAGGTGGGGATTCGGTTTGGATAGCCGGTTGTCTCGTCTTCCGGTAACACATCTTCTTCCAGAGACGGAGTGTAGCTGCTGCCGTTCGGGTACGAGAGAGTGATGGACTTGGACACGGGATAATTTAGGTAGACGTGATACTCTGCCAAAGAAGATGTAAAGCCGTTCTCAGACCACCGGTCTGCGGTCCACTGCGCCTGGCTTCGGTTACGGCCAGCGACGTGATCTCCGTGGGTGTAGTAGTAGGACCAATCGCTGATCGTGTTGTTGTCGAAGGAATTGGCAAGAATTGACTCTTGCTCGGTCAGAGTAGGCGGGAAAGCTGCCTGACGCCTCGACAGCCGACGAGATGCGTGTTGGGAGTGGCCCAGGGCGGAGTGGTCCCGCTGACAAGCGTACACCGTCGTCCCGAAGGCTAACGCAAATGTAAAGGCGGACTTCATTCTGATGGAAACTGAAGCTCTGCGGAAAAGGATCAAGTCCGCGTTGTGACGACAACACGTCCAGCGCGGGCAGCGAGGAGCTTGATATATGCATCACCGGCAGCAGCTGTCGAGCTCCGCAGAGCTTCATCCCGGATCATCGGCGTCGCTAGCCATCCCAAGCTCGTAATCTCTGGGTTGCTGCATGACGGTGAGGGGTGATGCAACAGGGTTGAGGTGAAAGCGTTCACGAAGTTGAGTACGTACTCAAGTACCACCTGCCTGATCGGTTGTAGAACATGTGGAAAACGTGGGGATCCAAATGCGGGGGTGACACAAGCAAGGTACCGGAGTTGGATAGCGGCGCTGCTACACCTCCATCTCACCTCTGGTGGTTAGTGTCCGTTACTGTAGGGTATGCACGCTGCATGGTACACGATCTGATAGGTTACAGAAGCGCGTTTCCCGGTTCTAGCCAATGAATGGGCTCGGATACGGAGCAAACCGCATGGCAGGCCACCTGCAGACGAGCAGGGTGCAAGGAGGTTCTCCATGCGCGATGACGGCGGGGCTGATGGCAGAGCATTATTCCGTGCGATTCCGAGGTTTCCTGAGGCCGCTGCAACCCGCTGCCTGGGATTGATCTTGCCAAATCCCGGACTTGAGAGCGTCCGGGTGACACAAACCGCCAGCCCCATCTTTGGTGGGCAAACGTTATCGTCGAAGAATGGGTACATACAGAGCTGAGTTCGAAGGGCTAGGCGAGAGGCGGCGCATATAAGCTCGTAAGCGTGTTGCAACCACCAGAAGAGGCCAACACTGTAATCTCTCAACTCAAACTCCAGCGCCAACGTCCTTTCACTTCGCGTCACTGCTCAAGTCATAGCCATGATCTGCCGGCAGTCGTATTGGCAGTCATGCCTCATTTCCTCACCCCTCTCCGCCAACCGGTCATTGCAGCGCTCGTTATGCGCTCTTCGTTACTAAGACACCGCACTTTCTCCAAGCCTTGCGCCTATGGTTGTCACCCTTCCCGAGCAATCTCAGATACTTCGGACTCTCGATATGAAGACTTCTTTCGCTACACCAGCGGCCGGTGGCTGTGGGACGAGGATGCGCAACTCTTAGAACGATACACACGATTCAACGTACACGAGCTCCAGCGCGTTGCAGCTCGAAGTGTTGGCGCGCAGGACTGTGTCTCTGTGACCAAACTAGCGGAGGGTGGGTTCAACAAGGTCTTCCGGCTCGTCATGGACAATGGTTCCGTTGCCATTGCGCGTATACCTAATCCCAATGCTGGCCCTGCATTCAAGACAACTGCCTCCGAGGTCGCGACTATGGATTTCGTTAGAACAATCCTTGGAATCCCTGTTCCAGAGGTCTTCGCTTGGAGCGCGGAAGCCGACAATCCTGTGGGTGCGGAGTATATCGTGATGGAGGAAGCAGTTGGTACACAGCTCGGGGAGCTCTGGCGCAACATGGAACTTACTAGCAAGGTTCAAATAGTTAACGAAGTAATCGCAGTCGAGAAGAAGTTGCTCTCTTTGTCCTTCACGCGTTACGGGAATATTTACTTCGCACGAAACGCATTTGCGGGCTGTGAAAAAGCCGAGTTAGCAGGCACCGTCTCTCGCTCACAGAGAGAAGAAGTCGGAGCCCGTTTCGTGGTTGGACCGGTTGTCGACAGAGACTTCTGGAATAAGGAACGGGCATCCATGAACACTGATCGCGGCCCTTGGACATGTTCACAAGATTATCTGAAGGCAATTGCCAAACGGGAAATCTCTTGGATCAGCCGCTACGCCAAACCAAAGCCGACGACCAATCTCTATGCCGCATACGAAGCACAGAGCTTTACCGACACCCACATATCACTCTACCGAAAGTTCCTGGACTCTGTACCTTACCTCCTACCGAACAAGCAAGAGCTTATCAGACCTACCATATGGCACTGGGACCTACAAGCTCCAAATCTATTCGTTCAAGGGGACAAGATTACAGGCCTAATTGATTGGCAGGGGGCTTGGGCTGGCCCTCTCTTCCTGCAAGCACGGCATCCGCGGCTTGTAGACCACAATGGGAAGGTCATGCTGAAGCTGCCCGACAACTACGAAGTGCTTGAAGACCCCAACGAGAAGGCTCGTATTCGTGATCAGGTTGAGAGGTCTATCGTTCTGCACATGTATGAAGCGGGTACCGCCAAAGTCAACCCAGTCCTCCATGAGGTTCTCTATCTGAAACATGGTCGTACAAGGAGAGAAACGGTCGACTTCGCCGCTGATACGTGGGACGGAAGCATCATACGTTTTAGAGAGTGTCTTATCCGAATAGCCCGGTTTGTCTGTTCCTCGTCTCGCAATCAAAAAGTACCGCTAAAACGCACTGACTATAGTCACTGGAATGATTTTAACAGCGAGATGCCCTGTCCAATAAGCTTCTCGGACGAAGAACTGAAAGCACATTATGAAAACGCGGACGGATGGAACGAGAAGGCGGATTTCTGGGCGTCGCTGGATGGATTTGTGCATCGTGACGGGTGGACCTCGAACGATAACTACGAGCAAGCGCTTGAGATATTTGCAGAACTCAGGGAGCAGGGCCTCAAGCATCTGGATGGCGAGGAGTTGGCGGTGTTCGAGGAGCAGACAAGATGGGCTATGAGACAGAATACAAAATAAGTTCCCGCATCAACGCTTAGATATCACATCGCAGCTGCTCCTCATCCATGTCCTTCGCCGCGTCTAGAGACCGCAGTGCCGCTACCGCTCTGTCCCTCTGCCAGATATGTTGCGCGGACGTAGATTCTTGCTCGAAAAGCGGGTCAAGGACGTAAACGCGAGACCAGGAGGAGTGTTGGACATCACGCGTCAACCGAAAGGCGGAACCTGGTATCCTTAGCATCTTGTGTGTAACCAGCTTCCCTCTTGTAGTTGATACAATCAATGAAGCTCTTAGCCATGCTTTCTTACCAGTTACCACTCTCTTGCATAGCACGGGTATGTATGCCACATCCTTGCCGATCACGAAGGAATGTACAAGTTTGAAGAAACGCCTGTAAGTTTAAGGACCGCCGAAAGCTTAGCGGTCGTGGTCACAATATGCTGCCTTCACTCAGCTGGATATACAAGATGCAGCTGGTGGAATAACATCACCGCTGGATTTCAGTGTTCAGCACGTGACGGGTAAAACAACCGGCCGTACAAATATCTGGAACCAGCCGTGCCGCCCGCGGCATTGGTGCACAGCCGCTCAACAACCCCATTAGGCGACAAGCAAAGCCTTGGATACATAGCCCCCAATCTATACTGGCATCACGCCCTCCTTCTCCTTGTTCGTCTCGTGACTTCAAGGGCTTGCTTGATTTAGCCCCCAAAGGTTGTGACAACTCCGCAGTCGTTCCCCGCTCAACGCAGTCGGCTAGCTGCAATAAAGTAGCCATGATGCCCGCGACAATAGCCCAGCTCTCACTACGGATCGCTCTTGTCTTTAAGCGGCGTATTTAAAAAGCAACTTTGAACTAGGGCCTTCCACTTGGTTATCCGGATACACCTGAGGTCTAGGATCTGCATTATGAAGTTATCGCTAGCATCTATTCTACTTTTCTCATTGCCAGCTGTTGCTCATCCAGTTACTTGCACCGTGCAAACTGCCAATGGACCTGTGGTAGGACATAGGGCTGTCAATCGCAGCCGGGTGGTGGAATACTTAGGTATCCCTTATGCCCAACCCCCAATAGGCTCTCTTCGGTTCGCGGCACCGCAAAAGTATACCGCATACGAGACATTTGTTGCCGCCGAATATGTAGGTTTGCCTGGCTGTTGTACTATACTTGTGTTGAAAAAGGCTAATACTACAGGATATCTAGTCTGCGTAAGTGCAGACCGTTACGTGGCCGTCAAAAGCGTCATGGACGAGCCGGCTGCTCTCTTAAGTTTCCGATTCAGGTAGTAGCATGTGTCGCTGACTGGATGTCACAAGTACTTGTCCTCAAAGACCTTCGAGACCCGTCATCTATCCTGACGCGACCCCGCAAGAACTACGGATCGTCGCCAATTTTGCAGGTCAACTGAACCACACTCAAAATGAGGATTGCTTGACGTTGAACATCTGGTCGAATGCAATCAAAAGGAGAGCAAAACCTGTTCTGGTGTTTATACATGGCGGCAGTATGTGCTCTAGCGCTATTAGACGATACCGCAAAACTGACCAATAACGACTACATAGGATGGACTATTGGCGAAAGCAACACCCCGTTCTATAATGGCCAATATCTCGCCGACGCAGAGGATATCATAGTCGTCACACTGAACTACCGCGTCAACATCTTCGGCTTCCCAGGCGCTCCCGAGGGACCTAAAAATATCGGCTTGCTCGATCAACGTCTCGCCGTGGAATGGGTACGCCACAACATCCGTGCCTTCGGAGGTGATCCAAACCGCATCGTGATCATGGGCCAGTCGGCCAGCGCCGCTGCCGTGGACTTTTGGTCCTACGCATACACTCAGGATCCCATTGTTACCGGTTTGATCTCGCATTCCGGGAACGCCTTCAGCTTTCCAACTAACTCCGAAGAGCTTGCTGCGCGGCATTGGTTCAATGCATCGGCCACGCTTGGTTGCGGGTCCATCGGAGATTTGATGGCCTGCATGAGAAGCAAGCCCTTCCCGGAGATCCTGGCTGCTGCTGCGGCAGTAAGGCCACCTGCGGCAGCGAGCCCGGCGCGTGCGCAGGCGGCCTTCCAGGCGACCGTCGATAATCAGCTAGTGTTCGCACCTGAGACGTATGCCCACTTGTCGTCTAGTGGGAAATTTGCTCGACTGGTGAGGCACCGTACGGCGTAGAGATAGGGGCGGTTGCGTAAAAGCTGACTCTAAGGCTCCTCCTGCGTAGCCATACCTAGCGGGGAACACCGACAACGAAGCTGGTTACTATAGAGTAACTGCCTTCGGGCAGAACGTCACTCTTAGCAACGCGGCATGGAATGTCTTCAACCTCGAAGCTTTTACATGTCCACATACATATGAGGCCAACAACCGCGCCAAGTATGGGGTACCGACGTGGCTGTTCCGTTACTTCGGAGACTTTGATAACCTCCGCCTGTACCCAAACAGCTCAGCCTACCACGGTTCGGATCTTCACATGGTGTTTGGCGGCTCGGAGGACGTCAGCGGCTTACCTGACTCGCCTGCTGAACGCGAGACTCGAGCGCTCGTGATGCGCGCTTGGGCAACTTTCGTGAGAAACCCGAGGGAAGGATTGAGAACGGAATTGGGGTGGCCGGAATATAACCGCGAGGGTACGTTGCTCTCCCTCCAGTTTTCTTCTCCCGCGATATATAGTGTCAACGCATCGTTTGCCGCGATCGCCTCTCTCTAGGCGGCTGGCAAGAAATCGTTACTAACCTGTTCTGCAGGTGATACGCTGATCCGGCTGGCTTACAACAACAGCCCTGTTCCATCATTCGTTTCCCCAAGGATTTACGATGGGATCTGTACGTCTCTTAATCTTTCATACTATAGTTTGTAGATCTGTAGACGGATTTTATCCCTCGTGTTGCCTAGCATGTTGTGTTAAGGTCGTTGCTTAACCCTTTCAACAAGTAAGTGAAACTTATCAACAACGGTTACGTGACCCTACCGGATAGGAAGGTTAGACATAAGTGACTCTAAGAGATGCGGTGAAATATATTTGTAGGGCGCATCCATGATCCGCTTCTTTTCTAGCTCCCGGTTACGTCTATTGCATGCAGATAGAACTGCTGCATTAAAAAAGCATTGTGTACCAGGTGAAACAGAGTTCATCTAGCGATTGAAACGCTTCAACCACATGGTCCGACCTGTTAAAAGAGCACTTCTTTCACGCGTTTCCCACATACTACGCAGCAACATGTCAGCGGTAGACTCCTAAGAGGAATTTCATGGTTAGTCGACACACCGAGCGGCTTCTCCTTCGTCCGCCCACGAAACCTTCAGCATAGCTCGCTGGATTGGCGGTATAGTCACTGGGGCTCTGCGTCCTGATTTCCCATCCGACGGCAACCGTGGTTCAGCTTTACTATCTTCTTACGCGAGCCCTGCAACGGCACTATTACCGGGAGATATATTCTTCTGGCGCTAGTTCGCCGCCAGGGACTCTCAAGAGCGAGATCTGGCCACTAAGCAAGGGCAAGGGAGGGCAGGGTAAGGGACAAAGAGATGGAAATTTCCATCGCTCACACCTCGGTTAGGGAACGCATCAACGCAGTAACTATGTAGATCCCATGCTTCGAGGCCTTGTTGACTGCATAATGAACGCGGTGCCGGATGTGGCTGAGCTGTCACACAGTTTCTCAGCCCTGTCCTTGCTAGTCAGTCAAGGATTGGTTAGGTTCAGAAGCTGACCAGATTTCACGAATAAGAATCAAAATTCTACAGATTAACCTTGGTCTTTCAACACCGGGGTCGCAACTAACTGACATTAATATAGTTACCTGTCTCAAAAGTATTTGGCCGCTCGAGAGCTCGAACAAGCACATGGCAGCAGCACTTGCGGAAGGCTGAAGATAGTAGTACGAGTGTAGATACTTCGTCTCTCCTCTGCAGTTCCAGCCTTGTCTTGCAGGGCACGTCGTGGCTAAAAATACTTGCGTACCAAGGCTTTTCCCCACATCAATACCGGATCTTTCCCATCATCACTACTATTGATACCGCAACTAATATGCTTCTAATACGTACTGGACGTTCTAAACGTCTTTCTGCATCTATCGATGAGGTGTGCTTTAAGTTTTAGCACTATTCGACGCCTATAAAGGCTAAAGTTAGTGATCTTCGTGACAGTGCCAAGATTAGGATGCGCACGATTTTTTGGCCACGACATGCGGGGGTAGATAGGCTGCGCCTCGCTCTAAGAAAGCCAAGTAGAAGGACCTATAATGGAACAACGCATTCTCTCACGCTCCCTGTTTACCGTTTCTCTTTTATGCTGTTGTTGTAATCTATTCTTCTACTTTGCTTGCTAGTGATCCGCTTTGTCGTCCGTCGATAAATGCGTCCACCTCTGACTCGGAAAGAAGTCAACAAGCCCGAACGGCCGCGTAAGCCAGCCTTGATCCTTCCTGTAGTTTTCAGCAATACATATTCCTTGACGAGTTGGACCGACGTTGTTAGCTGGTCCGCATGCCCTTGAGTCATGTCTTCACTTCTATCCTCCAACGGCAGAGATGATAGCACGGAAGTTTCGTCAACTATCCAGTTTGATTTCGACAGTATCAATCTCGTCGTCCCGCTATCACAGCCTGGAAGCTCCCCGGATCCTATAATGAGCCCTGCTGAAGACTACAAGCAAGTGGTGCAGAAAGAAGCATTAGCGGCTTTGATATCTTCGGAGCGGCGAGAATCGTCCCCGTCACCTGGACATACATCTTCTCAGAAGAGAGTCTGGCAAGCTTTGCAACAGTTCTCGAATCATCTATACCAAAAAGACTGGTTTTGGGAGTTCCTATCTTGCATTGTCGTTGTCGTCAGCTTTGGTGTTATCACAACCATACTTGCGTGCTACCAGGATCGGCCTCAATCCGACTGGGCCCCGCAGCACTATCGCGTCTCAATCAACGCCGTGGTCGCCGTGCTTACCACAATCGTAAAGGGAGCATCAATGGTGGTTGTGGCAGAGGGTACTCTAAACCGCTCATCATGTTCACAATGTCAGAAGCTGACCAATCGTACCTACAGCTATCAGCCAGCTAAAATGGCTCTGGTTCGAGAAGTCCCATCAACTACAGGACTTCGACCGCTTCGACCGAGCCAGCAGGGGCCCTTGGGGTGCTAGCCGATTGTTGTTTTGGTTTCATGGACCGTGAGTTCTTTAGAAGCTCATGCCAACATTACTGAGAGCTAATTGATCACTCTTCATCCCAGAACACTAGCCCTTCTTGGAGCCCTGCTCACTGTGCTTGCATTAGCTATTGATCCTTTTACACAAAACATTATCGACATTCGCAGCTGTCAGACTCCCGTCACCAACCTTACCGCTACTATCCAGACCGCAAATGTGTACGACGCATATTTAGGGGAAAGACGGCTGGAGTTTATGTCCAGCACCACTAGCGATACTCTTTGGGATGATACATGGTACGGGCTCACCATGGCGATGAAAGCGGCCGTCTACAGTGGGATTTACGGTTCAGCATCCACAGTCATCAACGCTTCGACGGTCTCAAACCATTGTCCTGGTGTGAACTGTACCTTTTCCAGATACACTACCTTAGGAGTGTGTCATCAATGCGCCAATATCACGGAGTATGTCACTACTTCCTGTAACCAATCGGCGGAACAATGGGAGCCTCGCTGTACTATGTCCCTGCCCAATGGACAAAAGCTGCATACTCGCTACGACCATCCTGTCGGTGATGGGTTTTCTAATTGGCCCCACAGGTACTTACTGGCCAACTCAACACTCTCAACCCTGAAGTTGCCCAACTACCCGGGCACTTTCAGCAACTTTTCGATGATTGCAAAAGTGACTTCGGAGTGCTCCGCAGACGAGCCATATTCATATTATTCGGTTCGGCGGTGCGCAACGCCCGACGATATCGATGCCAAACGCGAGGAGACCTATCTCAAACCAATGGCAGTCGAGTGCATCTTGTACTTCTGCTCTAGGACTTTCGATGCACACATGCGGAACGGCGCAGTACAAGAGGTAGAGAAGAACCGTACAGTCGCCTTGACGCCGTGGATCGACACGTACCAGTATTACACCAGCGATCGCACTATTACAGTTCCCAGGACCTTGATCATGGACCCCGAGTTATGCCTGCTTAGCAATGATTCACTAGGCAAGGTATCCACGAGTCCGCCGAGATCAGGCATGCAATGCAATAATCGGAAGGATATGCCTCAAGTAGACTGGGGCGGGGGCAAGGAAACCTACTATTGCTACAACAACGAGACCACTGAGCTGTGGTACAACTCCAGATGTTTGTTCCAGGTCGGTCAGAAGTCTGTGAATGCTGCTGCGAACTTTTTCTGGCACTTGTGGAACGGGACCGTCTCTGGTGGATCGTTTGAGGGAACAAAGGCTGAGCCAGACTTACTAGATGTCCTCTACGGCAGAGGAAACAGCTCCTTTGACGTTGTCGACTGGACATTTCTCAGTATAGCGAATTCGATGACGGCAGCAATTCGGCAGACTGGAGGGTCACCGGCGGTGGAGCAGAATTACACCCGTGTGTACGGTGTCGCCCGAGGCACAGTTCTCATTGCCGATACCTGTATCGGCGTTCGCTGGGTCTGGATATCGCTTCCAGCAACTATAGGAACACTCAGCATTCTCTTCCTTCTTCTGACGGTCATTCAAAGCTCACGAGAAGGCAAGCGGCCAGTATGGAAGTCCACTTCTCTAGCAGTCCTGTACCATGGTCTTGATTCCGCTCTCAATAAGGACTCGGCGACGTTACTCCATACACGGGAGATGGAAGAGCATGCCCGGCGGGTGAAGGTGCGGTTGCAGGAGTCAGGATATAGCTTGTTACTATGTAATATCTCGGAAGGCGTAGCGGAAGAGGCTTTAGATTTAGAAGGTCACGGGAGTGTACATTCAAGGACCTAACGTTATTAGTATCCTAAATTCTATTTATCCTCCCTTATCCACTACGCCTCGCTCGCCTTCCACGCTCTAGCCTCCTCAGCCGAGGTTCCTATAACGGAATACTTCTGCCTCTCCAGCGCGACATCCTCTTCCTCCTCCCATTCCCCTCTCCGCAGCTACTACCTCTCTCTACTTAAGTCTTTTGCCCTAGCTTCTTCTACAGAGGTGCTAGTAACCAGACACCGCTACTTCTCGAGCGGCAGCTACTCTTCTAGCTCGCGCGAGAGGGCGGATAGTAGGCCTATAACACTATTTAGAAGGCTAGAGATCTAGTTATTAGCGAAGCGGCAGAAGGTAATAAAGGGGTTATTATTATTATAGGCGTTATTATTAGTATTAGTAGGAGAGTTAAGCAGGCGGTTATTATCTAAGTTTATAGTAATAGTAGAATAGAAGATATTATACTTGATAATAGTAGACTTATAGTAGTTATAACTCAATATTCTCTTATAGGTATTATACTATTTAGAGTGCTTATTAGAAGTCGATATTAATAATATAGTAGTATTTAAGTATAGGTAGAGATAGTAGAAAGATATATAGAAGATATAGGAAAGCTAAGACCTAATATTATAAGTAACTAGTTTATATTATTTAGAGTAGGCTTATAAGGTAGCCTTTAGGGTTAGGGTTAGGGTTAGGGTTAGGGTTAGGGTTAGGTTAGGGTTAGGGTTAGGGTTAGGGTTAGGGTTAGGGTTAGGGTTAGGGTTAGGGTTAGGGTTAGGGTTAGGGTTAGGGTTAGGGTTAGGGTTAGGGTT